TATATATATTGATTTATGAAGATATCATAGAGTTTAGAACCTAGAGTTTTCGATTCTCAAATTCGGTCAGCTCATTGTCGGCTATATCCGATCCATGGCCGTTATCCTTCCTACCTGTTGAAGTATACGATTTCGCATATCTTCCTCTCTTTGCTGAGCATCATCTTGCGGCTGCTGTGCTCCGGGGCCGCCGACTTCGGCCTGAAATTGTGCCAGACGCCGCGCGCGAATCGCTGCTAGTTCATCATCAGCCATAGTGCACACGATGTTTTTCAAACTGCAGAAAAATAATTGTCTTTTTTCTCTCACTTTTCGTCTCGGCCTTTCGCATGCACGGTGAAATGTATCGGTTAGTTATAACATAACAGAGAAGTTTCAGTGCGTGGTCAACGTACATACACCTATAGATCAAGCAGTTAACACGAAAACAACATGGTCGTAACTAACGATTGCAAAGTTGTTTGTTGTTGCCGTATCAGAATTCCAGCGGAAAGCAAGACTAGATGTGATTTTGTTTACAAACAGCACCGTACTCGCTGACCGATACACACACGGCCACGACATATCGTACCATGTAAACTGCTCCGGCGGGAAATTCAAAAAGCCTTTAGCTCTTAAACTTATTGAACAGCTAGCAGACGTGAAATGTTTTAAGCGAACATTACTTTAGCTGCACAAACCTAACCTATCTTCAATTATAGAATGCAATCAATGATTTAGGTTTGGCTAGTGTTAAGTGTCACACAGTGCTTCTCCTCAGACGCCAATCTACTGCGCTTTCTACTCAACCGTTTAGCTGCTAAAGAGTGTGGTAAAATCCGCAGAACATTTGCTGCCGCTGTTGCTAAAAATATTCAGATGTTATTGTCATCTGGGTGTTCTGCTGGCTCCATCTTGCTTGAAATTTAATGAGTGGTCGTGGCTCTGCTCTGAATGTCGGACGGTGGCCTGAAGAGCGCGCGGCGCGGCGGATCCCGTCAGGGTATTGCGCGCCCGTTGTCGGAGCTAACGGCGCAAAGCGCGCGGGATCAACGAAATGATGACGCCTGCTCTGTGAACAGGAGCTCAGATATCTTAGAGGATGCGACAACGACAATCTACGCAGAGTCTGATACAACTAGTGTACCAAGCAGACATTGTCGTTCAGAGAGCTTTATCTCTGGCAGCTTACTGAGATTGTCCTACGAAACCATGAGCCAGCATCATAAGGAGAACAAATGGCCGGAGCTTTTGAAGCGGCTGTGTGCACATATGAGCCCTGATCCAGGTACGACGGCTGTTTGTTGCAGTTCGGAAATTCGAACATCTTAGTGCTTATTTCAAAATATGGTTGCGGTGAGCGATTTCACTGTGGAGTACCATTAGATATGTTTTGTCATCATTTCTTAGTAGATGCAGATTAGAGTTGTTAAATGCCCTGATCTTCCGGCATTTGTAGCGATTTAATAAATGTGGTTTTCGGGGCTAGAACGATTTCGATGGAAAGATTCGTATGTTCTCATGTCAACAGCAGGTCAGCAGGAAATTTTTTTTTGTTTAAATCGTTGATTAATGTCAAATATAACGGATAGAGAGCATAGATGTTGCACTAATATAATTAGGTAATTAATTTGCGTACGAATACGACGTTCTAGCCTTCTCTTGCTCGATATATCGCTTAGAAAATTTATGAATTCCGTCAGCTCATATCGATGATAGAATGATGCAGTCCATTGTGAGTTATATGCACGCTTTCGGATAAATCGAGCAGCAATCTTCGCTATCCACATTCACGTTTTACATAACCATAAATTGTTTCCCTGTGCCATCTCGTACTAACTGAATATTTGGATTGGTAAATTTTTCTTATTGCAGAAACTGCTGATAAACGGTATCAAGTGGCTCAAAAGCTGCTTAAAGGAAGGTAATGTAATTTTAATATGAGCTATATTAATGAACGCCTTAGAGGAAAAAAATTAAAGGTGATGCTCAGGTCGACAACAACATCATATCATAACCTAATCCAAATTTGACTTGAAGTGAATTAGATATTTTACACTCATAATCATTATCATTTTATTTATAAACGAGTGCGACAAATGTTGGTTCAAAAGTATTTAACTTCGTCGTTTAAGTATAAATATGTCGCATTAGCAAATTTAAAAACTTATTTTACTAAAGCTTAAAATTTTTTTTTAAATTAGAAGGAATAGAATATGGCACATAATTGTATTATCATTGGTGTTGTGTACATAGGGATTATTCGTAATCACATTACGCATAATTTAATTCCTAAAATTTAGGGTGTACAACATATGAATTATTAGCACCATCGTTACATGGAGAAATAATGTTTGTTAATAAACACAAATTAATTTATATATATATATATAGCGAATGAATTAAAAATTTTTCGTTGAAGGCTTCTCAATTTTCGCCGAGTAGTTAGGGATGTATGTGGTCTGGCATTGTCACGATGAAAGACGACGCCCATTCTGTTCACAAAGTTTTGCTGATTTTTTTCAATGACTTATTGTAATTTTGTTAGTTGCTATCAGAGGTTAGAGGACCGAATGAATCCTTTTGCCATTTCATAGCAGCTCATAATGTAAGATTCTTTTTCGGTGTCGCTAAACATATAGCGTGACATTTTTTTAGCGTTAGTTCTGTTTTTGCCACAGATTGCGGAGCATTTCTTCTTTCACATCACTACCGTGTGTGATATACTTTTCATCACCCTTTATTAACTGGTTTAAAAATGATTCGATTTCGTTGCGTTTCTGCAGAGTTTCGTAGATAAAAACACGATCAAGTAAAGACTTCTACGTCAGTTCGTATGACATTCAAGTGTCAAGCTCCTTTTGGTAGCCAGCTTTTCTTAGATAGTTTAAAACAGTTTGGTGATGCATGTTTAGTAATGTCGTACGTATCGATCTCCTTGAGCTTTCGCAATAATTTTATTAACATTTCTCGTGAACGATGGACCGGTGAGCATTTTATATATCTAAATTTTCAGCACAGAAGCAATAGAACCAGAATGTACTGTTTTTTTACTATGGATCTGGACACCACTTGTGTCTTTATTGTGGTAAAATTGTAATGTATAGCATATGCTTGCAGAAATTTCGCTCACATTTGAGGCGCCTTATCTCAAGTGTGAAGACTAAAGGTTTTTCAGTTTTAGAGCATCTACCATTCTCAAATCTGCTTTCATCGATGCCGCCGCCGATCCGACGTGACCTGTATTATCTGAAACACATAACTTCAACATTATCAGTTAGAAAAAACATCAGTAGTTCCTTAAGAACTCAATATATATGTGAGCCTAGGCGTTATTCGGAAAAAAAAAGAAAAACTAAATAACTTAATTCTTATTCTTTTTCGTACAGAAAATCGACGGGATTTGACAATACATACATAGATGAAAACCTCTACATCGAGAAGATCAGAGAGCATTGTAAGTAGATATTCACACGCTTAATGGTACACGCATGTTTTACGTAGATATCTCATCTTAATTTGTCCTTATTATATAATAATTACCAAACGACGTATCCATATTTTTACAGCTGCCGGTTTTTGCACATGGTAGTATTATGTTTACCAACGCCGTTCGGCCTTGTATGAGTGCAACTTACACGGCACTTTTGTCCCTGTTCCAACAATGGAGAGTTGAAATAGACAGAAGCAGTCTTACTTAATATTGACAAATACTTAGCATAAACCTTGTGTAAAGTCTAGCTTGCCAAGGTTGTTGCACATGGATGTTCTTTATCATAGAAATCAATCAAAACGTTTACTTTAAAAGAAATAAGCATTTAAACCATATTTTATCTATAATTTCTATGTAGGTACTGAATTCTATGGATGCGCAGTCCTGTCATCAGTATCTGATACCTATATTACACGTCATTATTATAGATAGGTAAATATATGATACCAGATAATAAAAATAGCGATAATTTTGTAAAGTCGTAACTGTCCCTTTTTCTTATATCTAGTGCGTAGGTCGAAGAATTCGGGGGCTGCGGACAAATTCCTTACTCTAAGCGGCCGTCTGTCGCTGCTAAGTAGTTCCAAAAAGGACTATATTTTCTATCGAACGGCACTGTATTCGTTTCTATTGGCACTAGGAAGTGGTATTGATGATACGAGTGCTTCTTTTGTTGTTCCTGCAGCAGCTCAGACTGAAAAACTCAACGAGCTACTTAATCGGCGTAGAGGTATGTGGCGATTTGACTTACACATATCTGTATAATATACAATCCGTGTTCTCTTTTCTCGCCAACAACATGCAATGTAAAAAAGTACTTCATTTGCCTTTGAACTCAATGTAGTATGGATTACTATAATTTTTCTCCTGCTCTGAGGTTTACTGTGAATTTCTAACACCGCTGCTTTACGTTGGATTTAGGAAGTCTCCATATATTTTCAAAGATCTTTCATCCGAAGAGAAGGAATATCAATAAAAAGCATTCAATCGCAGCTAAGATAGAACGACTTAATTTGTAACCATAATAACCATAATGCTTGAATGCGGTTTGTTAAATCTGTGTAGTTTCCCGCCCAGTGAGTCGCCCCCTCTCAACACCGTGTGCTCTGCCATATCGCAATGGTCAGCAAAATGTGTCCGTTGCACCACTATTGGATGACGGCCAACGCGACAAAAGCGTCATTCGAAATATTCTTAATCTACTCGTTGCTCGAGGACCTGAACAGATTCTCAAGGTTTCATTCGCAAAATTTCGTTTTGACACAATGAAGCATTGTAACCGCTTAGATAATAATAATACTCAACAGTTAGCAAAAACAAATTTATCTTCGTCATAAATACGTATGCTGTTTTTAATGGCTGATAAAGCGCAGATATGGAATAATCTCAGGAAACTCAATATGGTGAATTTAATCAGTATAATATTATTTTTGGCCTAGATGAAGGAAGAAGCATGCCGCGAAGCGACAGGTTTTCAGTATTACAGTGAGTTGCATTGCCGAATTGCTGCGGCGGAAGAGGTCGCAAACAATCTGGTTCAACTAACACAGTTTCAGCTACATTCTGCCAAGAGTAGATCATTAGTTGTGCAGCGGCTTGCTGAAGCTCTCGATAATCAAATCATACGACACAAACAGTGAGTATGATTGTCAAACTAGTATAAATCTATTCAATTCTACTTCGAGAAATAATAAAAACCGCCAAATAGGTAAGATATTTAGACCACATTATTAGCATTAGCTGACAATGTTTTTTTTGTAATTCATTTTTAGATTAGAAAACCATTTACGAATGCAGTGATTCTCCTAAGCGAGTCTTAGTTCATCTTGTATGTAAGTAACATTGTTTTAAATTGTGGAAACCTCATCTCTTTTTCTATTTCAGTCTGGTGGCCCTCCTCGAGCAAATGAATACTCAGGGTAAGTTGAGCCTGGCTCGTCTCGACTACCTCTGCCTCCAACCAGATAATCTGATTTATCTTCTTTCGGATGTGTGTAACTCATTCATCCAGAGAGCGAATATTCTCAGTGGTATGTCGCAAATTTATTTTGAAAATTAAATTTATATCTATTATCTTACAAGAAAATTACGAGTGGTGAATTTATTTATGAATCCCACATTAAATTCCAAACATCTAAAATCATCATTTCGAGCTAACAATGAAGCAGCTGTGTACTATCAGAGACTTTGTTAAATATTGGTAATCATTATCAAGTTGACGTTGTTTATTTATTTAGGAAACCAAGTGTTAGACGCCTTATATGTACAGGCGGCATGTTCGCCCCAAGCAAGTTCGCAATATGAAATAGCCAACGCCTTGTTACGGCACTGTCTACAGCCCTGGCTGGCAATGCTGCGAGCATGGATGCTACGGGGCCAGCTAGCAAACACGAAGTGGGACCTCTTCGTACATGACGTCGGACGGGACGGCGTATCGAATCTGTGGTACGATAAGTTCACAATTCAGAAAGACCACGTTCCTGCATTTCTGAATGAAGATGACACTCGAAAGGTTTGTTTGCCCATTTCGATTCCTAGCAATAATTGCGGCTTTCATCGGATTTGGATAATACAAATAAATAAAAAGGTAAATAATTGGAAAAATAGAAGTTCTCTCATCCTTCTATGCGTGCCCTCCTGATTGACTTGCTACGTGATTTACAATCAATGTGATTTTTATATTCTTTTTTTCTATGATTTAATAAGATTCTATCCGTGGGTAAGGCGATGGTATTTTTAAAAGAGGCGGACGACGTTCACCGAGTGGCTGAAATACAACGACAGCTTGCCCACGTTATGGGTGTTGAGGATAAGTCCAGTGCCGTAGAGTTCAGGACTGAAGCTGGCGATGTGGATCAGGAATGCTCTGCTAAAAGAATAGAACCTAATATGGATCCGCGGGGGTTTCTGCGTTTTGCTTATAAGCTAGCTATGCAGCGAATGAAGACCGTTATACTTGAAAAATTTCATCTCAAGACCCACCTACTTGTGAGAACAATCTTTTTATTTTCGAAAAGTATACATCGGTTTTTAAAGGTGCATTACACTATATACTATTATTAATGGACCAAACGAGTAGATAAAATACAAACAAGTGATTTACATACTGTAATATTGGTTTCATTTATATACGTCGAACACCTTGGAATAATATACGGTCTAATTCGGATTTTCAGCTCATTCGTAATGTTGTACTACTCTATGACGGCGTTTTCAGTAAAGCCTTGCTAAGTAACCTCAGGTGAGTTTTTCATACCAACAACAATATCGGCGTTATAGAATTCGGGTTTATTGTAAAAGATTAGATGGCAACTTTAGTGGTTATCAAAATAAAGATAGAGCTCGCATAAAATGCATTCCGAAATAACACAAATTTTGGGAAGAAGTTAATTAACACTTCCATGAGTTTCAGCGACGAACTAAGTGAAAGTTCTGGGGGAACGTTGACTGAGGTGGAACGATCTGAAGTTATTCGTATGGTATACCGTTTGCTACCTGAATTGCCCGAGGTGGAAGCTTCCGCATTTATTGGTGTTCACTTTGATGGAGGCTCTGGCGGCCCGATCACCCTTGAAAGCTTTGGACTGAAGTACAAATTACGGGAGCCTTTGTCATACGTACGTGACAGTATAATCTGACAGAGTTATTGTCTCGTTTTCTTAATGACACAATCTGCATTAACAATTCGTTTACAGGCATTCAATTCAGTTACAACCGTTCAGGCGGAAATCCATGACTAAATGAAGTTCCGTTCAAGAATAACGTATATTGATTTTAAGAAAAATTATCGTTCTAGTTGCATACTGTGCAAACTAATAAAGTTCTTAAAACATTATAATTGTTATTAGTATAGGTAATTATATATATACTAATAATAAGGTTATTATAGGTAATTATACGTACAGAAATCTGTCGTGTATATATTTTCTAACTAGCAATTGGACTGTCGATTTTCCAGGTGCTCCAGAACAAGTCGTTCGTTTTCTATAATCGGATCTTTGCGCATCTGTTTCGAGTTCGAAAATTTTCGTTTCTATTTACCGAACTAAGCGCTGAGCTACAAATGTAAGTCTACAATGTAAAGTCCATATTTGAAAGCTAGACTAATAAGAGCTGTTAGCTATTTGACGTCTATTCGTTATATTTTAAAAATATACTCAATTATTTTATAATACTATTACCAACATGTTTATTTTTTGTCGAAAAATTCTACGGAAAAGACCTTTCGATGAGCTATTAAGATTACGTTAAGTTTGGTATTAACTGGAAGCCAACGTTCAGACATATCCGTTTAGTTCAAAGCTGCTGTCTTCCAATACAGTTTTCAGTAAACTCCTAATTTTCTAAAATATCGATGATTAGTTAGTCGTGTAAACTGCAGGAATATCCAGCTCCACTTACGGTATTTTATCACATAACCGGGCACATCCGAGGCTTGCTTTATCGAGTATGTGTGTGACACACGCACAATGAAACGCTACTAATTGCACCTGTTTAACTCTGTTACGCAGGGTTCGACCAAAGACCAACCAGGAATCCAACGTTTTAAGTCAGTGCCGTTTGTTGCTGCACGAAGTCATGAATTTCGTTCTCAACTTGGAGTCATACCAGTTCGCTCATGTGAGCCACCCATGCATAGGATAATATATATAAATTAACTCGTTGTATCTTGTTACGTGTACATGCGTGTAACACATCATTATTATGAGCTGCCACGGCACTGCTTGTAAATAACAACAACAGCACCTTTTGTTATTTTCTTCGTTTTTATCACCAATATTATTATATCATCAGTAACCTTAGTATTCGATCGTCATAAACGTCGTTTTATCTGTTGTTTGTCTTCGAGCATCGTTTAACGTTTATCATAGAATTTCAGATGAAGCCAAAAATACAACATCACAATCTTGCTTAAATTGTACTAGATTAACCTTTAATTTGATTTTTAAGTGAACATCAAACTGAGTTTATATTTTGATTGGTTAGCGAAACCCTTTTAGTGTAAGAAGTAAACCTAGTGTACCGCATTCTCGATTGGCTTAGGTCGTGACGACTGCTTGGGGCGAACTTGAACGACGGATCGATGCAATGACATCAGTGGACGATCTCAGTGACGCACACAATGCGTTTGTCGAAAACCTTCTCAGAGGTCTTTTTTTGGAAGGAGAAGATACGGCAGGAAATCACCTTAGGTTTGTAGAGATTTCTCGCATGTACGCTGCCATGAGACACATTCGTTGTTTGATAAGAACATGATAGTTTTTCTCACTTTGTTTTCTGAGATTTCATTCATTACTAGTATTTAGTATTTGTCGAGGATCCCCTTACTTATCGATGTCATGTACAAACATACAGAAACTGAAGGCGAATAACCGCCAAAGGTTGACATGAAGTTAATGAAGGAACTTAAAACAGAGAGCAAGCACCACTTGCTAAATCATGTGCGGGTTCTGTTACGGTCGCATTTTGAAAGACTTCTAAAACTTCACAGAAGTACTGTATTTTTTTAATTTTTGATTTGCAAATTGTGTACACTCCGTATCAACTGTTTTCGTTTTACCAATTTCCTTATATTATCCAGGTCCCTATTCATACAAATGGACAAGATCCATAGCTTTGTTCGAGGAGTACTTGTCAAATTTCAAGTAGGCTCAGGCGGACAATGTGACATTAAATGCGATTACATCAACAGATATAGAAATACAATGCTTGAGTTTCTGCGTATCCTGAGTGAGCACGAGGATGATAAAATGGTGCAATTTCTATGGATGAACTTTGACTTCAATCTGTTCTATTCGGACAAACATTACGCGCTGATTATGTCGGTTACCGCAGGTCACCGCAAAATGCTCAAGTAAGTAGTTTGTTCGATTCTATATAGTATAAATCTATATTGGAAAACCATTGTTTTTGTTCTCGAATCTTGTCATCTGCCCGGAGCTCTAATTTTATAAGTCTTCTCGCATAACGGAGCTCACGCTATGTGTTTCAAAGACAAACATGCTATGTTTTCTTGTACCAAATTCTGGAATTTTTATGAATTTGTGTACAATTTCAGGACAAATAAGAGTGTTATCATGAGCTCGATGAGCGCGAGCGATATTGGAAAAGCTGTATGAGCCGAATAGGATCGTTTAGTGAACTCTCCTTCTCTGTTCAGCGAAAATTCATCTTTGTTGACGTCCAGAATTATTATTTTTCATCACCATAAATATTGTTGTCAAGAACCTGCTTGGAATAGCCATTTATGGAATGGCATTCTCAATACAAAGTGTTATAAGATCAACGTAATCACAAATGGTCGCTTACATTTTTAATTATGCACAGAAGTTATTCCATATGAGATAAAAATACTTGTTTGAAACTTTTGGCGGGAGATCCCTTTCGTAGCCCATGAGGAGTACGGACTGGAAAATAACTGCCGCCCGCGAGGACTGAGGGGTAACTATCAGATGACAGATTGGTGAATAAGCTTATCAAAACGTACAGGAAAAATACCAGAGAAGTATGAAAACATAGTTCGAATCTAGTTTGACATAATTCATAGGTTGCCATTAATTGTTTCGACAATACGAAATAAGCATTCACTGGTAATTGCATGAATAGTGATAAGCAGCAGACATATCTTAACATGTAAAAATTTGCTTTGTTTATCATTCGATTATGATAACGTTTCGGCTTATTGCACATCTTTACGTGATTTGTTTGGTTGTATAAATTTGCTATTATTTTTTATATCAATATGATTATGGCGAATAAATGAGTATATGTGAATACACTGCTCTGCGGTTTTCTTCACTAGAAGATGTTCAGCACAAATGGCGTTCGTCATGACGACGACTATCAATTTAGATCAGCAATACATAGATGTGAGATGTGGCGTAATTTACCTTGCTAGTGTACACATACACCTTAATAAAAATGAAAGTATATAAAATATTCTTCACGATACTTCCCATTATGTGAATATTTTTTCTATCAATACTGTTATTTTATTATTAAGATAATTATCTGTTACTAACTATATATTTTTTATGTATTATTTTCTAATTAACCAATTCGAAACATCTAGTTCTAAATAAAAACAGGTTACATTTCTCTCTAAAATTGATGTTTTGTAGGTAATAACGATACTATACTCGCTGCCTATATTTATTTCTAATTGTAATCACTGAAAATCCAAATTTGATAGCTTTTTTATTGTTATGTATTATATGTAGAAATATTTACATGCTTAATTTACCTCAAGTCTCTATTCTATATCAGCGACTGATACAAACTACTATTAGGGTGCATTAGCTAGAACATGACACGTGATATCTTTCATCCGTGAATCTATCTCCTTCTACTTTCGAAACTGAACTCACATATAGACAATAACATACATCTTGATAAATTTTTCGGTCTGGTAATCTGATCACCATTTAGTCTACAGCGGAAAACATTTCAGCACCCAATCGGTATCTTGCACTCAAATCCAGTTTAGCCATAAGGCAAATTCAGCAACAGATACTCTACCAATCTACCTTTAGCGGCCAAAGCAAGAGTATTTTTTTGGTCATTCTTTGCACTTGGAACTCAGCTAGAAGTCTTTAAAGGCATTAATTTTACGGAAAGTCTCATTCAACCTATAGGAAGATGCTGAAATATTATTCGCTATGATTAATGAACATCTAAAATGTTCTCGCACAATGTGAATTACATTTTCAGCAAATTAGCGAACTCAAATAATGCTAACGTTGTTTGCCTAGGTAAACGTCGAAACAACATCGGGCTTCACATCTATCGCATATCGCATGCTTTGTGTTATCAGCTTATTTTAAACACCTGATTAACATTAACATTTATGGACATTCCGTTGCTTTACTTTTTTTGAAGCATCTAGTATGCATGGGGGGAATAAATGTTCTACAATTCTGTCAATCACAAACATCTAGCAAAAAGCATGCTTATCGATTAAATTAATTTAATGGTGCTTATTTCTACTTTGTTTATAGTGAAGTCTTAATATGACTATTCAAACAAACCTTATTAAATATTCTCTGTACGATATCTATAAAAACACTGTATACATAAAAATGTGTGTATAGTTTTAATCACATGCGATGACTGTTACGTAAGCACATATATGCCGACGACCATGCAGACAACCAGGATTATATATCTACTGTTTCAAAATTTTAAGTGCCCATCAGTCATTCTATATGGTTCTTTATCACCACGTGTGGTCACTATAGCTTCAGAGTATCAGTTTATGCTTACACTCACTTGAATCAACAACTTGTTCAAAATCGCTTGTTTTGAATTCAAAGATCCACAAAGCAATACCAAGCCAAAGATAATCTCTCGGACAATGAGGCCCAGAGATAACGTGGTCTCATAGAGGAAAAAATGCATTTTCTAACAAGTTTTGCCTTATATTGCACAGTTAAACACACAGTGTTCTAGATCGCCTAAATATGTTCCTTCGGTTATGATCTGTGTATAGTACCATTACCCTGTACCACGTGGCTATCACAAATCCTTATAAATAGCACGCAACAAATGATACGATACTTGTTTTTTGCATCGGGCTCTAATATAATAATGCAAAGCAAGAATGTACTTACAGTATTATAAAATAGAAAGACCTAAATAGCAAGATAAGACTGTTTCAATCCGCAATAATGATACTTACATAATAAGCCAAAATTATTGTTGCCCTGTATTCATGGTATATTTCACGAGCTACTATGAAACGAGTACAATACACGTAGTAATTCCAGAAGTCCTTTCAATAAAACTTATACTGCAATCCATAAAAATCAGCATATGCGAAGGAATATGTGAAATATAACGTCTTTTTTTTTGCGGATGTTGAAAGGGTTAGAACGTACCTCAGCATATAACATTAGAATTTGCTCCCACGTCGAACTGGATTTAGTCGACTGACTTTTGAATAACGCGCCTATTTTCGCATTTTCTTCATGCCTATAAAAAATATTTGAAACGTAATGGTTGTTCCTCTCTGAAATCATAATGGCAACTTAACCGGTGATGATATTCAATCTCATGCAAATTATTAAATTTAAGATATATTTCTAGGAGACCGTCGAGACCATATGCATATGAAATTTAGTCGCTGTAAATTAAAACCTTTTAAGCTAATTATATATTGTGTCCACTTCAGTTAACTTTGTTTACAGTGGATGTCGAGTGCGCTTTTGTACTTCCCAGGTAGAGACAAAAATTACGGATTTTCCAAGCATCCTATTCTCGGCGGCTAACAATCCAGCGTAAAAATGAAGATAAACAAACATTATCACAATGTTTTTATTCAGAAGTATCTTATATATATATATATATATATATATAACAACGACTGCACCATACATTACGAATATATTTTCTATCTTGTTTCACCCCTTTCATTCTCCTCCTTCGCGGTAGACATCTGGGCTACTTTATCCAACATTCATCATCCCTAAGAGGCACGCACCGGTGTTTCACGCTGACTGCTACCACTTTATGATAAGCTCCTTTGCAGTTTTCGTTCTTGTCCTTCTTTTCTCCATATGTCTAGTACCAGTGAGTCAGTACCGCTCAGTTACGATTCATTGCCAGGAGCCTTCATCGTCACTAAATGGCATTTTGTCTTACCCAGCTCCCGATATGATAATCACCACGTACCTGCTATATTTTGCTTTTCTATTGTCGTACCTATAGTATTTATTAGTATAGACAGACCATCACGTATTCGGCACAACCGCGCACTCTGATACACGCGATTTCGTCACACAACACACCCTCTGGGTCGTTTGTCCAGTAAACGATTCGACTGGAAAAGCAGCTTACTCTTGTTCGCACCGTAAAACATTATCGACATCGACACTTCCCCTTTATTACCTATTCGTCACTTTGTCTATTATTCGATCACGTCCCACTAACAAGCCACATAAGCGAGTTAGGGATATTAGGAAACTTTAAGACGGATTTTATTATTAGCAAAAATTCTGCTTAGAAAAATTAGATTAAAGAGCTGAAATCACAGCGTAAATTTATTGTAATTTTCTTCACTGAATAATCATTAACGGAGGAAGCCGTTAAGAAAAATTTGCTAGACGATCTTGAGTTTAAGTTGGTAAAACTTGGCTCGCCTGAAGATACAAGACTAAAAAAAATGTATGCAGAAAACAAGTTTGACTTTTCTTATTTTCCGCTTGTTATTTTTGGGAATTACTTTAGTACTTCTGTTGCATCCGTGTTTTTCCGTAAATTGATGCAGATTCGGCATCAAAATTGTCGGTCTCATCCTTATGCTACAGCCAAACGGCCTGGATTTAACTAAATTGATACAGATTTAGCGTTACCGCAAACTGATCCAATTGAATTTGTTAAATTCTTTTGTCAGAGAGCAAAAATCTTAATTTTTTATTTTACTTATATGGAACATAAGTTTTTGATACTAGTCTATACTTTGCTACCCTCTTCGTCCTTCTTTACCCTTCAGTTTTCTTTCTTTTCCTTCTCTTTCGCTGTCTGAGGATAGAACCAAGCAGCTAAGAAAAACCTGCATTGAACGCCCAAAATAGATGTACCGTTTGCTTTGGTAATAAGAAACATCGAATTAATTTGATATAATTGTCTTCATATGTATCGTCGAGACTATTGCTCTATCAACATATAAAAATAGAACAAGAGTTTACGCTAATTCTTTTGTTCGTCAAACTTAGCAGTTAGCAGCACTTGATAAAGTATGGGTATATGTATATGCTGATATAAATGTGGATGTAAATATCTGTTGTGTTAAATCAGTAAAACAAGTATGCACGCAATAGACCTACAAAAACGGAGTACATTTAAACGTCAGCGGAGACTAAGCGTATTTTTACGCACCAAAAAAAACAGAGGGAAATAGGTGGGTTGTTTAAATGCCTACAAAAAACGTTTTTGCTGTTCAGCAGCGCCAAAAAAAAACGTCTCGCCATTAGGCAATCTGACCCAATGTCGCCAGATAAGAAGTGCTCTTGTAATTGTGCGTTGTGACAGTGTATAATAAGCGTGTTCAATTTCGACCTCCCTAAGTAGAAGCAGCGTCAAAGCAGCTATGATATGATGATTGTCCTTTGTTTGATTGAAAGGAAGCATCAATTCTCGAATTTGTTAATATCGCAACATAGTCATGTAAACGCATTTCGTTGGGTCTTCAGTAACTTTTCTTCGTCACTTAGTTACTTCATTTGTACCATCAGTCATGGATGCTTCGACTTTAAGGAGCTTATAAAGAGACATATTTGTATAGTTATATATGAACAAACAAATATCTGCCACAGCCGCTGCAGCACATTTTGGCCTAGCCTGTCTACTGCAACAAGGAAAATAGAAAAAACAAATGCTAGGCAGTTATCTTTTCAGAAGTACTACAGGCGAATAAAAGCAGAGTAGGCTTTCTTCATTATGTTCAAACGTCGACATTGTGGAGAATATTAGTGAGTATGTAAAGACTGTATCGTTTCTTTTCAGCCGCCACAAACCATTGACATTTCGTCGAAAGGCCACCTCAAAGGACAGTGGACAATCTCTTTTTCGGTTTGATTTCGTTGGTACGTCCAACCTGCTTTTCTTTCTAACAGTTATTTACTTATGTGTGCTTATGTTATCGCATAATCAATAAATTAGTGTGTGCTTGCTTTACTAAGATCTTCTTTAAAACAAATTATTATTAATAGAAAGCTGTCGAAGGAATCACAAACAAGGATTGGGTCGTTTGAGACGGTCGTTATATAACAACCATTATTATAACGTTTCTTTTTTATATAAAAATGAATGTTTGTGTACTTGTAATAAATGTGATATTTTTTCCTATCGCTCGCTGAAAGGCGCAGGACTGGATCCAAGATACAACTGATGCTTTTGGTTTCGCTCGAGCTGCACATTAAAACTACGTCCCACAACGTGCTTGCAAATATGATTGCGTTTTTCCCATCTTTGCTAAACATACGACTTTAATCGTACTGCCTCTTGCTATGAGGGTACATATGTTTGGATAGACTTGTATGTGTGCACGCGTATTTATACTTACCGAGCGAGTCGTATTTATGGCAGCTGAAGAGACCGTATGCAAAAAAACGTAAAATATGTGCCTTACTTAGATGATCTCCATCCGGGATGCTGCATAAAAGTCAGTACAATTGCTTAACTCTTGTCAACACTCTGGCGCTGATCTAGTAAATTATGGTTTATAACTTCCAAGACAAATTGCTTCAAATCTGCCGCAAGTTGGGCCATAATATAAACTCAACCTGGGTCAAGAAAAAACTTGATAATTAAAAAAACAGATGCTTGTAGATGGGAGACAAAAAAAAAAAGTGAGCAATTTTAACATCATACGAAAAGTGTAAAAGATAACGTAGCATCGATCACTATGAATTTTTTCTTACTGTTTTTCCTGTTTACTGATTTAAAAAAAAATTATACTTTCAATTAGGTGTGTGTTGTTAAAGATTTCGGTAAGCCGCAATCGCAGCTCTTACTTTGCCATATACGCCAATGTGTATCTAGTAAATATACATACCCAGGACGGTACGCGTCATCTTTGTTGTAGCCAAATTTAATTACAGTAGAATACAATATTTTTTTACTCGCTAGAGTTTCATTCCGAACTTTCAAAATTCCAAAGCAAAACAGTTCGCTGCCGAAAATTCTAAGGTTCAAAAAATTAACTTTCCACGTTTTCTGAGATGAAGTCTGTGCCCACTTTCTACCCAACCAAATTTTTTACGTAAATCACCGTTCTCTTTAGCCATTTTCTGGCTTAGCCTCACTGGTTTTCTATACAATAAAGCAATCCGAGCAGAGTCCAAGCCTTCTGGAGGCGTCTCGCACAGATCACTCAAACCCTTCTTTTACAAGACTGTAACACAGTCGTTGTTAGTCCCATTGGTTGTTAGATATAGGTTGGTGAGTTGAGAAGGCAATTGTTGCAGGCTTCGCAACGTTGAGCGGATTTCGGATTAATCAACGTACATGACGGACATTCCCGGCCTCCAGAGACCTGTTAAGGTTTAGACCAATTTATTAGCATAGTGACAAGAACAGTTAGTTGTGACAAAAATGTATGGTAGGTTTCAATATAAGCGACTTCTTTACAACATCCCTAAATGAATCTGTCTGCTCCGCGGCAGGAGACAACTACATTATATGTGAGAATTTGATTAATATTCATGTTAGTTAAATGAGACGATCGGCTCGTACAAGAAAGACCTTTTTGGGCGTCATCTGGGAATTGAATTTTTATAACTCTATCTCGCCTTCAAACCTCATGTATCATTGAGTGGTGTCCCTTATACTAAAGAATCTCATATAAGGGAGCAATGTTTGGGCAAGCTACAGCTTTAATTATACCAGTCTAAAAGTTATTTTCTACTCACAAGTGGTTCGCCAACGGGAGGTCTGGAGTGAAGATGACGTGATTTCGAACACATTATGCAAATTTTCGCCGATGGTTCATTTAAAAATGTACACACGGCGCACGGCCAGGCATCATCGTCTATCATTGAAGCACCTATCAAAGAACAATAATATCAAAAATTAAATGTCTGTAAAGGTCTATGTTATTACGTTAACTCGAGTTTATTAACAGAAACACCTATACGGCAAGCGCCTGACTTGAAGCTCTGCAGAAGGTTAAAAAAGAAATATCGCTTAAATTAATCAATTCGCTCCTATACATTTGCCATGGACATAACTACTTTTATCTACATATATTCAGGCTGACCATGGGCGTCGTTTTGACTTGACGAGAAGGTTTTATCGGTCTCGTCACGATGGTCAATTAACAAGTCTCGTTCCCGACTCTCTTTGTCTCGTTTTCGGCCGTCTCGACTATCTGTTTGTCTCGAATCTCTTGACGACGTTCCGCCAGAGCGGTCTCGGTCATCGTCGCGCAGCGAGCTCGTGCCTACCCCAATCGACCTAAATGTAAAATACACAGATGGGTAATTGCTTTTGTTTTCTTCAATGCCAAACATGATTAATATATGTCATAATAATCTCAGTTTAGTATCAATTTTCATTTTTCAGATTTTTTTTCGGATAGCATAACAAACTCTGTTAGATCTTTTATCGAATAAAACGAAAACATTTTATGCATGTAGCCATATCACGTAACATCTAGTCAGCATTTGTTTAATTGGAACATATAGATATAAATTCAATCTAATGCTGGTAAGGAAATCCTGACAGGGTTGACGACGTCGATGCGTGTGTTGAATGCTGTGACGATATGGACGCGCCATTCGTCCCCGATGGAGGCGTCGGTGAAAGGCCGAGCTTTGGCAATGCGAACGGAACTCCACTCGAGTTCCCCTGCTCCGTGGGTACATGCAACTTATAGCTATTGTTACTGCTTCCCCCTGAAGTTCGTTGTGCGGCCTTCTATGCAGATAAATAAACACGAACATCAAAAGAGTTAAGATTGGATGCCGATGTCGAGAAAACAAGTTGCATACTTGGTGCGTGGTGTCGTTTTTCCTGAGCAAAAAGTCCTCTTACACGCTCTTACAAAATGTATGTTAAATTGCAGTGTCGTTAACTAATTTTAATGAAGTAACGTGGCAGGAGATTCCAACGAAAATTTACCTCTCTAGCCAGGTGATGGCTGCTTATCTGAGGCGGAGCTATAGCCATCTGGGAAGTAACATTAGATCCCATCGAATGAGACAGAGGAGCTCCGGGAGTTACTCGTTTGCTTCCTTCTCCTCCGGACAAACTGACGCCGTCTCGGTACATACCATTTCCTCGACTTCGGGCATATCCTTCATCAACTAACAGATCATTGCGAAATCTGCATACATTAAAGCGAACGAATATACTGACGTGAGAAAGAACAGCAAAAAAGTATCTAGAGGGTAGTTCGAAGAAACGTTTCCGACTGCGGAGTCTCTCCCGCTACGGCACAAGAAAATATCATAGCAAGGAGTATAGTAAACTAGGTATACTCGTTTTTTTGCTATAAAAAAAACCTGAGCTGGAAGATAAGATAAAAATGATAAAATTTTTCCCGAATTATTTAGTTATCTAAAACCAAAAAATGCACATAAAATGCTCATCTAATATTTAACCTTCGGTCGTCATCTTCATCAGCGTTCGGAACCACCTTCGATGATGTCGTCAGCTGTCCACCTTTGATTTGATGCCGTGACGGTTTTCGTAATGGGGCTAGCGGGGCTGTTACAACAATTTTGTCTACCCTAGAATCTTTCAGGTCTGGTATCCTGAGATCGGCTTTGAGATCGCCTCTGGGATCGCCTAGCCTTGCGCCGGCTCCATAGCCGAGATTCTCCATCTCTTTATACATCGATTCAAGAGCGCGTTGCGAGTGCAGTTTTTGTTCGTATTGGTGGTTCAGTACAATGGCGCATTCTGAAATTGAAGCGCCGTGCAATTGGCAGCGCGTGTTGTAGATGTCTAGCCAACGCGAGTCGAAGTGTCGCACGCCGCTCTTAAGCAGCAGTAGGATTTTGCACTCGACATTGGCTATGAGGCAGTCGAGCGCCACGAACGTCACATCATCCGGATCAAGCGGTTTCGCCGGTAGTAACATACAATTCCCCTGCCGAACGTAACCTAACAGCTCAAGAACTGCTTCAGACTGGCACAGATACCGCTCGATTTTATGTTTGTAAAAGCCGCCATACAACTGCAAAATCGTACAACAGCGATCAATCAAGTGATGATAGGTTATCGCAGTATTTCAATGTAATATTTAATATAAGTTATAATGTGATTACTGTTTCTTTCAACTTTTTAAATAATTTTGTACATCAATGTCTTACTTTGATCTTGCGAAACTCCTCCCTCCAAGGTTGGACAAGAAGGTTGCAGGCATATCTTTCTAGCCATCGGAACGCTTCAGCGGTCCTCAGCGGGTCGAAATTAAATCCGGCAGCGCTTTTTGTCTCGATTGTTTGGCGTAGAATTAGCTCAAAGCTTACACCCAGGTGATACTTTTCTCGTTGACTTACCTGCCAAGGCAGACCACCAAATCAAGACGTGCCTTAAAAATCTGTTCTCGTTCGAAATGTATGGTCGTATTGCTTTCGCATCCGTGTGCAGAATCCAACGCAATTAAAAAAAATTAGACGGCAATACGACCCTCACGAGTCGTTTTCCTTATCGTTTTACCTGGCAGACATAATCAGTGATGAGTTCTTCAAGTTGATGTCTTTTTTGTTTCGCGGGTACTGCTCCAGAGCACATATCTTCGTCCCTGCCTAGCGCTTGCTGCTCTTGAAGCCAACCTAAATAGCCAACGTACGAGTCATAGATGCGGTCTCTTAAACGGGCGCTCAGTACACGTTCCCTGTCACGATGCTCTCTGCCCAGAGGTCCAGAATGACCTTGCTGCGATGCCACACTTTTAGCTAATCGGGCTAGCTCAAGCTGCTCCAAGTTCCGCCTTTTCTGAAACTCCTCTAATACACCCATATCGGCTGTAGGAGCTGATAATGGCTGCATTCCTCCACGATAGCCTCCAATACGTCTGGAACGGCAACGTTAACGCATTTTGATGTCATTTATCACAGACAGAACATTGAAAACAAAAGACGGCCAAGCTGAAAAAGCCATAAACAAATCGTAAGTTCTGCTTGGTAGTGCCACCACCGTATAATGATGACTTTTGTATCTATTTTCTGCTAGATTCAAGGCTCTCTCACTACTGGATGATTTTGTAAAGTTTACGAAACCATGGTATGTTCCCTTAATCGCTATAAAACTTTCTCGACATTTATTACAGTGCGAGGTGGATAAATGTTAGTGTAACTATTACTTTAATACAAATCTTGGTCACTCGCTAAACCGCAACAGCCTGGCACGATCCATAAATCCGGAGGCTATCAGTTTCGATGCGACGCGAACATTACTTTAAGAAATCTCAAGTAAAGCAATCTCAGCAACATTGGAAACAAACTCTTAAAATGCGCATTTTTTTTCCAACGGTATACATTTTTTACAAAAGCGGAAACTTTGAAGGAATGTACTGCTTGAAGAAGCAACAAATTTTTCGTACCCATCATGCTGCTGCCGATGACTGCTTTGCTGGGGGCTCTCTCTTGGCATGCCCGAATGATAGGCGGGCGTTCCCCCAAATGGGACGTGCAGTGGAATAGCGAGGGGTGGCAAAGGCGGTACGGACACTGACGAGCAAGGGCCGCCGACCAAAAGTGGAAAGGGAGCAGCCGATGTCAGGCCAGAAAATTCCTCGCGTAGAGCCATCGTATCGCACTCCTTCCCTTGAACGGGTAGGGTCTCGCTAATTGATCTCTTTGTGCAGCCACTTCGACGTCTTAGGCTCTTCCCTGTGGAAGTGTCAGGGCCCGCTACTTACACTGTACTATTGGCACTATTTGCCCAAGTCGAGGATTAAAAGGTACCTGAAATTGATGACACAGGTTATTGGAAGAATGTAGGGATACGCGTGACCGCTCACTTACGTATCGTTGGGTTTCATCATCCGACAAAGTCCATTTTAAGTTAGGTCTGTCTATTTCTTTGCAATATATTATAAAGATAACTGCGAACTGATCTAAAGCACGCGGCCAATAAAACTTTAGTTAAGGAAGTACGAAAGGTATAGGTTATTTTTTTACCCGTGTTATACTATAACATGGCTTTAGAGCGGTCTGAAGGGTTCAACTTCTCAGATTTTGCTCCCCCACTAAATAAAGACCATCCACATTTCGATTTCCTAAAGTATGTTTTCAAAAAAATATATGAGCTTTTACAGAATAAATAGTGGGGCTGTCCATTTAAATAAGCAGTTAGTTTGTTCTCATTTAAATCTGTTTTTAAAAAACGGGTTTTACATTTCACTGTGCCCATCTTGGAAAGAACAGGTCGTTGCCTTTCAACCAAAGCTGCAATGCAACTGTAAAAAATAATTTGTAACTCTTCAGGAAATGTTCAATCTCTCGGCAAACTTCCGCTCACATTTTTATGCCAAAGATATAATTTTTTTTGGCGAGTCATTCCAAATCGAGCTAGACCTCCCGCCTCAGGTCATACACACAAGTCTTCAGAACGTTACCAGAAATCGAAAGGAACCAGTTTGTGTTCAAAATGAACATCTCTTATTTCTGCATATGGCCAAAATGTTCGGCATTAACCTAAATGTACCCGCCTTGACTTAATCACATGTTTATGCGTATTGTTAACTAAGTTTCACTTGAAATATTGTTCTGACAACTGGTAGAATAAAATGGTAATAAATCATTTTTAACATTATTATTTTCTGGTAGTGAACGTTATTCGTATTTTCTTGCAAATACTCGATTAATATCTCTGCCGCGATGATTCTGCGTTCGAATCTTATATCTAGCTTCCAAAACATACGCTGCTCTAACGTGTACTTCCTGTGTTGTTCTCGTCAATATGGTCGCCATCTTGCAACCTTGTATCACAATGAAGCCTACGCGGATATCTCGACTGAGGCGTGGCAGTTTCACTTTTAAACTAACAAAGTTAATTGCATATAGCACACATCCACTGAACATTCGACAGAAAAACAGAATCACAATTTGATTAGTTCATGCCTCAAGTGAATTTTAGCATCTTGACTACCTTCAATATTCGCAACATAATTATATTGTCCATCTGTGATGACGACAAGTTTCGTCCAAGGATAAACTTATAGCACTGTAAATATTTTCTTCACTACGAATTATAGATGGCCGAACGTTTGAATCGCGATTGCTTTCATTCCAAGCCGTGTCTTTTAAAAACAATATAAAATAAAGAACCGATGCTAGAAAAAGATAAAGAATACTAATAGATATTCCTAACAATGTCTGAACAAAAAACTGAGTCGTAGAGAGTCGGAGATGAATGACTTGTTAGAGAACCACCGTTGCAAACAAGCCAACATTGATATGCCCTCGATGCGGAATGTGCTGCCGCCGAATATACAGCTTCGCAGGGCCTCGAAAATTGGATTGTGATTTTTGAGATTGCAGTTCTTTGACCCGTTTACGCTTAAAATGAACGTATGTAGATATTATTGTTCGCATCTCGGAGTTGACTTGTTTTAATCTAATGTACAAATATCTATATATAGTCAGGCAAGAGCAGCGATATTGCCGAAACATCACCAATTACTGACCGATCTGTAAAACAACATTCCCATTCGTTAATACTTATGTATGGCATACATGTATTACGATTGTATTTCAGTGACAGTAAGAACGATCTGTTTGACAGTTGCACCTGAATAACAAAATATACGCTCTCCTCAATTATACTTGTCGCTTCCGTAGTTAACAAATATAATCAATAAAATACTTCGAGTGAACTGTTGTAATGTGCGCAGGCGCGTGCCTTAAAGGTTCCACATTCTACTTAGTGAATCTCACCTTTTTAGGTCAGCGTCAGTCGAAAAGCGTTGCGCGAATCTCCTGAAGCACGGTACAGTAATAACTAGGCTTTTCTACCCATCGTCCACAGATTGCAAACGAAGCCACACGGAACGATTCATGGTGTACCACTCGTCTCTATTAAGGTCGCCAGAAATGAACTATCGCGCACCGGGGACGAGGCACTGCATCGACTGCAGAACCGATTGACTACATAACGAAACAAAACAGCAATAGAGCGCTACTGCTTCGCCGCATGTATATGTTCCCTTTCATTTAAAGATGGGACCAGCCTTTATTAAAGGCACAGTAGTGCGCTAGTTACAGCTAACTCAAAGCTCAACGTGGCCTCTGCGTACATTCGTTGGCCGACTCGATACTCCGGCTGGCATTTCTCCGACTCTATCCACGCTCCGCGCACAGTCGCTGTACTCACTCAGTCCATATCTCCGTCCCAGTTACTCTACTGCACTCCAACCTGAACGAACAACATCGACAGTACCACTAGTTTAAGATGCTTGTCGCCGTAACAACAGAAAGAACAACACATGTTTATAACACTGATTCAGAGTTCGATACAGAGCTGACATGGAGAATAGTAGTAACAGCCACTTTAAGAATCAACGCTGGAAATGATAGAGACCGACTTCGTGGATGGACACTGCCGGTTAGACACATACAGACCTGCTAGGCACGAACTCGTCTCCCCGAACTGATTTCCGGACAGACTATTCTAGATATCGTAACCTGTCTCCAAAAATCAGCCACAGGCTACAGACCAGATCTACGCATTAATGTGCAGGATTATGGGGCGTCTACCCAGCTTTCCAAATGAGATCAACCTCTCAACGCATAAATAATTGATTAACTACTTAAGGTATGCCACCCGCCGTCACTGAGTTGGTTTGCGCTTACAGACCAGCGACTACATTGAGACAAACTTACACGAGATAACTGTGTCGACCCTGCCAGCAACGTCGTTGCGACTATCTGATGAGACAGGTCCAGCTGTTGTTATACCACAAACTACGACAACGGGCCTTTGTCTATTTTCCTAATGGAAGCAGCAATAGTCCGTCTGACTGTACGACGTTCGCAGCATCATCGACAACACCCGTAGCAGCGACACCATCATCACTACGGAAGCAGACTGTGTTAGCGGTAGGAGCAGCGCTGGCAGCAGCAGCAAACTCTGAGCAGCTGATTGAAACAGCAGCCCAGCGTCAACCATCTGCTAGTCAACAGCAGTGGCACAACAACATAGTCAGTGCCACAACGCACCTTCACACAACGGGCGAAATCCCCCGTTCGACTCTGCACAGCAGCACAAGCGATCCGGCGTTTAGTTCACCGTCGCTCAACCAAGCACGACGGCCATCCTGTAGCCACTAGAACTCACCGATGGTAGCCAGCCTCCGGAGTCTATACAGGCGCCTGATAGCTAGCGGCGCTGGCGGCTAGCAGCTTCCAGACCGATCAACTGTGAGCACAAGAGCGTGCACAGACCGACGATGACAATGACGAAGTCGCGCACGCGAACCGACCTGCCTACTTGATTATGGTGATCGTAATCGCGATGCTTCTACTGCTGCAGGGAGCAGAAGCAACCGGAGTCAACGAAATGGCGGTAACAATAGCAGCAGCAACGGCGGCAGTGGCGCGCTTGCAAGACGAGCAGGCTCAACAGCAGAACCTCCATGAACAATAATAGTCAACTAGGAAAACTACGGCTGATATTATTTTTCAATGAACTACGAATTAACAAAGAACACAACTACATTTGGTGAGCAAACATTGATTTGAACCGAAACAGCTATTCAGAAGAGTTACATAGACTTTTTATTTCGAATAGTTGAATTCATTTTTTAAAGCGGTTTATAGTTAATGCCATCTAATATTAAATACAAGTTGTTCTATATCACTATGTACTAATTATGCTTACACAACTAGCAGCTACAGATATAAGTTAATCAGCGCAAAGGCACAGGCAACTGCAACGTAAAATTCACAACCCTATACAGTCGCAGGCGGAATGGTGGTAAAAGGCTTATAGAAAGGAAAAAGATTCAACTATTGGCGTTGCCAGACTTCTACTACTGCAAGAAGCGAGTCGCTGGTGACTAACTGGAAACGAGCGGCTGGAGTGAGCGGTCCTCCCACGCGCCCACGATACACGATTTGAGATACACAAACAGAGAATGGGCATTTAAATATGTGTTCTCTATATTGCATTCGCCGCGCACAGAGTAATGCTAATAATAAGCCTCCGATGTATTGCGTACACTAACGTAAATGGATAAGAAAGGAAAGAGATGACTACATTTTCATTCAGAAAACGCTACGTGGCCATAAAAAAATAACGACAATATCGCAAAGACGGACAGGAAACTGCAAACTGGAAACAATGAGCAGAATAAGATTTTTTTTTGTTCCGAAGCGTTTTTATCAATGGTCAATATTAATTTTTGCCGATAAGCTCGACTGGTAAACCCGGAGTGAATAAAATCGAATACGCGTGGATCTATCTGTGCTTATTGCGAGGTACGTGTAAACTTCTAAATAAAAAAAGCCTGCGATTTGCCTTTCGAAGGAAAAGCCGAGATCGGGAAAAGATGCCTCGAATATTTGGCGATGTTCCAGTGGTGTGCAGTGAGCAAAGGGTTACAAATAGGATAACCAGGAAGTTACATAGGCTGTCATATCTGTTTAATTTCTTATTATTGGCTCTGCACTATAATGTATAACGTTAAATCGAATAGTTCATTTATTTGCAGATTTATTCCTGATGATAAATTTACAGTATATCTTTAATTTAATTGCATTATGCACCTCTAAATAAGATAACCGCTTTCCAAAATTAACCGCGGACAAATCGCACTTTTTGACAACACGAAAATATGAGGCAATACTATTAAGGATATAAAGATAAGTGACAATACAAATCAAGTAGTAAACCACGGAGTTTGACTCTCATAACGATGACTGATAAACAAACATTGAATTCCTTTATGTTTTTTTGAAGTGGTTTGCAATGTGACAAGTAAACTAAACACATATTCATGGCTTATAATTGCAGTATTTTATTTTACGAAAAGAAGTAACACATTTTAGTGGTCATATACCTGTTTATGATAAATTTATCGTTCTTGAAAGTGAAAATCAACCACAAAAAATGTTGTTCTATGGTCATCATTTGCTTGTAAAAACACGAATTTCGAAACGTCCTTTACATTTAATTACACGCATAGGAATCGAGAAACGGTCTCTATTGGAGGGTGCGTCATGAATGGGCCTGTGATTCTATCGGTATTATTTGGTGACTCTTGTTGCATACATACTAGATAACGGGAAGTTTAGTAATCTGTCTTTACTAAAAACTGGTGTCAATAGTGACAAAGGCCGGATTTCTCTGAGCAGATGGGTTGAATCAGCATGCGTCCATTCGAGGATCGGAGGAGAAGGAGGACAACCCCCCACGACAACAACACTTCATTCGAAGGACTAACTACTCACAGTAGAGCCTAAAAGATAACTTTCAGCGAAGCCGCAATGTTTTTCACATCATACGGTAAGTAACAATACGAAACACTGAAGCTCGCAGAAGAGAGATCGAAAAACTTTAAGATATATCTTTCGAAATTGAAAGTAACACAGTTGTAGTAAACCTTGAATTTATCAAACGAAAAAAAGAAGACTCATTAGAACTATATCGAGACTATCACAGGGCCTTTTTACTAATAAGGATAGGGCATTTTAAATATTGACCGCCCAAAGCACTTTGGGTTTAGTAATGTAGTGATCTACCGGAAAGGCAGAAAATAAGAGAATACCGATTCCAATTGTGATAGATGTAAGTTGTTAACCTGCACAACATTTCTTCATGGAAGTCGAGCTTATAGCCTGTGTACGTTAAGCGACAATTTTAAGAAGGGCTTTAGAAGAAGAAGAATTTTAAAGACTGCAAAAAGAAACATTGACCTTAGCTGGAAAAATATTTTCAAAATATTTTTTCTGTTGAGTTAAAGAGAGAACAAGGTACTTGCCTCTAGCAACAGTCATAATAAGCAAAAATATCATATATAAGAGGGATACGCACAGCGTACGAACTTTCTGGTAGAGAAGGGGCCTATCCATATCTTAGCCATGAACTCTCTCTCTATGACGATTGGCAACCTTAGTTTCTTACATAATTATGCGGTGGCAGAGTTGGAGCTAAACAATGCCGTTGGTGATTAGTTAATATTTTTGTTTTCGTTACTTTCTATTGACGGTTGTATTTTCAGCCAAATCTGATATCCCGGCGGGTAATGCTGAGAAAGGGAAGAAGGTGTTCGTACAACGTTGTGCTCAGTGCCACACAACAGAGAAGGGTGGCTCGCACAAAACTGGACCCAACCTTCACGGCATTTTTGGCCGAAAGACCGGTCAGGCACCCGGCTTCTCGTACACCGATGCCAATAAGGCGAAGGGGATTACGTGGAACGAAGACACACTGTTTGAATATTTGCTAGATCCTAAAAAATATATTCCTGGCACGAAGATGGTCTTTGCTGGACTGAAGAAACCTCAAGACCGCGCCGACCTGATCGCCTATCTGAAAAAGGCCACTAAGTAGATGGGCGAATTGGCTTGCATGGCACATACGTAGTTACCGCTACCTGGCCAAAGCAAAATAAATCTTACCAGATAGCTTCATAAGACATAATGCTTGCTCATTCAAGTTAAAACAATCAGATAATGTTTTAGAAAAAGATTCGTCTATTGTCTCGCCAGCTACAACTGATATTATTCCACAACCCGGATAGCCGACTAGGATACAATACTAAATATATTCATAATACTGCCATTCATCTCTGTCGGGCGATAGGGCCGACTGACACTGTAGATTGTCTAGCATTCCTACTCCATCTTCGTTATCTATTATATGATTAGCAATCAAACAAAACACGCATTATGCAGAAACACCAAGGATCCTCATAAAAAGGCCTTGATCCTAATGGAATCTTTACACGTTGGTGTAGAAGAGGTATGATTGACGTATCAAAAACAATAAAACCTAGCCCATACAAGTTTTGCACATCTAAAGGATGTATCTTAAGTTAGTCAGTGCAATTCTTGAGATTTTCAACTTCATATATGCAGAGCTAGAAATGTTTCGAATTTCATAGCAGAGGTGGGCCGCCTTCTTCCAAATAAGCTATTGCGTATATTCATAAGTCTTCATATGAGAGAATATATATTTATACCGCAATTGTGGCGGGATTATACGTATGACGCGTGAACACAAATGAAGTAAGAAACAATTCTACGGAACTGCGTAATGGAATATAACTACCGATTCATGGAAAAATCATTCCTTAAAAATGTACCCAGATTTAAACATGCATAAAAATTCAGATAAATAAAAAATTCAAAACTGTTTCAGTTATATCAGCGGCAATCAATAGTACCAGACAATATTTATTCAAGGATATCATTATCAGAAACAGGATAAGATATTTCGTAGCTAAGACTCCTTAAATATTCAATCGTTCTGAAGGTATTTCAACTTAATTCATGAATACCGAGGTATTTAAAATTTTATCTCCGCCGTCAGTCAGCTTTTCACATATACACCAAATTCAACACACAATTAAGATATGCTTAATGTTATGGGCCGTTGATGAGTTTATTATATGGATAAAGTGATTAATAGACACGAATGTCATGATTTCAACATTTAGAATAATGTAGTGAGTGCCTTGTATAGCTGTTTTTGCTTTTTCGTGGAAGGCCAGTACGACATTTCGATGATACTTGTCGAGTCGTTTTCAGCCTTGACATCTACGGCGAATTATCGCCGACCTGCAAACAACACAAGAGTTAACGAATTGTTAACCTTAATTATCAGTGTCAGTAGAAATAGAACATCACTCGAAACAAAATTTAGCATGTTATTTTAATTACAATCTATTTGTTTAACTTCAGCTGCTAACTTTTTGTCGACAACCCAAAATTCGAACTTGCCTCATCGTTGATCTTTTGTCTGGGAAGCGATCCTGAAGAACTTCTTGACCGGCTACGATGATGGTCCTTTCCGTTTGGCGTAGGTGAATGTGATCGCGAATCAGATCGGGAACGAGAGCTTCGGAGCCTTTTCGCGCGTCCGCGTGACCCCGATCGCGAGGCTCGGTCATCAACCGAAGCTGACCGTGATCGTTTATCGCCACCGCCGCCGGGCGAACGTGACCTCGATCTCGAGCCACGGGATCTCGACCGAGACCGTGACTCGCGTTTTTCAGCTGATCTTGACCTCGAGCGAGACCTCGACCGTGACCCTGACTCTGCCCGCTTCTTAGTGCTTTCAACGCTACGACTCCTTGAGCGTTGCTTCTCTTTGCTTGCAGAACGTTCACCAGCCAACTGTTTCTTCGCGTCAGCTGGGCTTTTCGACCGAGAATGCGGCGACCTGGAACGGTCGGAAATCGCTCCTCTCTTATCCTCTCGAGATTGCGACCGAGATCTCGACGACTTCTTCGGCTCGCGCGACTTTGATCGTTGTTTAGTGCTGTTATTGTTGCGCGACTTTGATCGAGAAAGGCGGTCCTTCGAGCGGCTCCTGCTGCGGGAGCGCGATCGTTCAGATCGGCTCCTGCTGCGGGAGCGACGTCGGGAACCGCGCGAGCGGCTTCGTGAACGCCGCCTCGAGCCTCGTGAGCGACTACGCGAATGACGTCGAGATCGACTGCGGGATCGTGAACGGCGCGAGGACCTCGAACGGCTTCGAGAGCGGCTGTGGCTGCGCGATCGAGAAGAGTGACGGCTGCGCACGTTTAGCTCCATTTCGATCTTCCGTCCATTGAACGACTTGCCATTGAATTTGTCGTAGCAACGATGCATCTCTTCTTTGGTGTCGAATTCGACAAGTCTGCAGAACGAAGTTTTCGATTATGTATCACTGAATTGCGTAATTGAAACTTCCAAGTCAATATTATTAACAATATTGGTTAACAGTCAATGACTATGATTGGTATTGAAGGATGGTTTTACTACGTAACGACTATGATAATATACTGAAGGATGGTCTAAGTACGTAGCAAAGATCAAATGCAGGAAATGAAATGATCAAAAAGTGACCAATAAACGACCAACTTACCCCACATTTTTTTTCTTGTTATGCGCATCAGCGTAGACAACCTTGGCTACCTCTCCGAAAATGTCCTTGAGATCCTGCAGAAATGAAACGACGGTTACTATTTGACTAGCACAGTATGAACAGCGTCCTCGGGTGAGGGCACTAATACCTAATTTTCTATAACGAAGCTGTTTTTTGTTTCTCAAACGCAAGCCAGAACATCAACAAATCAAGAACTGAGTGAGATGGTCAGGAAGACTTGACTCGCAAAAGTAGATCTTGTTTGCTGAACACCACGTAGAGAGTAGTCTCATGAAGCACAACCAGTCAACTACGCCAGTTACCAGTTTTAAGCTCTTAGTTTCTCTTTCTTGTTCATGTTGCCAGTCAGTCTCAACCAGAATACCTTTGCGAATCGCTCGAGCATTTTGAGCGGGTTCTCTCGCCGCACCTACGCCCGCGGCCGACCTCGACCAAACTCTCGAGACACAACCGATCGGTGATTGCAGCAGCAGCAGCAGTTATCGCATCGCGCGCCATTATCGCCATTCTCTCACGCCGCTACGCAATCGACTCGAACCCATTTATCCACGCCTGCGTACCATCGTCTCGCGGACCATCCACCACCACACGTCTCGAATCGCGGCTCCCACCTTGTCCGCGCCCTTGCTGTGCTCGAACACAGCTGACACACGCTACGATTCGGGAGCATGCTGCGACACACACTGTTGTCGCAACACGCGGATGCCTGCTTGCCACAAAAGTGTTTCTGTCAGGGCCACCTCTCGACAGGCAGAGGGAGGACTGAAGCTTCGACTTTCCTCTCTCGGTCCAGCGCCTGCTCCACAACGGAACGTCCTCGATCGACCGATAATCCACAGCCCTAACCTCTCGACACCAGGAGTACAATCACGATCACGTTGCAGGTTGCAGAGCCCAACTCTTTCGGCCATCCAATCTACCCGATAATTTCCAACCCGACGCGAAGCCAGTCCAGCTTGCTGCCATTTATGCGCCCGTTCGTCGCCCGGAGGCAAGCCTCAGCCGAGATTCCTGGCCTCGTTGCAGTCGTATGGCTCCGAGTACCATATACTGATGTGCGCCGACGAGGCATCGCCATGCCATGATAACCAAGAGCGGCAGAAGTCGTTTCAGCCTCGGCCTTGGCCTCGACCCTTCCGAGAGGATCGAACCCATCGGGGCAGCGGGGTTCGCCATCACCTGACTTCACTCCTGGAACGGCGCTGGCCAAGCACGGATCCTGCCAGACGGACAGCCAGCCCGAATCTCACGTCCCTCCAAACGACCAACGATTCACGACCGACTCGACCGTACCGTACGAACCAATTGAACGCGGGCGGCATCTGCGATAGCCCGCGACCTTCGGGGCCGCCCCCGCCACTGACCACGCTGCGCCCCTTCCGGGCCCTCGGCGCCACGTAAGTTGCTGCCACCCGACCAGACCAACGAACGCTAGCGAACGCGGCTGTCGAGGAGTTAGAATAATAAATAAAGAGAAGAGCTTCGTCATCACGCAAACAAACACTACGCATCCAATCCAATCAAGCTAATCACAATTTCACAGCACCTCATACAGCCGCCCAAGTTTTTTTGTCATTCTTTGTCTGCATGTTGTATTTTTACACTTTGTTCCTGTAAGTATTCACCCTTGTATATTCGTGTAAAACTCATAAGAACGTAGTGCAGTACAGAATAGGACCGCAACAACAGCAGAAGCTGTGCGATCAGATTTTTTGAACGAGAAATAACTATTAAATATGACACGGGATGATGTTCTCGCCCGACTGGTTGCTTATGATAACTTAGCGCCAAACAAATTCCATGTCTGCTAGAAGTCGCTCGTGACTGCGAATTGTCACTAGATTTGTTCTAAGCAAATTTAGCACACTAATCAAATTTATCCTTTAAAATAGGAAAATCCACCAATAAACCTAGAAAGGTCAACGACCACGCACCCACGTATTACATCTAATATCCTGCTAAACTACACGTAAAGGTAGTTACCTGCCAAGAAACACGGGTACTGAGGTTCTTTATATCAATCCGATAATCCGTGCGGCGAGGCGGACCCCTGTAAAAACCAAAATGAGTATCATTAGATACTGACGACATGTCGTATCCCTCTCATTGGTCGTAATTTCATCATACTCAAGTACTCCAAGCACACGGACTGCGACGATTACTGTTGTCTTGAGATGATTTCTAAAACGATGTCAACTCAACTGTCACCTTAGTCAAGTAACATGCTACTTTGCATATAACAGGATATTTATAACATGCTACTTTGCATATAACAGGATATTTATAACATGCTACTTTGCATATAACAGGATATTTATAGGTGATCTCATTTTGTTCAAAAAGTACATAGTAGCGCGGAGTGCTGCAACGACAACAGACTTCTCATAAGCTGCTTTCTTATTACCTTAAGTGCAATACTACTAAATACGAACCTGGTGATACGATTTCTTCGGCGTCCTCCTCGGCGACGTGAACGAGACCGGCTGCGGCTTCGGTTGCGTGGTCTATTAGCGAGTTCCACAATCAGGCGCTCCCCTTTCCACGAGACACCTAATATCAAAAAAAACATTAATAAATACATTTCAAAATACCTGAAATTATATACATATTCAAATAATTATTAGAACATATATTAGAATATATATGTTCTATGGTTGTCAACAGCATCATTCAATCTTACCGTTGAGCTCTGAGATCGCGTCACGAGCATCACGTTCATCATTATATTCCACGAAAGCGTAATTGCCTTTGTGAACGACATCGCGAATGCGGCCCATACGATCAAAGTAGTCTTCTATATCGCGGCTGTCCACTTCCCTCGGCAGATGCCCGACGAAAATACGGGACGACATTGCGATTGCTTCGGCTTGCTAAGTCTAAAAGATTTAAAAATCAAGAATTCCTCATATTACCACCAGAAGTAGGCCTAAAATCACAAAGATTAATTGTTATAGTTTTAAATACCGCTAAATGAAAAAGTTCGACTTCTTGCCAACCCAGTATCTTGAATCGACAGACCGGCGTATATTACTAAGATGAAGTGACCCATGCAACTGTAAAATTTACGTAAGCGTCCACTAAACATACGCACAAATGTCTCGCAGATGTCGGTGCAGCTTCAATTGCACTCTCGGCTTGCACCACCAATAGCAGTCTGTTATTGATGTCGATGCCACAATCATAAAGATAGCATCACGAAACTGGCTTTCATCTTCTAAAAAGCCCACGCAGCACGAATCCCAGAGCGAATACTCAACTGAGTTGTGGGATGGCGCTCACCTTGTGAAACAGCCAAACGGTAAACTAGCACACCGCCGTGCTGTCTTTAGTGCCATGTGCAGGGGAACCTTGGATATGCACAAAGAAAGTGAACAATATGACACGTGTTCGAACCAGAATTTTGTGCTTGTTGTAGTGGATTCTCCAAAATCGATAGCAAAGCATGTTTCTAATTATGATTCTTCGGTTTATCGCTGCTAGAGTGAAAATGTTACTCCTAGTAGTGGAGAAAAGGGTTAGTGGACAAAATGCGAAGTAGTAAAGTTTACTAAGTCCTTTAAAAAAAAATACAGCGATTTTAAAGGGTAGGTTGTACGTATATTGCTTGCATAACATACTGGCTCAAAAAGAAATCCAATTTACGGAAACAACGTGAAGCCGAGGAGTTTTCGTTTAATCTCTTAGAACCCAAAGGCGTCGCCCAAATTCGCAGGCATGATTCAAGGCATAATTCAAGAATACCTAACAACTATATAAATTTTGACAACTCGGCTTACGAAATTTCATCGTTACTGCCATGTCAAAAGCATATACAATCGAGAAGAATATCTATACAGATCTTCCCAAAAGCAGTTTAAAAACAGATGGTATAACACCAATCAACCGACAAAGAAATTTTAACCTTAACATGTATTAAAGCATTACCAGATCACAATATCTATCGCGGAGATAACGTGCGTTTGAAATTCACAAGAAATCTACCACATTGCCGTGAAAAGTTCTTAAAAACAATAGGATAAAACAACCGAGATAAAGCTCAAAAATCAAGAGGACTTCGTTTTCGCGACTACTCGACGATGGCAAGTAATACCAATAGCGATATACGGTAGCAACACGTAATTTACAACACCAAAACACCTTCGTGCCACCAGGTTTTGGCATAAGCACTCCGCCTAACAACGAAGCCTAACTCACATACTGTATTGCCCCGTAGCAAACTACAGCGTGCAGCTTTGGCCTGAGCATCATGCTTGTAAAGGTACCATTGACTTATCATTAGGACACATACATACACACACACACCGCTTCAGCCATCGGTAAAAATATCACGGCATAACAATGCACATTCAAATATCAGCATTCGGAACAGACTTCGAGCAATTTTCTAACTCGATAATACCATACAACAAGTTTTTCAGCCGTGGTACCACGGCTGATTTGCTCGCCTGGTACGAGGCAACCGAGCAGCTAACCCTAACCTTGTCGATAGGACAGTTTGAATAAGACAAGCTGGAATAGTAACAAGACTTCAACCAACTAGAAGTAAAACATAATACGAGACGATGAAATCCACCAACACATTAAATAACATTCACCTAGACAAGCTGAGGCTATCACAGCCGGCGCAATTGTACCAAACAGTAACACTTCACGACGTCTTTTATCCCCAGATCGCAACGATACTCCGACCGCCAGGCAATAACCGCCTGGATACGTTGACCAGTAGACAGGACTATGGAAGAGGCCGAAACGCGTAGCGCCAGCTTTGATCGCTATTGACATGTCTCGGGGCGCGGCAAATTCAAACAAGTGACCTTTTCCCATAGTAATAGTAATCTATGAAGACGCTTACCGAAATCTTTGATCGACAATATGCTACTCGTCTGCTATCAGTAATTAATATGGCCAAGAATAGCCTTTAGCATCTCAGTTTACCTTACAATTAATGTTTGGTGGCATCTGTTTACAGATCGGAAAGCCAGATCGGACAGTGCATTAGCGTAGTGGTATGTGTACCAAGCTGAAGTTAACGATGAAGAGGAGCTAGTGACCACTTCACAAGGCCGCCTTTTTTCCTAGATACTTTCAGTTTAGGACCAGAGAATACGAGTGAGTGTGTAAACTACTGTTTTGTTGAAGTTTACAAATTATTATAACGCTTCCTTATTTCATTTAATTATTTCTAAACTTTATTGCATTGGAAAGACAATCACAACGATTTCATAAGCCTCTCGTAACTGCATTTTTCACAAAAGCTTTTGTAGAATATATAGCCGGTAGTGGTGTGATTTACGAGTGATCTGTGTGGCGCGGGAAAGATAATTAATATCATTACGCTGAGTGCCTTAGTAGGCACCAATAAATTAACTGCTGTGATCTTAACCATGGGCGTATGTGTGCTACTATGAACAACACAAGTAAGCAGAAGAAAGCTGAGGACGAGTTCCATACACTCTGTCAAATGACGAAAATTAAATCGATAATAGTACTTGCGGATCACAGTTATGGTGAAGTGACATTTTCCAAATTAGCCTCATTAACTGCAATATTTCTAAGCACTAACGAAAAAGATGTTTTTTATTTGTGACTAATTACGAAGGCAAACTATATTAATAATTAATAATGTGCAATACCTATGAAACATAGCTGAATCATATTTTGACATTTCCCATCGCACACCAGTTGCAGAAGCTTCTTTTCAAATAAATGTTATGATTGTAATGCCACCAGCCTTAACAATAGCGCTATTGCTTTCCTGTTCGTAATCGTTTATGACGAAAGTTTAGTGCTCTGTAATATCATTGCCTAGATATGGGCTTTCGCGGCGTACAGCAGTACTAGATGCCTCATTGTCATGAGGTTAATTTTGTCATTGTCCTCGCGGGCATTGTTGCGCTTTTAACATGTTAGAGAGGTACAGATACAAACCGGATAAGCTCCATATTTGTGCTGTTATTTTGCTGTACTCATTACTTTCGTCTTGAAGAACTTCTTTGTACATTTTTGTTCATTCGACTTGTGGAGTAAATAACGCCAATAGTTAAACAGCGGTACTCACTTAGTGGGTAGTCGTTGAAAAGTCAAAGTCATCACGTATGTCGTTCGTAGGCATTTTTAGCACAGGTCGAAACGTAGAATATACGATATTGGGTACTATCATCGTAGTCATATTAGCGGAACATTTGTTTTTGATTCAGCCCACCTAATAAAAGCCATACAAAATTTGATTTTTTGTCATGTTATTAATGGGATAAATGCTTGTTTTGAGTAAAAAGAACTACTCTAAAGTTTTTAAGTGCATTTACTGGTTATCGACGTCGTTACTTGAAAACATGCGAAACACCGTTTTCGGAACACATCTTATTTGTTTATTTGTTTTATCTTTTTATGAAAAGAATAAGAAGCAGCTACTTATTACTCTACCAATGGCCATAGTGAAAAGCGATACACCAAAGATTGCAATAGGATGAACCTTCTTTGATTCTTTTCATCTCGTATACTTGGAACATTTAAAAAATACTAGAAACTATGCATCTAAACCGCATTTCTTGCAGACACTGACACATAATGTTAGCTTCTACTGTTTCTGTACGTGCCCTGTCGCGATCTGCCTCGCTAGCTCAAATCAAGCGCGTCACGGTCATTGGAGGAGGGGCTATGGGATCTGGAATCGCTCAGGTTTGTTATATACAATAAATGTACTCCAGTGAAGGCATACAAAAATCAAAATAGATTTGATATATATTTTTCAAGAATTCAGTTGTAACACGGTAAGCGCTTATTCTACTACTAGCGCCAAGTCTAACGATACTTAGCTCGCAGAATAAGCTTTGCCCCTAAGACAAACTCAACCCATATGAGCAATGCGCCATGCAGCAGCTCGCCGTTAAGATCAGATTTTATAAATACATTGTGATCTGGGTTTGATTCGGACCGTTCGATAGTATCAAAGATCTTGTAGAATGATCATGACTAATAATTGAACCCCCTAGTTGAATCTCGACCATTAGTTCTGTTTGTCATTGATGATTTCCGGGGGCTGAGAACGAGATATGAGAGGCTCAAAACAATGGTATTTTTAGGATTATAAGTTAGACTCATCTAAAAAAAAAGTTTAACAGTATTTTTGTTCCAGAATTACTTCTTGCGTTTAAAAGCTTGAACACAAATTTTGATATTTTTCGACAAAAACTGGACATAGTTGCAAAGTAACTGCGTGGCATGTATTTATTTAGTAGCGCCATTGTAGAAGGCATAGTCCTATACGCTTTGATTTCAGAAATTTCTATAGGAAAAAGTCTGACTGGCTTAAAGCCGCGTCAAGAAGGGCGTCATGACACTAAGGTCCCAGGTAGCACCACCTCGTTGAAACTGCATAGTATACGCATCTAACTCATCCAGTTTCGACCTCAGCATCCTTAGTATGTCTATGTAGCGAGAACCATTAACAGTTCAATAAAAAAAAACGGTACGGTGATAGCTTCTTTAGCTTTGGAAGATTTCTGCTCATCAATGCCGTTAAGTTCCTTGAATACTCATACGCGGCAGTTTGATTTACTCGCTGGTCTAGCCAAGTAAAAATGCGGATCAACTGAGAAAATAATTATTAGCATTAAATCGCTGCTGCTTTTTGGCCCATGCAGCAAATGTACGGTACTTCGCATGGTTTATGACTTGAGGTAGCTAAATCTTATGGGACCGGACACGGAGGCCTACTACGGGGGAAGTGGTACGCTAACAGACTGTGGCGATCAGCAAGAACTTTAGGCATTTGAGTTTTCTAACATGTCATATTAATAACTTAATTTTTACAGATATGTACTTAAAGCACAAAGTAAGAGGTATAAAAAAGTAATCTTAAACGTTTGCATAAGACAGCGCCAAAAAGTCCTAGAAAATTCAACAAAAAAATTGTGTATTATACGTCGTACTGTACTATAAATTCAATTATTCTTATAAAAAAGGTCAGTTAAACTCATGTCTATGATAATACGGCTTTCTCTGTCAATTTTTATACTTTTAAACATTATTGTAAGGCGAACATCTGACTAAAGTTGACACACCAAGAATGGATGATCGTAAATTTCTTTCGCCAGAGTAATACCTTTGACGGAAGATTTTTCATATTTTTTAATGTCTTTTATAGACAATTAGTCATTTTGTGTTGTTGATAGATACGTGGTGAATTTTACAGGTTACTGCCCAGGCCGGTCAACAGGTGACCATCGTAGACCAGAAACAGGAACTGCTAGACAAATCTATCCAGGGGATCCGAGGTTCGCTTACACGACTCGTCAAAAAGAAGTTTGCCGATGACGCGAAGGTATACACCCGCACCAAATGTGCGCCCTCAGAATGCAATACGGTCTAAATATACGATCACATGGTAGGGAAAGCAGATGTTTTTTAATTACCGTTTTTTTTTCGTGCAGCTTCAGTGTATTAGAAATCCAGATAGACAACCAACTCTACAAATTTTAGAATGCATTCCGTCGTCTATTCTGAGCATTTTTCTATTGAATTCTGAATATTCTAACAAACAAATGATTATTATGTGTAGACCAAGTTAGTGGCCAGATATGGAAAACTACTCCTCCATTTGTATGTGTATTGAAAAGTGACAAAGTACAAATATCGGTCGTTACCGATATGCACCTTTCTGGACCTCGAGTATACGTATCGATTTAAATAATCTCACTGTTACCTTTACACACTCTGCTCGATATCTGTGAAGATCATAAAAACGCAAGAACGCCTTTGATGTGATAAAATCATACACAGTGGGAGAACTTCAATTTGTCATTTGCAGGCTGCTGAAACTTTTTTTGAAAAAACTATTAGCTCAATTAAGACCTCAACGGTGGCCGAAGATGCTGTGAAGGATACAGATCTTGTAATTGAAGCTATTGTAGAGAATCTTGAAATCAAGCAAAAACTTTTCGCTTCTCTGGATAAAGCTGCACCTCCAAATGTAATTTTCGCCTCTAACACTTCATCTCTTTCGATTGCTGAAATTGCATCGGCAACCAAACGTGAGGAACGATTCGGAGGTTTGCATTTTTTTAACCCCGTGCCAGTTATGAAGCTCCTTGAGGTTATCCGTGCCTCTAAGACTTCAGACGACACAAATATGAAGATCACTGAGTGGGGCAAAAACATCGGAAAGACAACAATTGCTTGCAAGGTATGACTTTCCCTCAAGAATCATTTTAGGTTTGAATTAATTATATAATTTCATATAACACGAGATGCTTCTTTCACTGTTTGGGTATCCATATAAATTATTAATGGTGAGCAAAAACTTATAAGGAGGCGTATGATTTTGTGATATCTGTATGTAGAGAACTTTTTGTTTTTGTCCGCACATGCTTTCTATTTTGCAGCGTATTTACTGTAGTGTTGCGCAAATTGCAGGATACGCCTGGCTTTGTCGTGAACCGGCTTTTAGTGCCTAACCTGGTTGAAGCCATTAGGCTGTTGGAGAGAGGAGATGCCTCAGCTCGGGATATTGATATTGCTATGAAGCTTGGTGCTGGCCATCCTATGGGACCATTAGAGCTTTTGGACTTTGTGGGGCTTGACGTTACAAAATTCATCATTGATGGTAAGGCAAAATACGCTTTACTATCAAAAATGCTTTTCAAGTTTTCTATTTACAATATACCAATTTCTTTTTCGTTTTGTAGTACTAAGTGTAAGCGATGTAAGTGAAGTAAAGATTGACAAAAAAAAACGAAGTTTAAATTTGAGCTACATGCTATTTTCATCCGAACCTCCCTATCGCAGTATAAAAGTAAATGACGCAGGTTATTGTATTTTTGAATGCGTTTTAATGTTCAAAATGTTACAATTAAGAGGCATTTAACATAATTTCGATTGATGCTTATATAGGTTGGCACAAGAAGTTTCCCGATAATACTCTTTTCAAGCCATCGCCGTTGTTGAACCGATTAGTCTCGGAAAACAAGCTCGGCATCAAGACAGGAGAAGGTTTCTATAAGTATGAAAAGAAGAAGTAAACATGTGCAATACGCAGTACCGAAGCAGTATACATATAGAATCGTTGCAATTTTAATTGTTGGTGATTAGCTATAGTTGGTTGGAAATGTTGTACCACATGAAATAAAATTTATAACGCTCTGTCTATTTTATTACATACATATTTTAGTACATAGATAACTCAATGGAATTTTAATGTAGAAAAATAAAGGGTTTTTATATTTCTAGCAAAAGGTGTGCGGCGTTTTTAAAAGCTTTCTTTTGGGATACCTCAGTGAACTAAGTCACGTTTTAGAACGGAGCAGATATTTAGTAATTTTAATTCAAATTTCTAGATGACATAGCTCTTGCTAGCAGTCTTAATCTAGTCGCTGAAAAATGTCCCTACACTTTAACTGACATAATTATCGAACGTTTTAGCTACAATCTATATTGAATTCGAAGGTCGATTTTAAATGTGATTGAGTTGACTTTAGAATTAGTATAGTAGAAATGTTAGCTTATATTTCAAGCGTCTATTTGAGTGTGACTAACAATAGATGTATATAACTAAATGTATGTATATACTTTTAGATATTCCTAAGTTACACGTCGTTTCGCTGACCAAATGACCACTGCTCTCGGCTAGACATTTTTCAAACTTTTGTATTCTATCATTCAGCTAAATTTTCGAGCGCTGAACAAGGAACAAATCGCAGAGGATTTCTCTAATCTTACACATCTCCTATAATTTTTTTTCGTTTGGTATATATATATATATATATGTAATATCGACAATCTGCATATGCTGCCGGCTGTAAGCATCCGTTTGCATAGCAGCGCCAACCTCTCTTTTTTGATGCAATCTTTCCGTAAATAGTTTCATGTTTGTCTCTCGCTTTCTCTCTCTCTCTCTCTCTCATATATATATATATATATATATATATATATATATATATATATATATGGATATAATTTATTTGTATTGTTCATTCAGATTATATGTGAGCTTTGTGATATATTCGAAATATATGTCAATCATTACTATGATCAAGGCCAAATTGTGTAGGATATCGTGTGTGTTGTTGTCGCGTGCAGTCATCTACTCTATAGAGTCAATACATCATGAGAATACTTATTTTGCCACACACGTGATCCATTCTCCTAAAGAAACTTTTTAATAATGTCTACTAGATTATCGAAAACTATCTTCTTTGGAATCATACGTATAATAACGAATGCCAAATTGTATCTCTCTTTCTTTGCCTTTTCGTTAGGTTCTTTGGCGTTGTAACTATTGAGTGAACAGATTTTGTGGTTGTTTTTATTTACCTTTATCTTTGACGTCATTTTGTTGTCAGTTGAAAATTGAGGTTCTTAGTGTATTTCTGTATTCGTCGTTTAGTTACTATATAGATAGATAGATAGATAGATAGATAGATAGATTAACAGTTTGAGTCTGTCATTTCTATCGAAACTCAGCTTTCTTCCTCCATAAATTGCTCATGTTTTGGTGCCCCTACAGTAGTTCTCGTTCGTATCCCTTCCATAGTGCTTTTTCCATTGTGTTTACTACTAATTGACCTAACTTGTTCACGATTTAGCAATGATTGTTGAATTTTTTGTCTGTATAAGTTAATAATTTGTTTTCCTTTTCAATCTGTGGTCGTTTGTCCTGTGAATCTTCGGTTTTTCTGCTTGTATACTCGATATTTAGCGGTGTCCATGTTAGATGGGGATGATTTGCGATGTTGTTTAGAATGTTAAAGGTAGTTTGTTTCGAAAACGTCAGTTTGGATCTCGCATCTAATTGGTTTTCATTGCTGTTAATATCGACTCGTGCCAATACACGACTGAGAAGAGTTTGCTTAAGTGTAAGTGCATCTCACTATTGCATGGCACCTTTTTTTGTGTTGCATTACTTGTGTTTCTTTGCCACGTTACGATTACGTTTTATGATTTCTCTGTAGCTGTCAGCAGGTTGATCAATAGTCGATTACCTGACAGCAATAGACAGCTTCTCGTTATACGGAGGTGCTCTACGCTTTTCTTGTTCAGCTAGACACGAATTACCATGAGAACACATATAAAGTGGTGTAAATATATGTACGAATTTTGACGGAGGATAAGGGAGAAGAAAGTATACGTACATGACATGAGATAGGCTTTGTCTGTTCTTGTGTGTGAAAGATATGCATATTGCGCATGGTTCATTACACTCTGCCGCAAGTCGTATTTCATTCGTGGAATTTACAATACCAGAACATTCAATATGTGTAATAATTTTAGAAAAATATATCTATGAGGTAACGCGTACTGGAACAAAACAATTCAACATAAAAGAGCGCAAAAACCGCAAATGCTCAAGTTTTTCAAGGGACGTTTCCTCTGTGGAACAGCTGGTGGCGCACAGATTTGAGCTATTGTGCTAGTGGCGAGCACGCGTATGCTCACATTTTGTTTACACGTAACACAGTAGTGTACATAGCTTTTATAGATAGCTGGCGTCCACCGGCTTTTATAGCATTGGATAGCATGGCATGACGAATTAGATGTCTTTCGTTGCAATTTCTGCAGGACAGTAAATTTTTGTGGCCGATTTTTGAATCACATTATTGATACAGTAGTTTATCAATCAATCAATCAATCAATTTGTAACTTTAACGACAATAATAACGCTGCAAATTCTGGTGTCTTATAGAGGCTGCATTATTGAAAAAAGACCCCGTCTTTGATGTTCTGATCTGCTCGCTACTACAACGAGATGTTACTGTTTGATTATTAGTGGGGATGATTCAAAAGTGTTCCCTCTGTGTTCTTTCTGTGTTAGGCGACGTGATACTAGCGGAAGTCGGTTGATCGGAAGTAGATCGAAGCAACAACAATTACATGCCCAGGTGTTTTTATGTCAAATATATATGTGTGTGTAGACCGTAGTTTTGTTTTGATATCAATAGTCTGGTTGTAGCATTAGTTGTTAACGATGAAATGGTGGCGCTATCATCGTTATCATCGTCGTGCTCAACTTTTTGACTGGACAGTTCCCTGACTTTCTCGCTCGTCTACAAATTTATATTTACTAGTTTACTCTGGCGCAAAACCCACAAATAAAGCAGTTGTAAATTCTATGGTAATTTGGTGTTGATTCAAACACCTCTTTCTACACTCGCTTCCTAGATGTGACAACTATATTGCCATTGTGTCCCTCTCAGTACAAATAATTGGTATAGACAGATATGAAATACGTTATCATTGCCGGATGAATTGGATATATATATATATATATATATATATATAATGTGTTGAAAAATCCTGACTCTCAGCCTCTACGAAAGCAATCATTTGCTTGTCAAAATAGTCATTGATAATATGATGAGTGGTTTGCCGTATGAAATGACTCGTATGTGTCTATTCAATATAGGTAGGCTCATAGGTGTGTATTTATTGTAGAATGATATCAATGGTGTCACTAGTAGCTACAATAAAAAGATAAACGGCGGTATCGTCAATTCTAATTTTTGAATTTCTTATTTTTCGTTGTTGCTTAAACACTTTACACGTGACAAATACATCATAGTTTCTGAACAACCTATTTCAGTCTTACCTTGAATACACACGGGACATTAGCTGGAAACCGCGGATCGTTAGGGCTAGATCGTTGAGGGTACTTTTTTACACTCGTTCATTGTTGACGTACCCTATGAAGGTAACGCACTGATTTTGAGGAGTAGTCGTGCGCTAAGGCAGTTCTGCAGGAGTGATTAACTTAGTGCTTCTAGATACCGCCGTAGTATCAGAGATGAGCGCGGTTGTGTGCAGAAATCGCGTAAGTGTCGCTGTTGTGGCGACATCTTGTTTTGTTGTAGATGGTAATGTATTTTGTCTCTGCTGGTGTCGACCGTATTATCATTATGATTATTAACAGTAATAGTGGTCGTCCTTGTGCTTGGCATACATTACGATTTTGTAGATGTTATGCTGGTTATGGTATCGGTTTTTTGTCTCTCGTTTGACTCGGTTTTGATAGTTGGCTAGTCAACTTTCGGCTAGATGTCCTTACAAGGTGAACTGCGGTATTCGCTGGCATCAAAGAGTGGCTCTCTTGGCTATTACGGTTATCATGATTTAGTCATATGCAAACCTTTTGATTTACTTTTTTTTTGTTTTTTTAGTTAGCCATTTGTTTTTATTTGGCGTACATTATTGTTGTTGAAAAATTCAGGCGCTACAAAGTCAAGGCTGTTTCAACATCTGTCGTCCGGTCTATCGTACTGCTCTGGCAGGCGTCCTCAAATTTCTCACTACAAATGCGTTACGAGCAACAATCCGTGTTGGGATTGGCTTAAAAATTGCTTTCGTCCTTTTTTTACTATGCTTTCTGCCTCTCTTTTCTTTTACCTTAAAAGGTGTTGTTGGCCAAGTCGGTAGTCTCATCTCGGTGTATGATGGCTGGTGCTGAAGTTGATGTTTAGCCTCGTGGGCCTTAAAACGTTCTTGCTTTAGATCGCCTCAGATAGTTTCGAACTCCTCTGATGCTATCATCAGTTCGTGGCGATATGAAAACCACAGTTTTCTGCTCCGGTCATCGCCGCAGCAAAGGACAAAGGGGTGTGGATCGAGAAAAGAGCAGGCAGGGTAAAGGCGAAACTAGTGATAGGTGATTTAAATAAACGAGTGAATTCGTGTGATTGATGCTTGCGGTTTGGGTATTATGAGAGTGCTGTCGTATGATGGCGCACACGAAGAAACTACCCCCAAAATGGCGCAACATTTGTGAAAGTCATTTCGTACAGTGTACATTTAACATTGTTTTAGCACTGTCTACTGATTGCTGTTGGTATTATTGTCCATGACTGAAGTCTCGTTGTAACTGTTGAAGTGTAGCGTGGTCTACGTGGTCTTATCCTTCCGCTAGATCTCGCCCAGGAGATTTTATATCTGTTTTGGTGACAGCCTTTAACTTAAATTTGCGTTTTCGTTGAAGAAGTAGCTAAGTGCTGCGTCGGGTGTCGCAGTAAGAAGTATATAATTCTCTACGGGCGCTCGTGCTTTGGTGACAAGACAAATTGCAAGCGCAACGCTAAAGCACTTCTTTTTTATAGAAAAAAAAACTTCGCTTTTGGTTGTACACTCGATGATGTATGAGCGCTGAGTTCTCTGCATTGAAATACAAAAACCTACTGACCCGCACGTGAGAACTTGCGAGACATGTGTGTCTGTATGTTACCTAATGTCTCATTAAAATTTTTTTTAAAAAAGCAATAATCTCTATTGACTTTATGCTCATAAACGCCGTTATCAATCGTAACGATTAGGTTTGTCGATTCATCTTCGCTAGCCAATACTGTGATTAATTTTTGTGGTTATAACATAGAGATAGGTTTTGGCAACAATTAGAAAACATATCATACTCTACAGTTGATTATTGCCCCTTAGATATAACCAGTGACCCATAAATATATTAGTTCATCGAGTACTCAAATAAATATTTATATTATACAGAAAGTAGAAAAAAATCTTCTGCTTTTTCTAACAAGTCAAGTTTTGATTCCGGGATTTTCAAGAATTTGCTGCACTGCGATTGTGCAAATACGAATTTTTGTTGGCAAAAAACGATTAATTCGTTTTTATATAAGCTTTGTGGTTTCTGAGATCGCCATTCTATGTATTGAAATACAGGGAAAGGGCAAGGGGTAATGAGGATTCTTGTCGCGTGTGGGGCCTGCTCAGTTGCGCAATACCTCAGGTGCTTTGTATTTTGTTTATCATTTGCATAGATTTCTGTCTTTTGATTTTAATTGTTGTAATGTTCATTATATTTCAAATTAGGTATTTTCATTTTTTATCTTTTGTGCGTCGCGCGCTTTGCTTCTAGCTCCACTGCTTACTAATATGGGGCGCAGTGTAACCGTGGCGAAATGGCTACAATGAAGTGCTGCGGTGCAAAAAACTGTGGTAGTCTTCGAGGGCGCTGTCTCTTATCCCGCTTGCCACCTCAGCACTAATGCTGTATTTATTTATTAATAGTTATTTACTATTCACTGGGAGCTTCTAGGTTCTATCGATTGCACTTGTCGCACCGTAGGTTTGTAACTAGGGTTTAGTCGGTCTCAGCCGTCTACTAATTACTTGAGAATATGTTTTTCTTTTAACGTTCTGTATTCTTCGTTGGTCTGTATGTCTTTCAGTGTATTTCGATGTTTCGTGTGTTGTGGTATAGATTAGATATAATTGACTCAAACAAGAGCTATTTTCAGCGAGTTGCACTTCTGGTCGGCAACGGCCCGTATTATGGTTTAATGCACATTTTGATTTCTACCTTACATAATAACTGGTCGTCGCAGCGTAAGAGACATGATTCATAATACATCACTAATAGTGGCTACAGAGAGTTTGGTCAGGTATCTTTGCCAGACGTTCACAGTGCTCCATTTACCACAACGACAATTTCTCAGAGCAAAATAGCCTGGCAAAGATTTCCTTTCTTTTCTTCGATTCAGCTTATATTACCTATTTGTAGCTTATGTCTCTTCCTATGTTTTGGTGATTTACATCGGCTTTCATCATTAGTGTTAGTATTACTAGTATTATGTGTATAGATCGTGTTTATCTAGACATGCATATGCCTGCATTGGTACGTAGTATACACCTTGTTTTTTGCTTTCTGTCTATTGCGCATGTTTGATAATAGGAGGAGATCAATATAGCTGGAGCCATCTTCAATGTAAAAATCTGTATTGCGCTATTTAACACGTATTGATTTTGGCACAGCTACGAAGATCAACGGTACTAGCAGTATTAGCAGTAGTATAAGAATTGGGAGTAGAACTTGAAATATTACTTCAATGAGTATTCTGTATGTTATCTAATCTTTGACATGTATCCTTATTTCTTAGGGTACTGTTGCCGGTGGGGAGTCCGTCTTATCTTTGTCTTCTGCATCGGACTCCCGATCCGTACTGTGGCTGTGGGGCTGAGAATCGCACTTCCTCAGACTGCTTCTCAGCGGTTTGGGCCCGATCTGCGGCGAGGACTGGCGACGCACTCCGAGAGGCTTTTTCTGAAATCGCACCTATTATGTCATCATAACGAGTAAGTGAGATGAAGGAACACGTGTTAGGGCAGTCGCACACCCCAGTCGATCAGGTGATCGTCGTAGAGAAATTATGAAGGAGTAAACAGAAAACAATTACGGTATATTATTAGTACGTTCTGCCAATCCAACATGACGAAAAAACACACAGAAGTTGGGATACCGCGTTAATATGGAGAACTGGAAAAATTAATTGCAATATGTGTATCCAATTAACACGTGCGCCTTCACGCAAGCAGTACAGCATAAGGGATGAGGTCTAACATGCCTGTTCTCTCCTCACACTCAGTATCATCAGCCATCAACCGATAAGGACTCCAAATAATAAGTAATGACTATTTTGAGCCCTCATTCACGTTAAAGGGAGAGAGCAACCACGTTGAAGATGACGTCAAATCACGTCTCACACAACTCAATTTTTTTATATCAGCAATGTCTTTCGGAAACCTCTGATGAAACCGTGACGATGTCAGTCATTCAGCAAAGTTCTTTAAAAATACAGAAAGGAAAAAGAAACATTAATTTAATATTTGAGTTTAGGTTTTTATTTTCGCGCAACCGTGGCCTTGCAGGCAAATCGGTTTGGTTATGACGCGCGATCTGTAAGCCAATAACCATTACATTTCTCAGTAGTTTTTAATACAGATATGAAGAAACCCGTTGTGGTTCTCGTACTTCGTGATGATGACTTAAATTGTCATTCAGGAACTATTTAGTTCCTCTTATTGTTATTATCTTTTCTATGAATTTTAAAATTGGTAAAGTTACAATTTTTGTGAAGTACTAAAAGAAACAACTCAGCGGCGCAATAATGACCGAAGCAAATTAATATTGCATTGTATGGGAGTTAATTGACGTGGGCAACGTTTTCAGGCGTACTTAATCAGCAATATTCGCCATCTTAAAAGATAAGTTCCTGGCACTTATCGAACTTCTCGCAGTACTTCAACTTGTTACATAGGTAACGAAATTGCTGTATTTTAAACAGATAGACAAGCAGGCAACATTATCGCAAGACCCCCCATTCAACCGTCGGTGAGTAGACTTTTTTTAAACCTCTTTATTTATATTCGAACAACCAAACCAATTGGCTACATTATTCAAAATAGCTTGTAATAATATAATAAATGATTGCTTCAGACGATAGAAACGTTGTTCGACCTTTGTGTTTGTCTGTTAGACATTTTGAATGGTTACAATGTCATTCTATAACAGTCAATGGTTCATACTTCTCTTCATGAAAAGCTTCATCAAATATTGAAGGGCAATAATAAGCAAGTACGTATGAGATCAAGAAAAGATCGGTAATTGGTGTTGAAATCTATAAATCCGTTGATATCATGTGAATTCGACCGATCGTTTTTAGTTACGTAAGCAAATTTTACTACTAGATATACAAATTTTCGTCGATTGTTTGCTTCATGAAGTACAAGACTTCTCCATCGAAAAATGTTCATTTATCCAACAAAGTTTACGGATACGCTTGACAATCCGGTTAGTAATGAATGTAGTAGGGAACTAAAGTGAATTAATTTTAATCCATTCATTCATTCAAACCGAAGTTTGTATTCCAATTATCTACCATGATTTTCATGCGCGAGTGGATAGATGTTTGTAATTGAAGCATTCGCGTTTTATTTGTGAAGTAAAAACGAGGAAATAACAAAACGTTTGTAGTTGATCTGTACATTGAAAAGTCAGCTATCAATCATTATCCAGAAGATCGGATTCCAATCAGATAGTGCCACGTGAAAAGGTTTGACAGGTGGTATATAGTAGTAGCCATGTTGGTAGACCAATTCCTCTTATCAATCTGACCATCATCATTCCATTGCATTTACCCATCGAATGAACACATTACTCATGTAATGTGTTAGCATAGGAGAACAACAAACACGCCGCCTGGTCAATACGCTCAACGAAGAACCTGTACGCTAAATTAGTCTTCATTCATCTAGAGTGTTGAACTTGAACTACTCAAAATTTGAAGTTGAGAAGGTACTTTTTCTACAAGAACGTTATTGAAAGAGCGCCGGAAGGTTGTAGCATAAATGGTAAGAGCTATCAAAGCGATGAGATGAAAAATGATATTGGAAAGCAGAAAAACACGATGTAGAAAAGTCATAATTTGCTATCTTAAGATAATCTTGAAAATCCTATAGCCCTCAACTCTATTCGCTTTTGATTGGATTTGTAGAGCTTAACAAGTCCACATAAAGATTTTTACGGTTGTCAATGTTGCCCACTTAATTTTGTGTGCGAGTCATGATAATAGCGCAAAAAATCTACAAGCCTGTATATGTGATTCGTTTTTTCGTATCCACAAACCGCGCCCCTCTCACTTGTATCACGAATTAGTAAAACATAGAAAAGATAAATTTGACTATTATCAAAAGTATCAATATTCGGTTACAGGATCTGACGAAAAACAAAATGACTATTAACCTGTAGGATATTTATTTATGATGCCAATAAGGTAAATGAGGCCTTCTTATAGCAAATTGCAGCAAATAAAAGTACATATTCGGGTATGCATATGGACATATGGAATGCAATCTCGCATCTTACACAATGATAGACGGGAAGAAGAACTTTCAGTCGTATGGAAGTTAGAATAATACTTAAAGCAAGGTATAGGACAAAAATCGGCACAGAGAAGGATGCAAAGGGCGTAAGGAGACAATAGTAAAAATCAAGAATTTAATATTCGAGCCAATGGACCGAATAGTCTTGCAGGAAAACTCAGTAGATGATTCTATCAAGATCAAAAAAGGCTGTAATTTATCAGTTCACAAACGACCGGCTGACCGACTGAAAATCATTTCGCGAATCTGCTGACCAAATTTTACAGCTACCATAACGTTAAGAACAGCATTTTTGCTTGTATTGCTTATGAACAAAATGAATCAGCTGACAGGTACGTGTGGAAAAACTAGAATTAGGTGAAAATTTTACTATAAACTAAATAAGAAATCCAAGATCGCAGGTAGTTCACAGTTGCAAAAAAAAAAACTCCAACCCAGGTGAATTGTTTTGGAAGAAGAAACAGCCCAATAACAATTGAGCATTATGCCTAGACGTACTTGATGATGGCTGTGCGAATCCTTGTGCTGGCCATAATGTCCTGATCCTCCTTGTTCGGTGATTAGCGTAGCAGAGGGGATTGACGTGGCGATAATAGCTACGCCAGAAGTGTCAGCACCAGAAGACGCCTCTGTGGAGACATGGCCGGCGGGGCCGTGGGAGTGTGAAGTACCCTTTTGCTGCTGATGGGGTTGAGATTCTCTCGCAAGACTGTGAGGGCCTTCCCGGCGTTCGCGGATATGCTCTGATGGTGACCCGGATGTTGGATCTGTATCGACTCCCTCGTCCGTGACGCCTTCTTTATCTTTTTGACCCCAACCGCGCCGAGATTTGCCAAATCTATACAGCAAAAGTTCCGATGCCACAAAAATAAAAATAGTTTTATACAACTGCTTTGAAGTTGACAAAGGTTTACTTACAGTTAAAGATACTGAGTTGTGAATGGAGTGGAGTTCTTGAATACGGTGCGTATGTTTAATTCAGTGTTTTATGTTTTATGATTTAGTACTTTTGAGGCGTCAATATTTCCTTTATCCTTAATACCGAATGTTGTCCGAATTGAGATCGATACAGACCTAAACGTTTTTCTACTCTGTGCCTTCTGACGCTGTAAGCGATGTCGGCAAGCGGTTTTGACGTTAAGCTGTTGCGAGGTCGATGTGGACGCATAGCTGACCGAAGGATCGCTGCCTTCGCCCGTGGGCGAAGATTGTTGTGAAGGGCTGGCTGGTCTACTCGTCGATGGTGAAAAAAGGTTCGTTTCGCCTCCCGATGATGCGGCATCCGTTTCCTACACTCAGTCAACATGTTAATAGATATGACATTGGAAGCTCATAACCACCGAAGTCTGTTATCGCTAATGTTGTAGCACGCTGACTTCCTTAGAAGATCTAATATTCCTCTCCAGAGAGACTATTTCTTTATACTGGCTGAAAACATTTGTCCCACCTAAGGTCTTATAAAAAGTTGGGTCACTCAGAACATATATAAATTATTTTTGATTGTGACATAATAAAGACGAAGGGAAACGTTTTGATCTTGGACGTGGACGCATGAAAGTCTCACGAATAATTAGCTTTAAGCTCAATATGAGCTGTGTGAGGTCTAGCTAAAAATATTTTATTCCGTAATACACCACCTACGACGAATGTCCTCTGTTTTTACTGATATATTGTATCTACAAAGTACTCCATAAATGGTGGTACTCCACTATTGTTAGCATTAGTTGCTCATATGATTATTTGTACCTGATCTTGATAGGTGGCGACAGATGACTGCGACCCCGCGGCCGAGCTTGTTGTTGGTTGACCACCGGCGATTGCCTGTTGGCCGCTATTCGGTGCACTTGCCTTCTTGCTTCCTCCCCTGCCTTTTTTGATAAGCATCGTCGACTTGCGGAATAGACGCGGCTCTGAGCTGGCCCCGGCAACAGCTTGTCCACCGGGGCCGCCCCCCAGTGCCTCTGAGGCTCCTTCAATACCGGACCGGTGGAACAGTGGGCCTGGGCGAGCCCCCGGGCCGCCCTCCTCCTCGGCAGACGGGTACGACGTTCGCCGGTGCATCAGGCGCGACACGAGCCTGCCCATGCCGCTGGCCTCTCCGCCGCTCCCGTGGTGGCCAGGAAGGCGGATTGACAAGGTTCGAGTCGGCAAATTTGCACTGGGCAGTTTTAATGAACTGCCACGCGAGGGTAAGCCTGACGTCGGTGGCGTCAGTGTCGAATGGCCCGCATGGCTATGATGGCTGTGATGGCTATGCGCTGGCGAATGATGGAAATGCTGACCGCTACCCGATCTGCTGGGGGTGGCCAAACCAGGGGGCGAACCCAACCGTGTTACGCTCTGCTGATCTGGTCCCAGTTCGGTGAAGCTCGCATGACCATGTCCGGCATGGCCGGCATGTTGGCCTGATGAAGATTGGCGCGTAGGTTGTGTTGAAGCGCTGGTAACACCTGAAGGCCCAGCGGTACCACCAGGGGCCCTGGAGCTGAAACTAACCGATTGGCTAACTACACCGGTTGTGTCGCCAGAGGCGGGCTCGCCACCTTTGGCACCGAGCCGCCAGGCGACTAAATCTTCCTTGAGCAGTTTAAGCTCGTTGACGAGTTCGACGAACAGACAGCCCTGACTCTTGGGCGGTGCGCCTGGTAGCGACAGACCACCCTTGAGCTTTTCCCGAATCGACTGTTGGTAATAGTATTCCTGTTCGGTTTCGCAGATTTTCTGCAGAATCCGATATCGTATCAATGGAAATAGTAGTACGAACAATGGCGTTCGATGGCTTACCTAAGTAAATAATGAAGCACATAAAGAGGATTACATAGGAGTTTAATGTAGATTAAGAAACGAAGTATATTATTATTATGTTATGACACCCCTCTATTTAAGGTGCAATGCGACATATATATATATATATATATATTATATATATATATAGCATGTCCACGTACATGGAGTATACACTATAGACAAAGTTACTGAGCCATATTCTACGGACAGGTTCATGTTCTTGCACGTTTGAAGGAACTTAGAAGAAGCGGAACTCACGACAAAGTCCAAAAAGTTCCATAGCGCCAACCCTCCTAGCAGACGATTGCCCAATTCTCTTATACATCTCGCGATTCGGTGCCAGTCAGCGGATAATTGTCTTTCATAGCAAACTATGAGGATCTTGAGTCCTGTAACAACAATTAAGTTTTTATTTAAGTGCCACTCATTTTGCGCATATTATTTGTACAGGCTCCAGTTAGAGTAGATGAATAAAAATGTTAATATGTGCAGTTACGCAGATCTAATGCGTCATATGAATCCAAGAACTTGTTAAAACAAAACAAATATACTATTTTTTTCTGATCTAGACAAAAAATTAATAGACGATTCTATCGAAGCGATTTTGTTGAATGGACAGAAATTCAAATTTAGGGGTCTGCGACCGACCGAGGAATCCAATGCGGAAAAGCGAACTTCGCATGTGAGAGGGAGTCCTAGCATTCGAGGTTGAGTCTTCTGCGATCGAGCTGGCCTTGGCACTGGCCTGGCCCTGGTGACCTGCGCCGCCCCCAGGTCCGCCCGCTCCGCCTGGTCCGCCGGCGGCGCCTCCGGTCGTCGGCTGCGGCCTCATATTCTGGAGGGGGTTGAGCGCGTTGAGGACCACAGTTAGCGCGAAGACGATATCGCTCTGGCGGACCTTGGGCACGTCGCGAACGCCGGACGACACCCGAAGACAGAAGGGCAGGATGAAGTTCATCAGGTATATTTCGCTCTTCTCACGAGATCCGATTAACGGCTGGCCGCCGCAGAGCGACTCGAGTGACAACGATTCACCTAGCGCCTGCATTTGCATTGCGACCAGGCGGACGGCCACCGAACAGAAGCCCGGCGGCGGTGATTGGGCCAGCGCAGCGGCCGACGAGCCAACGTTGGATTGCGACTCGCCCGATCCGCTGGCTGACTCACCGACGATGATTAGCTGACAGACGGCGACCAGCGATTTGAGGTGCGGTAGATGTGCCACGTACGGGTGCTTGTACAGTGTTAGGTAGACGCCGCGGAGAAGATTCTTCGCTGCGTCCCAATCGACCAGCCGCTGTGGATTAGAGAAGATTAAGGGTAACGTCGTAAAAAAAGGTGACGAAGTTGCATTCGGATTTTGTAGGAGTGCTTCTGTATCTGTAATGACCTTAGGTGCTTTGGAATCCAAATAGTTAGAAATATAGTAATAATATGATAAAATAGCTGTGGTACGTGCGTATATTCCTTGCATACCCTGATTGCTGGTTTTTTGGCGATCTTCGTAAAGGTCCGGTCGAGTCGGCGAATAACCATAATGAGTGCTGGTCTCATTGACTCTTGCGCCCATTCGGAAAATGGTAGTACCTCGTTGAGGTATCGTCTTAGTCCTCTTCCAGCCATTGTGTCTGGATCATAGGGAGACATTTTCAATAAGCTATGCGCGACCTCTGCCAGTCTCTGTAAATTAGCATAAACATCAATTTTATTAAGTTATACAAATGGAAACTTAATTGTGATTCTGAAAGCGATCGTACACGACAAGACATGAATTCAAAATATTCTATATGCGCACATTTATAAACAGAGATCACTTACAAGATGGCATTTGACGTCTAACAACTCTGTCGCTTTGCTGGGTAAATCGGGAATTTTTTTAGAAAGATCGGCAAGTCGCGCCGAGCACTTGGTCAGAAACTCGGCGACGACATTAAGTAGAGTGTCGCGCGGTTTTCGGAATTCCATTCGCAAAATGTCAGAATCCTCACAGTCCCCCCGTTCGAAGTAGCCGCCTTGCTTTCGATAGTTAAGCGCCTCGTTCATGAATCGTGATGGAAGGTCCTCCTCGATCTCGAATGGCGGTGATACGGCGCTTCGCGTTCCAGTCTTCATGCTCGAACCTCGCAGGTCGATGGTTCGTTGCGGACCTGAATAGTTTCGTGTCAACGGCTCTGCGTTCATGATAAGCGTCCGCATGCATAACGAGATGCTATGTATCATAAGAAGCTCGGACCGCGATCCGCCGGTCTCTTTCTTAGTAGTTAATGACTGCAAGTGCTCCAGGTAATATGGAACAATGGCCTCAAGGATAGTCTATAAAAAAAAATTAAAAGCAGGAGCACGTAAGCATTGTCTTCTTAAGGCGTTTAAATAGGATGGAATGTTACTTTTTTTAATAGTTCAGTTCAGCTATTTTTCATCTCACACAAAGATGGCTAAGGGTAAGTATGAACTAACAATACGGTACGGCAAGAATTACACTAACCAGCATTTGATGCGATCGATGTGTATCCGCTGAGTAGGCGCAGACGGTAACACACAGCGAAATAGCGTCGAGAATGGACAGAGCGTCAGGATCCATTTGATAACAGAAGTCGAGTGCGCGAAGTGGCTTTTCAGCGTCGACCAGCTCCAGGATGTCAAGGGGGTCAACGATATATTGTGAGAGGGACTGTAGAAGCTGCATGAAATGTCCATAGTAAAAAAAGGATTGCAATTGCAACAACGAACATAGGAAGATGCCTAGTGCTTTCGATTCATGTAAAGCCATTGCTATTTATATCTTAGACAGCAAGATTATTTATACAAAATCAATCTAATAACTTAACGAAAACAAAGGAAAGCCTCAAGGGCTTGCTAATATCCTTAGTAGATGATGAATTATGTGCCCACCAGTGCGCATATTGTCCAGTGCAAATCTTGATTGAACATGTTGCATTCAGATTTTTTTCGTGTTGTAGATGACCAAGAAATTCCTTTGTATTCTACATATATATATATATATATATATATATATATATATATCTTTATGAAATGAAAGTATGCATTGGAAAAAGGGAGCTAACGGAATCATAATAACAAGGAACTCTGAACCACCGATAAAGCACTTATTGTACTCTGTGAGAATAGAAAATGACCTTGCTATCGTCATTTAAGCACTGCAGTGTGATCAACATGTCTTAGGAGATCGTTATCTATATATCAATAGGAATGGTATCGAGGCTTGGATACGTCTGTACCTGGAAAAATGCTTTGGGCTGAACCTTGGACGCATCTCCGTACTGGCTGGCAGTGTCAGTGTCCAACAGCGGGGCGACGCTACCAAACATCTGCAGTACAAACGGCTTTCGGTGCATGATGTAAAATTGCTTGCATATAAACTCTATGGTGCGACAGAGGAGGCCGTTGGTCTGGTGGTTGGAGTAGATCTGTAGCATTGTCGGCATGATGAGAAGGTAGCCGTTGGTGGCAAAGATGTTCTTAAACTGGTGGGCGGCATTGACGAAGGTGGCGCAGCAGAGGCGCAAGATGGCGGCATCTTCACAGTGCAAAACAAGGGCCCCGTTCACCACATTTAGAAATAGATGCAAGTCCGAAGAATGCGCAAAGAAGCCGGACATCGCCTCGAACATACGCGCCATCAGCCGAACCTAGCAGAAAAAGCAGAGATCAAAAAGATGTCATGGCCGTCACATACAGAGTACTGTTGCATAGAGAATTAGTTGTTGGAATGTTTTTCTTATTGTGTGAGCAAGACTAACTCTAAAACCTAATCAAGTCTAGCAAACCTGTTGGTGAACAAAGAACATACCTGAATACATTATATGTATGCTTGCATTTATATTACAACATTTACAAAAGTTAACTTACCCAACACAGTTTGTGCATGGTATCCATGGCCAGTACCTGCTTTCCGTATTTACCCGTGTACATGCTAAAATCAGCTTCCAACGCTTTTCTTGGGAAAGACGGCAGTTTCGTGAGTTCATCGTGAAGGAAGAGAACACGCGGAGCTAATTGGTGATTGCTACGAAGTACGGCCAGACTCATTAATACCTGCGTATGAGGATATCAACCCTAGCATTATAAAATCCTTTATTTCATCAAAAATCGAATTTTTATTAATTGATGAAATAATATTAAGAGTAAATTAATCGAGAAAATGCCGCAACCGCTAGTGTAACCCGTATGGCTTTGGTGTTCCTACAATGACTGACCTTGCTAGCCTCTATAAAATGCAGTTGAAAGTATTGCATCTGAAGTGCTGCGTGCGCGGTATCGGGTTCCATCTTGATCAGGTTGAGCTGTGGATACTGGCTGCGTTTGAAGAAATAGTGGTCCCGGATATAAGCGCTACTTATATGCATCGTATCTGAAGTAACAAATAAACATTATTTAGTTCATTTTCACAAACAGCCTTTTTATAGAAGCTCGCAATTCCTAGTTACAATTACTGTGTCTCCGACGGCAACAGCGATTGCCATTGAAATCTACCTTTTATAATTTAAATACGAATGTACTATAATTGCCCCTCGGGTCAAGTTTAGATCAGAGATATTGTCATTATTATATATCATTGTGTACCCCGGATATGAGTATAAAGATCTGTGTAATGTCACTCGAGTTCATTGCTGAAATTTGTAATGCACTCACTTGTTTTGGTATCGACAAGGAAGTAGCAGTTTTGTTGGTTCTCTTCGATGCCAAAGAAGTCCAAACTGTCCTGAAGAATATGCTGAAAGAGCGTGTCCTCGTGTATAGGGAACTGAGACGGAATTCCCCCCGGGTCATCTTGGCCTACAGACAAAAGCGACGACACCACAGCATAAAATATCCGTTATATAGGGTGCACAATAGAATAATGAAAAGCTAACACTAGAAATTCCGAAGCGATCAAAATATCAGGAGAATTCGTAAGGTGAGCACACTCTTTTGAAAGCTCAAGCATATAATGAGACTCTTTTGTACTAGACAACCTCAAGTGACGATATTTGGGTTGAAAAAAGTTCCATCGTATTGTAAGTGTTCACGTACTATTAGGCAGATATTCAGTATCCGCCAGTAATACTCTGTTCACTAGTCTCATGCCACTCTCACCGTGCACAATGATTTTCTTAGCGCTGGGGACGTTGGCTGTGATAAGCAGGGCTGAATCGCATTGCTCCTTGCGGAGCACCTGTTTAAGATCTTTGAGGTAGAGTCCGTATACGGAAGGCACCACGAGCCAGAGTGCCGATAGCGAGGCGGCAATCAGCTCGGAATAACCCTCGCACGGCGAGCGTACGTAGAACATGACGAAGCCAACAATATAATTGTACATCACGTGAGCCGCTTGCGTTGGCAAGCGCGGCATAAAGCGAATCAACCGGCGGAGGATCTGAATGATGGCGTCGGGCTTCTCGCGTGTCAGCCGCTCCAGGAGGTAGCGGAGAAAGAGCGCCGTATCCTCGACGAGACATTGCCAGATGACTTTGAAGGCAACCTCGTAGACGGCCACTCCCTCATAGTTGGTCTGGACGTCCTGTAGCATGTTGATGATTGTGATGGCAGAGGAACACATGCAAGATGGGTATAGTGAATGGGCAACCTGAATAGGGTGTGACGCATGTGGTCGCTCGGCCCGCAACTGCGGCTCGTGCGGGTCGTTTACGGCTTCGTTGGCGGCGGCGCTCTCCGCTGCCGTTGGGCCGACGCCGTGCTCGGCGTCGGCCGGGTGCTGGTACAACGCCGGTTCGTAAGCTGCTTGCATTGTGGGACTGATCGATGTCATGAAGAAGTTTTCTCGTTCTGTCGTCCGTTTCTCGTCTTCGGCTTGTAACGCCCGTTGTATAAGCTCCATCTGTTGTTTTCGTCGGGTCTGGGTGGCAGTGACGAATGATCGTTGCTCCTGATTGATGGTGACCTCTTCGACCTTCGTTTTAACCTGCGGCATCCACGGTGGATCTGCTACAGGGGCCGAGTCCATTGCAATTCGAGGACTCGGTAACGTGAACTCGATGTTTGGTGGCGGCACCTTGAATAGCACGTGGGCACTCTCCTCCATACGCGGCCAACACTGGTAACGGTGCCGCCACAGGTTCTGAATCCGTAGTAGCGCACGAATACGTTGATTAACGTCCTCTGACTTGAGCTCTTTCTCGATGAGCTCGCTAGCGTGCTCCGCTGATTTGACGGCGCACAAGATGAACACCACTGATGCGATTGAACTCAGTTGTTGATCCGGTTCCAGTATAAGCTCCCAGGCAACCGGTAAAATGTCTACAGGGACAAACGGGAAGGAAAAAACGAACAAGCAGAGACTGTGATGACAATAACGTAAGCGGAATTTCTAAACTTCAGAGAAGTTCTACGGAAGTTTTTGTGCTGTGTTTGTAAAGCCCTAAACAACAGCGAAATGGTATGATAATGTCGTCAGCTACCACGGTGGATTAGGTTACTTGAGAATTGCGTACGGGCAAACTGTGTTCACGGTTGAATTACTTATAATTACAAAAAAGATTCCTAGAAATGGAAGAAGCAGAGTTCTAGTGAATTTTTTTGTGTAGGTAAGACAGCGTCTATTTGAAATTATATAGTTATACATAAGTGTGTTGCTACAATATTAAGTCCGCAGATCATCTATGCTACCCACAGCAGTAAACGAATCATGTTTTTATTCTTACCAAAAAAATGGTCTTCTTTAAGAATGACTGCTCCCTCTATGAGAAGCGACATAGGTGCCAGGAAAACGTTGACCACTTGATTTTTTATATATTTTAATAATGGATTTTCTTCCTTATCCTTCTTTTTCTTTTCGAACTGGCCAGACTGCTTCAAGTACGGCTCCGCTACATTTTGAAGGGGATCAAAATAAAGAACATCAACATCCGAAGCATTTTGTCTCCTTATTAACGTGTATGTATTAAAGAAGGTATATTTGTGCCGTTATATATATATATATATATATAATTTATGCTTTAACCGACATGATTTATTTTTAGTGGAAAAACTATTTCGATTTATTGAAAAGCCTGTGGGGGGCAAAAGACTAAAGTAAACGCGAAAAGCAAGCGGTTACTCACCGCCCATTTCGAGATCGTGCACAAGACAGGTGGTGGAGCTGTGCAGCGAACGGGCCCCGCTCAGGTGAGGCGTATCAAGCACGCGATCTTCGCCACCTGCGCTTCGGCCAGAGCTGCCTGCGATAGCGCCTACCCCCTTGTCGGTCTGGTAAAGGTGACCGGGAATGCTAGTTTTACGACGAAGCGGTGAGCTCGGCCCGGTGATAATTTTCTTGAACTTCTTCTCTTTGCTTTTGAGTTCTTTATCATCCATACTCTGTTCTCCTTCGGCCCCTATCCCGGCTGCTGGGCAAGGGTCTTCCGTCGAGCACTCTGTGAGACCAAAGTCGTCGCCGTATATTTTTCTAATACTTTTTGTTAACCTATTGCAAGCTCGCAGTTGTCGCCTATAAAACAACCACGAGATACGTTAGTTAGGCAGAGATACGTTCATTTAGTCGAACAGATGAATTTAAACTAAGAAACGATTAGTTAATGTCTGCAGTATTGAAGGGGACAATTGCGGTGTAGTACGTACCTGTAACAACGCGGATGGCAAAATCCCTGGTGCTGACAGGTGAAATTAAGTGTTTTCTGTATCGCAATGATGGCATTGATCCAGGGGAGGTTTTGGGAGAGGTTATTGTCGCCCGAAGCGAGTTGCGCGGCTGATGATGTCAAGCCGCCATGTCCAGCGCCGCCGGAAGCTGGTAAGCCATGAACCGTCGATGAAGGTCCAGTGCCACCGCCCCCACCTCCCGCCCCTGGACCACCCGTACCAGCCTGAGTATGTTCTGCCGGGCTATCCGGGGGCTGGTCGTCGCTTAGAACACCTGGCGATTCCTCTCCTCCACTATGTACCAGATACGTAGCATAAAAAAATTGCATGCAGAATCGTCACATTTCCATATCGAAGGTTGTATACGCGCTAGGGCGATGAAAGCGTTAAGCTCGACGTTTGCTCAAATGACAGACTGGCCATCGAAGCAAACGCCGAAGTTAGAAACTATTACGTACATACTAAACCTTACTTTGCGTTGATACTGGTGCCGTCGAATGGAACAGAAAAGGCTAGCGCAATGATCAGGACTCACAATTGCTACTGCTAGACTCGCCCGAAGAATGATTGCGAGACAGATCATGTTTGTACAGGTACAACGACCTGTACAAACATGATAGAATAAACAACAACAAACTGAATGTGATAATACCTGATGTCAGCGCGCTCGCTCGTATCGCTTCGGTCCGATACGGCGCTGACCTTACGTTGCTGCCTTTGTGATTGCGGCAGCGATTGCGACTTGATGCTTTCCGTCCGTCTGAGCATTTCCTCAGCATCCTCATCACTAGCGGCAAATGTCGATGATCTGTGAAAGAAGAGTTGCAAAAATTCGGGGTTCGAACTACTATTAGGGCGTTATGGGCGACTCCCGTGATCTTTGAAAATTAATAACTCTTGAACGCGTTGGGCTAAAATAATGATTTTTCACGATATGTCAAATCTACTCTTCTTTATAATTAATACACTTATCCCAGCACTCTGGTATTTCCTGGACAGCCATATATACCTACTATTTGCGTTCCCATAAATCGATGTTAGCCTATATTTGGTCGCCGATAACTTTTCGAGGGCATGGAAAGCCCCGTGATTACACGGACCTAGATTTGGAGAATTCATTACCATGCTTGCAGAAGAAAACATCCTACGAACTATACGTTATACTAGCTTCGAACGTCTATGGTTAACTACAGGTATGGAAGAAGTCTACATATGTAATATTAGAGCTGCTTTTTACTAGACGAGAATAGGTACTCTTGTTCAGGTTGAAGGCAACGTTGACTACTCTTATGCTCAATCTAGGAACTAATTGGTAATGAGGTCGAGCATTGCCATCAAATATCCGGCGTGCTTTCGATTACCTTGCCAACTGTGCATTACTCTCTTGAAGAACTCGAGACAACACACTGCATTCACTGTTTTATTTTCGGCGAGTACTTCATAATACCAGATGCTTTGGGTGATCATTGCAAGTACCGCAACGATACTGCCACCGAACTCGCTTTCCCTCCAGGCTAACGCCATTATTTCGCCTGAGCTCTCTCTGGCTTGCGGAGAGATTGAACCATGTCTCTTTTATGGTGGAGCTATTGTCAAGTTTTTGGTTAATTAAAGTTCCGCAAGTTGCATACGGAATCCATCACATGCATTTCAAACTAGCCTGCACTCGATCGACGGGGACACATTTTTCGCTTAGTTTCTGCATTTTCAGTATTTAGGGTATGTTGCTGTGACACGCTACATATTAAATACCAGTTTTGGCTAATAAAACCCTTAGACTCCAAGTTCTGCTTTCACAAAAGGTCTCCTCAAAAGCAATAATGTATTCTTATTCTCCGCGTTCCGATATCTGGTCCGTTCGAACCCCCATTTTTGAAAGCATTGCATCATTCACGTACTGGGTTTTCGCTTTAGGCCTCCGTGACTTATGACTTCGTCAAGCTTCGATGTATTTCCGCAGCACTGTGGTCTTCGATGAACAAAAACTAGACCACTGAAGGCTGATTTTGGAGACTAGGAAATGTTTCTTCTTTTGCATGCTTCTTTCTTGCAACTTTCTAAGACACTGGAGTGTTTACCAGCCGAATTTCGTCTGCCAGCAACCCGCAGTTCAGAAATTGGTAAATTTTACAGTCCACCGGATTCACTTCTAACAGGTCAGTACGATTCATTACCACGCTTGCAGAAGAAAACATCCTATGAACTATACGTTATACTAGCTTCGAACGTCTATGGCTAATTACAGGTATGGAAGAAGTCTACATATGTAATATTAGAGCTACTTTTTACTAGACGAGAATAGGTACTCTTGTTCAAGCATTCAGCAACGCTTCTCACCTAGGGCGATTTTTACGATCTTGTCTCTTCAATTTGAGGCTACAACGCTTCAAACTCGACTGGTGGTGACCCCTTCTTAGCAGGTGGCTGGCAGCCGCGACTGCTGCAACTGATCCAGCGATACCACTGCCACTTGGTCTGCTGCCTCTGTTAATACAAAAGTTAAGGTTGAGTGAATAGATATTATCATCGCATTAGTACTACACATTCACTATACACTGTGTATGTATATGCTCACCCTTTATGGATACGTCTCATGCTGCAGATGCATTTGAAACCTTTCAGCCCCTCAATCATTATTAGCTCACCTCTGTCTAGCCTGCCTGGCCTGACCGGGTCCAGCGGGCGGACGATCCGCGACTGACCCGGCGGCTCCCTCGCCCTGCTGTTGTTGATGCAGGTGCTGTTGCTGAAAGGAGAGGAGCCCGGCCGCCATGCCGGCCATATGGTCCGACTGGTTGTCAGACTCGGCGTCCGCCTCGTGAAGCACAAAACTGATCCTTCGCTCACCTACGCCAGCCATCGGATGGGCTGCTTGCGTCTGCTCCGCGAGCGAAATCAGACTGTGAGCCGAGGTTTGGCTCACCCCCAGCGTACTCAAAGCCATAGACCATCTCCTGTTAGCATTGTGTGACTGAAAGCCGGCCGGAGGTCCACCTATCGGCATAGGGGCTCCCGGTTGGCGCTCGCCGCGGGTCGATTGCCGTGACGGACCTCCCCTGGCCGGCAGACACTGGAACGTCTCTCGCAGGAACGATGTAATTTCCAGCAGGAGTTGGCATGCCGCCATTTGCAGGGCGAACGGGCAGCGCTGGTTACAGATCGACGCCTCGTCAAGGAAGTCTTCCTCATCGTCTTCGACGCGTAGTTGACGGCGTCTAGCATCGTCGAACGTCATCTGGTCCCAGCTCTCGACCATCATCGTCGTGGTAGTGGATGCCGCGTCACTTGTACCCGCTCCTGGTCCACCGGGGCTCACGTCTGCCCCGATGAGCTCTTCGAGTCGGGCACCTATAGCTTCCGCCCATTCATGGAACATCCTGCCCGCAGCTCTCTGCAGTGTGTGCATCCTGTAAACATGCGCAACATACGTGACAGACATACGTCATGGGCAATATCCATCCATGACCTTTTTTAAAATATTCGCCATGGGCTAGTGAAAGAACCGTCTACGTTAATCGACCAATATTTTAGATGGGAATACGTTTGGATACTCAAAACCGCGTGCCTGTAATTCTATGTTTCCCTATTTTGTGTTGTCTTTATTATTATTTTCACCTGTGTAAGGCGGGTTGACTCCGTCCTCCCGCGCCGCCGCTCATGGCGCCACTAGCGCGGAAGAGCGGTAGATTAAGTTTCATCCAGCTGGGCCAAAGGCCTTTGTTGCATCTCCGGACGAAGTAGGCACACTCAAGAAATAGCGCTGCGCGAGAAACGACGGGAGCTTTCTGCAAACACACAAAAAAGGAGTATTAACTATAACAAGCACGAGTGTTTGCCATGATTAGATTTTTAATCATTATAATGATCCTAATTCAGTCTGAACAGGCATATAAACTGAACACGAACTTTAATCCATATAGCTGGCATAAGCATATTCTACTTTCGTAAGACTTATTTTAAAATACGATACAATTATCCTATGAAATAATCCACGTAGAGATATGGAAAAGGTTTCGGATAAAAGCAATGCGTCGCAATGTCTTATGATGTTATAAGAAAATTTCACGCGATAATATTGAAGACATGTCCTCATCAAAGCTTAAACGCCGCGCCCGACGGACCAGGTCTAGTGCTGCGGCGAGTAGTGGTGGGTCAGGTATAGTCCCAGGGTTGCAGGCCTCAAGCAGAAATGCGAACCGAAGCATGCCATCTCGGACCGTCTTAATGTTGACGAGTCGGGTTTCCTTAACGAAGTAACTGGCTGCGGCCTGACTCTCCTGGCTGTTGTCTAAATCAAACGAATTCCGTCGCGATAAGTCAGCCACCTCCTCGAAACCGCCATGCTTGCTCTTGGTCCGACCGAAGCCCAGCTTCGAAAGCTGCTCCTCGACTCGTTTTTTGGCCTGATAAAAGAAACGAACCAACGCAAAGCATGGTCATCATTAATGTCGCTAAATGAATAGATTGACTGATTCACAGTTCAGAACTTTAAAATAAATTGTTATGCAGACGAGCACTTCAAAGACATGCTACATGACTACTCCAGTTCGTAAGTGAATTCGAATGGCACTCACTGGAATTTATGTTACTTAAAAATTAGGGCATCCTCACCTTAAGCAAACCGGCGGACGAACTCTTACTGACTGCACCCTTGCCTTTAGATTTAAATTTAAACGATAGGGTATCTCCGTCTAGGTCATCGTCGGTGTCAAGCACGAGCTGTGATGATGACGGAACTGGGGTCATGCCCGAACCGCCTGCAGAACGTCAACACAACCAGCAAAATGAGGAAATCGGGAGAAAAACTGAAAAATCTGGCCTCAGTTCGAGATGCATTTGTGTAAACAATAATTTTCTTAAAGGAGCATACTTCTTATTGTAGTTTATATTCACCCTGTTCGCTGCAATATGTATTCAAAAAATTGCATATTCGAATATGAAGAGCTCGAAGTCTATGAACAGGACAATGGACACACATACATAATTCCTCTGGAGTGTACTCTATATCTCATTATAAAAAATTGGGCAAGCAACACTTCGTTTAGGTGGGTGTGCATCTCGGAGCCGTCGACACGGTTGTATAGGTTACTGGCCGATAACTAATAAACCTTTAAACCAATTTAGAAGTTGCAGCTTCGAGCCGGAAGGATTTTTCTGCTTGGCACCGAGCGACAGGGTGTCGCTACCATCGGGGCCGACACTCAGGCGGGGTCCGAGTGTCTTCATCAGCTTGAGTGATTGTTGCGGCGTCACGCTGGCCATGGAGCCCGCGGAAAGGGAAGGTTCTTCGTCGAACTTGCTCTGTGAGCTAGGAACCTTTTTGACCGTGGACTTCTTCTTGAAGAAGCTCTTTCGGCCAGCCTTGTCGGTCTCATCGACGACAATCATACTAGTATCTCCCACTTTGACGCCGGCCAAAGTTTCTGATTCCTTCTGCTCCTGGGCGTCCATGATCCGGGACGCGTGCCGCACTATTCTCGTTCCCGGAATAAAGCTTTTGCCCGAACACTGGTTAGGGCGCTCTGCGCTCTCTAACAGCCCTGATAATGCGACTCGACGGAAAATCCCTCCTAGCGAAACAGACATGATATTATTTTTGCATAACAAATCACAAAAGCGTATTCAAATTAACAATGCTTCTGGAGCCAGAAAGATGCGAATTTTAAATAGGTTCACTGCTTTCTCTGTGTTTGTGGTAACCACGGCACACTGTTACATCAAAACAATTCAATCCATCAAATATATTACAACATAAGAAACGTAACCTGTTTGCCACATACAGTGGTTACATAAGTTTAGGTTCTCACCGTGATTTTCGTGAATGAAATTGATTAGTTGTCTGAGGTCGCAGTATAGACTCATGTTCTCCTGACTCCTGAGTTCTTTGGCGTTCCTGGCGAGTCTGGTGGCCATCGCCTTGAACGTATAGCTGAGCACGACGTGCTCGATCGAGCGAGGGTTGGCTCCAAAATTGTTCGCGTATCCTGCAATTTGTATATCGTTTTGATTAGATCAGATTTCCTGCAAGGCCATGATTTGATCAGGGAGTGCAAGCGGTTGGCGAGCAATGATGAATAGACTGTCTTACAGAATGGAAACCGCTTTCTTTCGCTGTGAGAACTTTTGATCTGAAAACGAGTCGTGAGGTGTCCAGAGGTAATTCTAAGAATCGTAAATGGTCCGGAGCGATGCGTGGATAATAGACTCTTGTAATTCGAGTTACAGTTTACAAATCGGAAGCAGTTTTGTATTAAAATAATTTGCCGCAACTATATTTTTGTAATTATACAGGAAATGGCTGTGGGGTAACGAATTGTCACGCCGAAAGAAAGCTTCTCTGCAGTTTGCCAGCATGGAGTTCTACACATACACACACGCATATTTCAGATAAGTATTGATATATAGAAATATAGGAGCGTTATTATATGGGTTGAATAGCATATATTTAACGTATATGAGTTAGGTACGGTCACTGAGTAAGTGAAACACATTTAAGTCGTGCCTAGTGGCTCCTGAACAAATCATGAGGTTTGGTGCCGTCGCTTGTTCAAGAAACACATTTTTATTTCTTCGTTTCCTTTATCATGTAGCTGCAGCAGATCTGAACGATACACGCAAACAGCCCCGCGTCAAGTCCTAACCCGGCAGCCACGTGCGCGTAAATGTCATGCGGTTGAGGTCATCGTTGATAATTCGAACCGAGGCTGGAAATCAGCGATGAACTCAAATCTAATGATCAACAATCAATCTCACTGAGCTCAATCAAATCAATTATTTTGATCGACCGGTCTACGCATTGACTAGACCATCATCAGTAGTAGTCATTACCAGTCATTAATAATCATGGTCTGACAGGCCATTCGGTAAACTGATGTCCTTGTCGGTTTACCGTTGAGATAACGGCCCTCAAGGTCATCGTCACATCGGTGCGTAAAAGTACCTTTCTACAACATACGGACTCGTGTTAAAGCGATGTGCGGGTTGTGAATATGACCTCGAAAATAAGGTCGCCGTTGACATCATTACAGTCGGCCTCGTCAGCTAGTGTGAATTAAGCGGCAGTTTGTTACAAACAGTTTCCCTATTTAGTCTAACTACTACTAACGTAAACACTAACAGTCTGGTTAGCATGTACCACACAGCGATCTCACGACCCAGGTATTTTAGAGGTTTAATAGGAAGCATGTTAGTTTAATTTGGTGCGGTTCATATAACAAAGAAAGAGTTTAGATTTGATGCTACGAATGCCACCACGATTTCTTATTATTGCTAAGTAATCCATAGCGACGTCATTCTGCAATCGGACCAAGAAGCCCTCGGATCGTTGAAGTGACCTGCGATTTCCGTCTTACCCCCTTATCTATCAACAGTTCATACCATTGTTACATGTCGTACTATCAGTACTGTGAAAAGACAGCGGAATCAATTTGCTCAATGGCGGTGGTTCATAACTATGAAGTTGCGCAGGTAGAAATAAAAAGTTCTCTGAAACGGCGCAAGTAGCCCAGTTGTCCAAAAAAGAAGGGAGTTTATGGATAATGAACGTATAGAACGACATGGTATAGCGACATTATGTAATGAGATGACTGATATGTGCTGATATAATTGTAGTACATTTCGCTAAGTGGTGAACCATCTACGGATAAGGTTACATACGACCACGATGAGTATGTACTTTGAACTTCTAATGTCACTATTTACCGTCAAACAGAACTAAAAGCTAGATATCCCTCCAACGTAGGCTACATCTGCATCATTCAGAATTTGTGCCCGTAAGAAGAACCTCAGAAGGATCAGTATCTCCACTCTACTTATTTTGAACATTTTATAGTTATAAACAGCGTGTTTATTAATATGTATATACTATATGGAATATAGACATATACAAGCGTGTGATATATGATGCTCAATCCGTGACAATGATGGATAGCTGATTAGAAACATATTAAGTGACCATTATCATACAATTAGTTGGTTGTTATAATGGATACGGTGTGGTAGAATACAGCAGCTGAGAGGTGACTGCGGGATGTAGTCGCGCGAAGCAGGGTTGCGACATGTCATAGAAAGCAGGTACACGAAAATCATATTTTAGGTACGTTGCAAGCAATAAGGTAATTGCGTTTGCTACGTGATAGGTTAGGTGGGGATTTATCAAGTTCGTTTATTACATTAAAGTTTATTTAGTTTAAGTGCCGTTAGTTAGAAACGAGAAAAGTTTAATAGATATAATAAAAATAAATAGATCAAGCCGAATAGTTTTTTTGGTGTTTGTATAAATTTCGATACTTTTCGGGGGATCTGTATTCACAGGGTCCTTCCACTTGGCTGCACCCGGTGATGTACCTTGTACAGGGTGGAATATACTCGAGAAGCTATTTCGGCAGCTTTGTACTTGCCGAGGGGACATCGCAGCTGAAATTGAAGAAGACCAAACAAGAGAATCGCCAAAAAAGAACAGAAAGTAACAAGACGATGACAAAACTCAATGACAATAATAATAATAATAATGATATTAATTATTATAGTAACAACAGCCGCCGCTGCCGCAGCAACAACACTGACAAATCTGATTACAGCAGAAATAACCGCGGATTTTGAAATTTGAAACAGACGAAACCCGGTATCAATGTTCTGCTCCCAGATCTACAGCGGCTCGCTTAATCGCCCGGCAAAGTAAATGATTTTGTGGTTAAATCGACACAGGGGCAGATCAGCCTTAATGACTGTTAATCATAACAACCTGTAAGATTTACAGTGGCAGAAATAAGCATTTGTCTAAACATATTATTGTAATAGTATATTCAGTATTTTTCTATTATTATATTAGTATCAACTAGCTAATTAACAAGGCCGAAAAGCTTTAATGAAAGGACGCAATTAAGCGGAACAGTTTCGACAGTCTGTGAACGTTCTACTTAGGAATGATTAATAAGAATGTATTCCCATTATATAGCAGTCGACAGGAAAAGCTCGTTATTGGTAGTATTTGATGATGTTACTGGTCTGTAGCAGGAAATACGATTACAATCGTACAACAAGAAATAATCAGTAAACTCAACTACATACATAAAAAAAAGTACACTATATATTATATACTTTAATGTCAGTATATGAAATGCATGTTTGATGAAAACGAGGATATATACTATTATTATGTCTGAACTGATTGTAAGGACGATGCGGAAATCTACAGATTTTTGGATGAAACGCCCTCGTAAAGTAACACCTATGCTTTAACATATATACAAATGAAGCAAAAAAAGATAAACTATGAGGAATATGTTCAGAATATGGATACAAGAAGAGATAATGCGCGACATTTAAATATAAAACCTGCATATAATGTCAATGAGTGACAAAAGATAGAAATGCAAATGGAGACACACTGAGGTCATGCAAGACCGATGTACCTTCTTTGAGGTTGACTATGCCTGAAGAAAAGCTGTTCCTGCAACTCGCCGATAGGCGGACCGGAGTAAGCAATCCTAGAAGGGTAAATCGCGATCAGGGTTAGCTTGATGACGGCTTTCAAAGTAGCTGGACTACACTGAGAAGTTCCGAAAAATGGCGAACGTACGTAAAAGAATTTACAACTACGATCTTGTGCCTGGCAGCTACTGGCGTATTTAACCTGATTTCAGAGGAACTGAGAGTCAAGCCACTAAGGACAACACCGTCGCCATTTTAGACTGCTTCTCTCGCAAACGCTGGGAGCGTTCAATCGCACCATAGATTCCTTCTAACAAATGTAATACGGCCTTATTTCAGTTCTTAGTCTATTCAAACTACTTATTATGCATCGATCTCATGTGTTGCATGAGGACCCTGATTTCATTTTTTTTCTGGTGCTCACATGTGTATCTATGTAGGTAGGTTTAGTAGAGAGCACAGGTGCTGTTCGTTATCTTCAATAAATTTACCCAAGAAAGGCCGATTGGCCTTGAAAGTCCTTTTAATTGCATTCTATTTTACCGTAGATTACAGAATGCTATAGCTTTATATATGTGATTGCATCGTCTATGGGCAATAGCTAGTGCTAGTAGCCTCAGCTACTTAAGTTAACAAGTAAACCCAAGCTGATATCGTTACTTTGTGCCCTTCACATAGACGCGTGTAAACAAAAAACTATTACTATATTCTATCAACACTATTAGTGTTAGTAAACTCTATTAGTAAACGAGATGGCATATTAAAGATGTGCTTGCCCCTTTTGCGCTCTCTACCAAATGCTGGTCCGTCACTATAGAAACCTGTATGTGTTACCTAGGTACAAATCAATTATAGCTCTGTTCTATACTTGCTATATCTATATAACACTCAGCAGCTGCGGCACTCCTCTATCCCCTAGTATCTAACTAGCGCTCTACAATAGGATAGGTCAAGTGCAATGGGTCAGAGAAAGCAATCGATAAAGTCAGTGATCAAGGCTGTTGTTAAGGTCAACCAGGATGGCCCTCGGGCAATAGGGCTGCTGAAACACCGGGTCTACAGATATTCTCTAAATGCTGCTGGAATCGGTTGGAGAAGGTAACATTTCAAGGATTTGTATCTAGCACAGAAGCAAAAAATAACGCTCGCATCTACGGGTGCGGTAAACAGAAGGAAGAAAAGTCAGGCAAAGGATGAACTGCAGGACTTAGTGGCCGGGGGTAGCCGCGTCTTGTATGGTTGTGTTTAGTGTCATACAATAGGTAGAGTTATTCGATTAATTTAAATCTAAACACAGTCGTGATACGGATAATTTCGAAGGTGCGGTTATTAATATACTAATGGTTTCGTCACAGCGTGTAGTCTGTGCTGGGTTCATAATAGCAATAAGAACGATAGAATAGATATATGGAAATGAGCTCTGCGCATATGCTACGTATGTACAGAGTTGTTTCATGTTAACTTCACCTTCGGTGTGTGAATATATACTGCTAAACGAGCTGAACATCTCTGCGCCGTAACTCGTTATTATCTTGGGTAGGCTCACTGAAAGCAAGAGCCGACGGGTCACAACATTGAACGGAATTATACAAATACTCTAACGTTATGAGATGCTCAGTGAGTATAGCCTCATAAAAAAAAAAAAATATATATATATATATATGAAAATCCTCTTGTTTTCTATATAGACACGTTGAAACAAATGCCGTTCTCAGGCACAATCATATTATATTTGCCCAACTCAAATCGCGGTGCACTGTAGTTCTCGACAATGTGCTGTCAAATAAAAATTCAAAAGTATTCTTTAGTAGTCGTAGATAATTTATAAACATGAATTCGTTAATGCCGTTTCCTCTACAAAGGTCCGCCTCCGCTAAATTGAATTCGCTCTGGAACATAGTAAAAAATGAAACCGCGCATCTATTGACGCCAGTATTGTATTGCACGGACCTGTTCTGGCGGAAGCGCTATCCTGATTGCTGGCTGCAGTCGACGTTGAGATTCGCTTCATCTGCGTCGTCGGTGAGAGTAAGGATGTCGAGTTCTGGCAGAACCCAAGCAGCGAGTGGTACATGTCCACGATTTCGGAAAGACCGCGGTTGACAGTCATGTCTCGCACGAACTTCGCGAACGCTCTCTCGTTGTCGTCGTGAAGCTTCATTAAAACTTCCTGGGCGCGGGCGCGAACTTCTTCAGCATTTCCTGGAATCAGCACAAAACAAAAGGCGTTATAAAGGCCAAGTAAGTATGACATAGTCCAAGCATATGGATCGACCTATCTCACGTATATATATGAGGTGTACGACATCAGTACTTGGGCTTGTGCGAACTTCAGCGTTACAGCAATAGTCAAACGAAAGCGTAATTTATGTCGTTCATACCCTGTCGGTGTCCCTCTCCGCAACCATGGGGGCAACCAAGATGTTTGATCACCCTGAGCACTACGTCCGCGAAAAGATGATGAACACTCAGCTCGCTCTCCCGCTGGCTTCCTCCGCGAGAAGCCGATGAGCGGTGACGGCGCTCATGCTGTTGTTTATACGATAAACTACCGGCTCCCTCTTCGGAATAACAGCCTGTACCGCTTCCGCGGGGGTCTCCACTTTCATGGCTGCTAGTGAAGCGGGTGTGATGGTACCAGTGAAGAATAAAGGTCAATTTCTAGGCTGTTTCATTTATCACTCTTTAGTGGTAAATCTGATAGATCCAATATATATCCCCAAACATAATTAATTACGACTATTATTGCCAGAAGTACGAAATTGATGCTATTTTGTCTATATTATAATCAACACAATATAATAAACTGGCACAATACGGAGCTTAGAAGAAGTCTTAACTCAACCTTTTTCTGGTCTTTTCCTGTTGTGCACTGCCGTGTCCATGCGCGGTAGGGCCAAGTAAAACGTGCATCTGCAGCAGCTGCTCAAGTATATCAAGGATGGCTTCACACACACGTAATGAACACGCAGTGTCTCGCAGAGTGACGGCATGAACGGCTTTGAGGACAACTTGCAGGTGAATCCGTCCATCTGCTGTGATGTAGTGCGTCGAGCCGGACGCTTCGTCTAGCCCCTCGAGCGCATAAAGGATATCAGAATCGGTTTGCGAGCGGGTAATGCCCAGTTGCTGACAGGGTGGGTAAAACGCAACTCCTCGGCTGATACAGTCGTCGAGTGGCTCATGGGACTCGTCATCTTTCGGCGAATCACCGCTTTCCTGTTTATCCATGTAGTAAATACGTAGATTATTTAAAGATACACGATAAGTAGTATGAACATCATCATCACTATGAGTATGATAACATTAGTGAATTTGAATAAGCGTGACATACCACTAGAAGCAGAAATAAATAACATAATATTGCGAGTTATTAGGGAAAATGTATACCTTGTTGGCCTATCATTAGGCGTTATCTCTTGAGTAATAGATTGCCGGCTGCGTACCTGATTGACCAGGAACTGCATAGAGGAGACTGGCGAATGCTCCGTGACGGTGATGGTCGGAGGCGCGACACTTGGCCTCTGAAGATGCTCCATGCTTGAATTATGGCGCTCGCGTCGGAGCGTCACTTCATCTCGGAGCCGGTCTTGCTCGTCTCGCGTAGCCATATCGCACTGCGTAGTTACGTCAATATGGATAGAAGGTAGACTCTTTCCACGAATCATCGACCCAAACGGGACTGTTACCAGCGGATTTGACCCAAGGTCCTGTTCGGTACGCAACCCTAGCGAGGACTTCGGCCGGTGTAGAACTGGTGACATGGCTAAATCGAGCTGGTCATGAACAGTTCCTACAAAATTTTATGTGAGCAGAATAAAAATTATTGTCTTGAGTCAACAACAAAGCAGTGACTGAGTATTCAATATTTAGCTTATATAAATTATCACTTCATTATTGCATGAACAATTTTTCATCGTTGTGATCTGAAGGAATCTTCGTCATGGAATTGTAAGACGTTTTCCTGATGTAAGCAGATGTACGATAGTGAATTGCAAGCACACCAGAAATATGACATCTGCTGCAAAACATGCCAAACCTGCTTACAGAGGGGGTACTTTTCCCCGCTGGGTTTAAATAACGTATTAGGGAACCTCTATATTTCCTTTTGTGATATACACTCAATTAAATACCTCTAACGTGTTTCTCGTGTTGTTGCAACTGCTGCTGATGTTGCTGTAGTTTGTACAAAACGTGATCGGGTAGATGAAGGTGCTCCTCTACGAAGGAGCGCAGATCGGAACCTTTCTTGAAGCCACCAGTCCCACGCTTGCGGGTCGATGAAGCTCTGTTGCCTTCTACCCCATGACTCTGTTGATTCGAGCTCATTCGTAAATCTTGTATCGAGCCATAATGGGGCGAATGGGACGCCGACGGGTGATGCGGTGATTGCGACTACATTAGAAATGAAAAATCCATTAAAATGATAGCTACGTTCCGGGCGGATGAGACACTGATTCTTTAGAGACCCCCCAGAAACTAGAATGCACGGATTCTCAAACAGAGCTCTTGTATAATTGAGATGTAAATGAGAACTAGAAAAACGTAATCTTACGTAAGTAAGGATCTTTCTTCTAGAGATAACAAAAAGTTTTGCAGTTATGAACAGAAGAACTTTTTCGCTACTACACAGGACCTGCTGTGTCTATATAGGAACTAACCTTTTTTAGTCGTTTAGGCGACGGATAGAGAGTCGTGGTATGGGTCTGTGGTCCAGCCATTCCTATCATACCCATGGCCATTGATACGCTGCCAATGGTGCCTGCCATGCCACATAGGCCTGGATGTCCAGCCAGGTGGGCATAGCCTGAATGGGCCGCATAGTGGGCCATGCGATGTGTTGGAGTCAGAGTCTCGTCCTGAGCAACGGGCAGCGAGCAACTCCTCCGGCGGGAAAAGCCTTCGCGGGCTGACTCCTCTAAAATACTGCACAGGCGTTGATGTACGAAGCGTAGGGCCCAGAACACGCCCTCCTCGAGCCACTGCGATATGAATAGGCACCGCAGCACCGATACATCAAGGTACGTGGCCAAGTTTGGATCGTCGAGTGGACAATATTGCGGCAAATCACCGCGCGCACATGAACATACCGGAGCACCGGGGACGTCATCAGCGGATGCCTTCGCTAAATGGCACTTGTCGCATACTTGGCCATTAGAGTCGTCGGTGGCGGCAGCAGGCGGTACCGGCGATTCACCGCCACATGGCCCAGCCTGATTGGCGGCGCTAGCGTGGTTGTCCTGCTGGTTGTCGGCATCAGGTTCAATCGTTATGTTGACCGTGTCGCGATCTTGTCCGGGTTCGCGGTGTGTGTCATCTCTACGGGTCTCACGTTTCTTTGGCAGCGCGACGATCACGTCGCCACGTGCGCGCCGGTGGCCTAAATAACCTCCAAGGTTTCCGCCACGCTGTTCTCGCCGTCGGTTCGGCAGTACCGGTGTAGTGAAGCACTCCACTGCTGGGTGCTTGTACTGCCACAGTGGCAGCCAGATTTTTGCACCGTTCTCAAGACGAAACGACCCCATCAAGTCCGAATGTTTAAGGAAGGTCAATAGAGGGGCAAACAGGTAGACAAACACCTATGCATCAAGTACCGAAAAATGTAAAAGTTTGAGAAGGCGTTTATCAGGGTAAAAACTACGTACACTCAGGTATACCCGCTAATACCCACACAAAAACTGAACGAGTGCGAAAACAGAAAAGTTAATACTGTAACAAAAACAAAAAAAGAAGACAATACATACCTGAATAACTGTGATGGGAAAAACATTTGGTTGAACCTGCGATGGCGGCAGGCCCTCTTGGCACTCCTGGCAGGCGTCGAGCACGATCCAATGCAGCGTATAGAGCAGTTTGGTCTCGGCCGAACCGAGTTTCTCGAGGCATGCCTCCTTGCGGCCGTGGAGGAGCGCCGCACAACAGTGAAGTACATGTGGCAATGCTGCCTTCACTAGGCGCCATCTAAAACCAAATAATGACGACAGCAGTACTATACGATAAGGAAATGTTTACCTAGCGAAGTATTAAAAAGCACAAAACATTTTCTAGCATAAAGTAATAACGCTACGATTGTGTATAATACTGAAATATAGTGGGTGGTCTACGATGATATAGGCGCATAACCGCTACGTGGTTACCGTTGCAATATATCAAGTCCATATGTCACTTACCTCCCAATCGCTTTGATGGCTGCCGTGAGGCTTGGCGAGAGACCGAATTGGATGTTTTGCACAAGAACTTTTTCGAATGACTTCGATTTCCAGATGAAATTAAAAGACCAAAGTTTACTATTGTTATTATGACTAAATTTTACAGAAAATTATTTTCTCAAAGATTTACAAACGCTGTGTGAAACCTATATAGTTGCTAATGTATTCAGAACGTATCTCTCACAATATACAGTTAAAGCATGTATATATATATATATATAATATCTACACATATATACACAAAATCGTTAGATATTGATTAATTTGTTTACCTTGCAAGCTTCTCTTTGTTCCATTTGAGAAGAGTCATATGACCTGCCTACCTTCGGCCGGATAAAAGGGCTGAAAGATTATAATTACTTTCTTCTATTTATATAATAGTAATCATAGTATAACATGGTTATTTAATAGATAGTCTTATTGTTAAAATGACGCAAGCTCTTATTTGTTTTACTGAAACAATCAAGTACTTAGAACACTGTCGCGTAATAATATCATCAACCTGTCTGCTTTACCGAAGTCGTTTATAATTATATTATAATTAGGCTCATTATTAGTATTATTTCACCTAGGAGTTTTATAGTTCTTGTGTGCCTTAACTCGAATATTTTAGTAGGTTTGAACGTGAAAATGGTTCATTAGTTGAGCCTGATGCAAATCTATAAGCGCATCTGTAGAAGATCTATCGAACAGTGTTATTAGGACGTTGGCGTAGAGGTACCCATTTATTCCGAGATTTTGAATAGCTTTAGCTGCGTACAGATTATGACATTTCGTTTCCGCCATTACTTGACTAGAAAGACTGTATGTGTATTAATTCGTCAGGGTATGCTTCTGACAGTTGCTTACCTAGTTTGGCGCCATAAAAAAGTTTGTATAGCTAGCGGCACAGCTAATTCGTCGGGTTCGTTAAAGGTATCGTAAGGTGAATGTCCTCCAAGTGGACCCCCGGTTCCTAACGGCGCAGGGTGACCACTTAGTGGGCCTCCCGCGGTCGTGTCTTCGAACTTCCGCTTCGGCATAATTCTTCTTTCAATCTTCCCGTTCTGTATCACCGAGCATTTATGAATAAATATGATTGTAATTATTAGTATAGTCTAGTGAAGTTACGAATCCTACCATTAGACTGGTGACGAATCGCTTTCAAAATCAGCGCCAGCCTGCTAACTGCGCTATCTACTTCGGTTTCTACCCTTCCTTTTTCTTCACATGTCTCTTTTGTGTAATCTATTTCCATACAAAGTCGCTGGGAAGACCTACACGGCACAATCGCATGCCCGGCGATCCACCGCTTTCATGGCTGATAGCTATGCTATCACGCGTTTTGTACCAAATAAATCGTGGCACATGTCGATTAGCAAACTCTGTGCTTTCGTTGTTCTCCAAACGCTTTATTTTGTCAGATCTTTCCGTTTCTCTTTCCGATTTCCTCAATCACGTATGATTATAGGCCGGTGCGAAATTTTTTTTGCAAATAGGGTTTCACTCTTCTATAGTAATCGTCTTCTCGACGGGTTTATTATTGTCTTTATGTTAGCGTCTTCATCATTAGTATATTTCTTTCAAGTATCTTCGAACTTCGAAACTATGAGAACCGCTTAGTACAGCTCTCAGTATATTTCCGCTTATTGTGGTCCGTTTTTGAAGTTCAGCGTGCAATCTTTAGCCTTTTTTCTCTCTTGTTTCAAAGATTGGTGATCCTGATCCTGCATGGGTATTGCATGGACCAGGCCGGAATAATCGACGAGGCTCTGATCGGTCGAAGTGTCCATCTCGCGATGTCGATCGCTTTCACACTTCAGTTATCAGTTCGGAGACCTGTTTACAGCTTCGACTGACTCGTGAGGTGTCAGGAATTTAGGTGTGACTAATTCACTGCAAATGGTGCTTATGTATTTTGTGTAGTGTCAGCGACGCGCGTATTCGCCCCCTGTCAAGTGGTTGGCAGGGGGTGCTCGACGTTTAATTATGATCTATATAACGATTATTTATGCGATACGAACTTTGTTGACATGAATGACTGGTTGAAGTTCCACCGCTAGTTCGCAGTGATAACACGTTTCAACATTATCGTTTCAATCTTCGCCGTTACCATTATCGTCAAGGTCAGCTAAGTCTCGTTGTCTTTTATACGTTGCGATTCGCTTCGTAACCGATAGGTTATTCAACTTCAACTTTAGCGTCCGACAAACAGAGGAAACGTAGAGGAATAACACGGTTGTTCCAGCTGTGATAATATCGATAAGTGATTAAACAACAGTTTGCGTTTACGTCGGTTAGTCAGCGTTCGGAACTTGGCCTAATCGATAAATCAATCTTATCTTTAAAATGTCCGTGTCAGCGTCGTTTGAAGAGTTTGGAAGACAACCGGTACGTTGGGTTGTGTTGAGTTTCTCGGTTACAGTTTCCAGTGAACCGTTCGTGTATTGATAGAAGAATAATCACTTACTAGCTAGGTAGTGGAAGTCGTACCGATATTAATGATAGATCTATAACAAATCACATGACTATGACGTTTAGGTAGCGGTGTCTATCTGTCGCTCAGTCAATCAATCTGTCGGCTTGAAAATCTCCGCAAAAGATCAGTTCTGCAATATTTAATCATTTTTCAGAGATTTTTCCCTATCATAGAGCTATAAGTGCTGTAACCTTATTAGCAGTTATTATTAACTAAGTACGAATGACTAGGCCATTATCGTTCTTCGCTCGAGAGTAATATGGTAACATCATTAATAACAGATCATTTTTATTAGTCAGAGCAAAACGGACTAATTCTGCCGGTCTACTCCAGTGGACACGATACGAAAAATGACGAACATATAGGCCCGTCAGCCAGACGGTTTTCGATAGAAGTCGACGTGCTTCGCTCAGGGACGGACTCGACTCTTTCAGTGAATAGCGTGTTGATGCCTAGCCCTGTTCAGACTGAATCAGCGGAACGGGCTCCGTTAAGCAGGCAGGTACTCGAGACACGAGACGATTATCTAGCGAATCAGCAACGCGCAATGCGTTGTGCATACAGGCAACTAGCGCTTGTTCTTTGCGTACGAAAAAAGCAGCGATGTAACGATGTGAAGCGTTCTTAAACTCCCCACTTTCGGGTCTAGGACTAGCTGTGCTTTAGACGATTATAACATAGACCGACAGCTCGTACGTAACTCTTCAACTAGACGCGGAATATGGATGTATATATATATATATGGTTTACTTAGCGGGATCGATTCATTGCGACGATCCGTCTTGGATAGCACTTTTGGAGGATGTCAATTTCTTAGCACTGATACTTCGGAAATGTGAGATGCATGCTTCACGCGTCTATGTTTTTTCGACAAGGAAGATGAAAATTGCAAGTCAGCCTAATGGTGAACCCATACATTGTTTCGTGTTTACAATGGCTTTGTCAGCAGATAGAATCTTAGTGGCTGGATTGGCTCCTCTTTCGGGTTTGCTACTGCTGCGTAGTCTAGTACTTGTTAATGTCTTATTCGTCTCGTCCCAACTTTTTGAGATTGTAGCTCGCGAAGTCGTTGAATAGACATTTGGGCATCTGCATATACAAATGGTTCAATTGTGTATATTTTTTTTATTTTGCCTTGATCTCTCTGTTTGTTTTTCAAGTGAACTTGTTCGAAAAAATCCGGCGCTTCTTTTCGACGACAACTCCTTATCAATCGGGGCATAAAATAGACCGGTGTAAAACTGGGCGAGTTCGGCTGTGAAGAGAAACATTAAACAGATATTCATTAGAAAAGCGTATCATACTGAAGGTACAAGTAACTATGTTCGAACTTTACAAAAATTGCATTTCTAAACTACAAGAGGTATAAAACTGATTGTGCATCAGTATCATATGAACGCAAATGCCAGACGTACACCAGAAGGTTCATGTCCCGTAACAGATAGAGTGTCACGTGTAAAGAAGTAAGGTATGTCAAAATTTTTAAAATAGGTTCAATCGAAGAAATATTATGGGACGACACGACGACTCATAAAGCCAAGTCATTACTATCTACTATCAGGGAAATTATGAAAACTCTACTATAATAAAAACAAGTATACATCGAAAATGAAAAATGGGTAAAAGTTAATGCCACGCGAGAAACTAGTCATAGATACATGAAAAAGATGTCAAAATTGCTGATGTTTCCTAAAAAAAATTGTGCGAGTAAGTAAAACATTTTACGTTCGCAGAAATTAAAAATGGGTCTAAAAGTTGTGTGAATAAAGAAAATAGATAAGAAGAAGCAGTCCGAAAGGAAAAATTAAAGTTGTCAAAGAATATATTTATCTGTTTATAGAGAAGGGCGAAAAACCGTAAAATGAAGGTAAATGCTAGGCAAAAACTTGCTGTTATAATAGAATAATGCTGTAGAATAGTGTTTACGTTATCCCAGCCCACATAGAGGCCCTCTGTCGGTCTTCCCTATCGCTCAAACGTCAAGACTAAGGGCATATCTCCTGTGTTTCGTTCATATAATACAATACATTCTGCACAAGCTGACATATATTTACATTTAATAATAGGCACAATATATGCAAACGATTTAATACCATGACAGTGAATGCTTACCAGCAGTAAAAGCAGAGATCGCTTTTAATGAGTGTGGTAATCCTAGTATTAATGGTAGATTTTCTGGTTTAAGGTTGAGTCACGTTTTTACGGCGTTTATTTCCAGCGTTGTTCATGTTATTCTCGAGATATCTTCGTGGTGAGTTTTGACTAATTTTCTTCCTCTGTTCTGCTCCGACGCCTTGTTAAAGATTGGTCATTGAGTTAGGGATTTTTAAAGTAGAAATTTAACTATATAGCTGCGTGTCTGCTTGCCAGGCTACAGATGAGGCAGTACAATGTCGTATTCAATAAGATACTTTTTATCTGTGTTTTACCTGTTCGACGCAAATTCTACTGCTTATTTGACTGGCTGGCGATATTTTGCGGATGATTTCTGAAGAGTTGTAGTTAGCTTAGTACTGGTCGCACCATTTTTTGTTGTCTTTTTCTCGTGGAGAGACTTGTTTTAAAGGCATTTTTTTTCCACTTCGATCGCTGGGCTTCATTTGCCCAGCTTCTTCTTAATATTAATACTTGATCGGCGTTATCGATATAACTCACACTGCGTATAGCGTATGCGGTCCCCGAAGGCTTCGTTGACTCTCGACCCCACTTCGACGCGCACTTCGACAGACACGACACACACTTGCCTCGCGTCCCACTCGGCCCCTGGATGACGCGTCGTCCATCAGCAGTAACGAGATGGCAGCTATATATATATATATATATATATATATATATATATATATATATATATATATATATGTATATATATATACTTAATAACAATGTGTACAATGTCGTCTTCGTCAAACAGCTATAGGCTGCGCGCTTGTGGCTCAGTAGTAGTTTTGTCGACAATGGTTCGGGAGGAAGACAATTCTCACAACGCCTCTTCTCAAAGCTTCTTAAATTTCAATCCATATGTAACGATATATTTATAAGTATGTATATGTTATGAACCAAACGAACCGCGCGTATAATCGATTTGACTACTCGGTTCAACCGATGCAGGCTTCGCACTGCACGTCTTAGCGTGCGGTCATGCTTGCAGTATTTTGGCCGTTTCTTTACGCATATATATATATATCTCGCTCGCCTCTATTCTTTGTGTCTTCGAGATCCATTTTTCCTTTCATTATATGTTAACCGTTGTTATCTTCTATCCGTTTGTCGCACTTTGTGATTCTTTGCCTATCTGGCGTTAAGACGTTATGATGACTATTCTATGGTTACTTACGATTTACGACGGGTTACGGCATATGAGTACGGTACAGTGGGGTGCTTGCCTCTTGTCGCGTAAATTTATCAGCAAAAATAGTAGTAGTTTTAGCAGTTCTGTGATGTTGGATGCCTAATGGCAGTTCCGGACGTAAAACTCATCGAAGTATTCAGTTGCAATAGTAGATCTTGCTTCTCGCGTGGTGTGCTTGCTTGCTTCCCGTTACGTACGATTTCTTTCCTCTTTCCTTTATCCTGTCTTCTTTTGGTTCTGCTTATTTTTGCTGTTCTTTTTTCCTTTATGATTCTATATTCAAGCAGGGTTCCACTCAATCTTTTCTCTTGTCCATCCGATTTTTTTTATCTCTTTACTGTCTAGCGAACACATAACAATATGCGTGGATGAGCAACAGATTAGCGCGAACGTTAAAAAGCTACTCAGCTTCGAATTGACTCAGTGGGTCGGCAGCGCCTTAAAGCCGGCGCCTTACTGACATCCTGTAGCAGTCAGTGCTAACAGGATCTCAAGCGCTTCGCTCAGGCCTCACTTACTGCGATGCGAAGCCAGCAGGCCTAGGCCAGCGCGGTCAGCTGGCGCGGTCGACCGATGCCTACTTCGCACCGTTTCGAGATGAGTGAGACCAGCCAAACTCTAAGAGAGCGTTGGGCGTTGGGATGCTAACACGTAGCTACTAGCATGCAATTGAGGACCTGCGACGGCCTGCGCGAGTCTGCGCAAACCATCACGTTTCCATGTATTCCCTCTCCAAAATAAAGGCCCTTCGTTTTCTACCGTTGGCAGCTTTCGCTTGCTGGTGCAGGCGAAACGAAGACTCCTCCCGACTTTAAGCTGCTGCTGCTACTGCGACCGCAACAGAACTCCGAGAGCTGAGGAGAGAGAAGGTAGCTAACGCAACCTGGGCCGACAAGTCCTGAGTAAAGGCGTCGGAGGGACTAAGTCAGGGGTTAGTGAGAAAGGGCCGGTCCTGGAATCTCTCCGATGGAAAGAGCCAGGCTCTGACTTGGCAGGTCGCATACTCGCGCACTTGTACTCGGACACATGTGTGACACACATGCTTAGAACTCGATAGCAGACTGCTGTGTTCGAGCTGAAAGAAGCGAAAGGACACACGATATGCATTACGAAAGCTTCGGGAGCTGTAGAATACTAGTCAAGTCTATCGTACGTGCAAAGGAGATGATTACAGAAAGAACTCAAGTGCTTACAGGTAATAGCTTCCAAAAACTGGAGTCAATCTATATGGGATACTGTATTACAAGCCAACTGCGTTATCAAACGGATTTTAGAACTTTAGTACTTATAGGGCTTCATTGCTGCTTATAATTTTGGGCTCATGCGTTACCACGCATACTCTTATCACAGACAAATCGCGACGTCTGTCGCATAAATAATTTGATAGGAGCTGTAGAAAGTACCAAATAATTTTCGCAAAATTATATACATTTAGTTATTCGATGAAACCAGGCGTAAAAGATACGAGTACAGGACATTATTTAGGCAAGTGTTGGGCTACAACGGGATGTGTTGATACCTTCAGCAGGAGACTTCACATTCAACAATTACTCTGCGGCACCCTCCCGGGGCGGGGAATAAAATGAGAGTATAGATCAGTTCGCAATTAAGACTTGTCGCTTGTTCAACGTAGAATATAGATTAATGTAATCAATTATGGAAGAATCATGTCTCAACAGAGCCCTAATTATTTTCATCCGATTGTTTAAACAGCCAATACGCCATGTGGATGCGCCATACACTTCTACAAAATCATGGCTGTGAGAGCTAATTTAATTTCTTTTTTAAAGAGTTTTTTTTTTTTTAAATTCCGCCTAGTATATATTATATAATTAGATGAGAACGGTCCTCGTAATAGTTTAATAAGTGACGTATTTGCCTGTTAGTCGCACGGACATGTATACTGTGGTCTAGATATTCGATTCCAGGCATACACGCACTGACGGCGACGCCGGATATAGAATTCGGAACACAGAGACTTAGTTTAAACCTCCGTTCCATATTTTGATGAATAATCTGGTCCAAGCTCTCGGACGCTAATCTTCACCACTTATCGGTGGCTCGTACCGCTAGGAGGGTAAAAATAAGAATAGCTACACTTTGGTGTAGACGACATAAGTACCCAACCGTGATTCGGGAAATATAGTTTGGAAGCAATGTGATGATAGTTGGAAGATTTTTTTATCGCACAATTCGAAGATTGAGAGCCCGAAGACGTTGTCCCGAGGTAGCTTACCGAGGTAAGGAACGTTTTTGATATCATAAAATATCTCCAACCATGTTGAAGGATGAGTGTCAAAGTATTGATAAGAATAAAATAATTCAAAAAGTTCTTGGGCTAGTGATCCTAGTCTGTATACCTGAATAAGAATCAGATAGTAAAAAATGAGGTTGCCCTCGAAATGCACAGTTAAATTTTTTTTTAACACGAAAGAATAAGATCTGAATACAACGTAATTATTAGGTTGGTTATTTCATACCGCATTTGATTCAGCATAACTGTCATTGGAGGGAGCATTAAGAACATTAATACCTATATTTATAGGACTGGACTAGAGAAGATCTTACAGTAATTATGTAAGTAAATAGTGTACGCCTTGTAAAAGGTGGCAGTAAATAAAATCCCTCTTTAAATGATGCACCTTTGCTCCCAGTTAGGCCTAATGGTGCACGCATTAGATACGGAATACACTTAAAACGATTCCCCCTCCTAGACTGCAACTAAATTAAATATAAATATATGTGCAAGTTATCTCGTTTTTCACCTGCACTGACTTGTTTGGATTATTAGGAACAAATAAAAGACGCACTCAAATGGTTCATGGCGTATAATAATTAAATGCACAGTATTATGACCATTGCGAGTTCGTGCCTCAAAGTTTTCTGAGTATTTCTGAGCTTTTCTGTGCCTATTTAATAGCTTAGACATGAAATATCGTTTAGGATAAAACCGTATCTTTTAAACTTATCAAAGCAAAGTCATGGCCTGCAGTGATTTGTGGATTCATATGCACAACTATCCCGAATTTTTCGCCCCCAAGTAGACAACTGCAGAAACTTTACAAACTACTGTTAGGTGGAATCCTTACTTTAGTACTCAAAGCATTGTCGTTAATTTAGAATCTTCGAAATCACAGTAAAGCGGAAGACTTTATTTTCAGTTGACGTATACCTTCCTATCTAAGTTTATTTTGGTTTATTATTATTAATAAAAGAGCACTGAACGCACATAATCTTTTTATTACATAACCTTTTGAAGTACAATAAAAGAGGGTTTGTACTTCGCATTGTACATAGAGACACGCGTATAAGTTGTTATCGTATTCTATGAAAATATAGACAGGCACAGTTATTGAGATATACTAGCTACAAATTCGGTTGCTCTAGTAAGCGCCCATCAATATGTAAGCATCTCTTTATCTTACCTATTGAATGATATAATTTTAACTAAAATAACTCAAGAAGTAAGAGTTCATGATGTAATATATTGCAACCTATATAAAACTATGTCTAACAAAATGCCGTACTACGATATCGCACGTAAAACCTGCAACATTATTAAGGTCGATCAGGTGGAATATATTCAGGCCACAGCGATACAAGGGTATACCATGATATGCTCACAGGATGCTTTTATCTTAAAGACTGTGTGCTTAAGCTTTGTTTTTCTTTTGAACTTAAACAGTTAGTACATGATGTTTAAAACGAATAGACCGCCATCTTTCTACTTTGCCGAACTATGTTATATCATATGTATAATGTACTAAGAACAGATAGCCTGTCTAACAAGCAACCTAGATCGGCACCAGCAGACAGTGATGATAGCTTTTGGACATTGACCGAAATGTTGTCAGCCCTCGAGTCAGGCAGACAGCGCAAATGCGAATATAAATGTTATTATTATTGGCGTTAAGCTAAGAAGGAAGCGCCAAATTGCTGGCTATTTCGTATTCATATCAACTAAGCAAGCTATCGAAATCTTTTTAACTAACGACTGATTACGTAAGGCAAATTATTCTTTTTTGCTTTTCTATGCAATTTTTTTAATACAGCAACCTCTGTACTGTGCATTTCGTATGCTGATGATTCGTCCATATGTTTGTGGCTTCTAACCTCATGTACAATGTAGAACTTTGAATGACTACGTCCCGCTGCAAAGCGGTATCGTGGTGAACGTCTGCTGTGCACGTTATCTAGATAAGTAAAACTTCCAAACCACGACATCATCACTGGATTAGTCTCATAAAGCGTACATGGCCCAGATTCGATGCAAGCCAAACAGCCTGTTGTATTGTAAATTCGCTCTTCTTCAGTTGTTTTTTGGTTCTTCAATGGCGGATATGCTTCATATTGAAGTGAATCTGCTTTGCGGAATCGTTAAAAAAGCGATCTTTTTTCTGTGGATGTATAATCGTATATGGGAAAAATGTATAATCGTTTTATGGGAAATTGCTTCGGATAATAGTTTTCAATATAATAATTTAGCAATACTTTGTACTTTAACTTGAGAAAGGCGGGCCTCAAATAATGTATTTCTGTCACCAGCTTTAACTACAATACTTTGGAATTCAAAATATATCTCAGATTGAATGTGATCAATACGAGTGCTGATTAGGTGCTACTAGTGTATGTGATTCGTAGTCCTAGTTGCTTCATTAGGTATTTTTATGGCCACGTAATTTCGTGTCCCATGTCTGCTAATCAACTTATTAGTCCGATTCAATTTGTCCAAAAAGACAGCGTTGTCATTGCGCATGATTCCATTCAATCGTACTGTGTCCCGATAGAAAAATTGGTAAAACCAACAACTGTCTGGAGGGTACCTCCCCAATCCGATTTAAATTTCGAATATTCACATTCATTTTACCCTTATGCCAACATTGGCTCAAAAGGCCATAACTTTCGTCATATTTTTTTTGTTCAACCTTGGCCTATTGCAACTTAAACATCCAAACTACCATGCTGTCAGCGGATAATTACTGCCCCGATCGTGTCTCAATAACCTCACCACCCCATCCTCAGCAACAAAACTAGTGCCACTTGAAACTGTTTAATTTCTAATATGCTGACAAGATTCTATAAATGGCAATATCAAATTTTCTTACCATATTCAAACCCAATATGAGTTTTGTCACAGCATACAGCTAGTCTTCTGTAGAATATTTGTTATATTTTTGATCGAACCTTTCAAGTTAATTGTTGATATATTTTATAATGATCGGCCAATTCCTGATGTTTTCGCTAAATGTATTGTCACTCAAGTTTCTAAGAAAACAATTAGATATAATATTTATAACTACCGCCTAGCATTCCAACACTCTATCGCAAGTGCTAAAGGTTTTAATCCCACACGTTCCGCAAATGCCAGTTTTTTCTTCTCTATTACACAGAGCGGATGTATTTTTCGTGTTTTTTTTTCAATAAACGGAAACGACTCGGGATCAAACCATGTTTATGAACTCCGTAAATCGTTCTATTGCATTGAGTTCGCTATTGTTTTCGCTACCGATCGTAAGGTAAAGTAATTTAATGCTTATTCGACGGATCGGTTGTTTCGAGATTGGACCAGGAGGACTCTACTTTCTTCTGCTCTTTGTGGGCGTTGTCATGACAACTGTACTTCTCCATTGTTTATGCTATACAGAATGTTCGGTTCGCTCGAATAAGACCTGGTTTCTTACGGTGATCAGGATCTTAAAAAAACTAGATTCTATTCTCGTTGCTTAATTTCCTTGTACATCCTGTCCAGGGATCTTTTGACTATACACGGTATAAAGAGGAATTGACGAGAAATGCACAATCGAACCCCAGCTCGGCAGAGCGTTTGAAACTGTTCAAAGAATTGCATCGTTCAAACAAACACCCGCCGGGGAAACAATTGATCCTACACCCGATGACCACACCATCTACTTTATTTATAATGATTTATTTCTCTAGGGAGCAGTGTTTGTGACACGGACAGCCTCTGAGACCTTTATGAATACGGCTCGATGTTTTGATACGAAGGACATTTCGGTGGAACTTCTGCTAATATGTGTTGCCCACATGTTAACCTAAGAGTGGCGCTGCTACACGAGGTGGTTCATGCTTACATTTACTTGACGAATCTCATTGATTATGGACACGGTCGCCATGGCTTAACATTCCTCTATTATATGGAACGGTTGTTGTAAAATAATTGTCGGCATTCTTTCCCTACTGAAGTGTAACACGGTTTGAGTAAATTCCTCATAAAACTGGCAAAGATGTACGTATGGCATTGGGTTGGTTACACCGATGAACAAGCACTCTACTCCTGAAGGAAGAAGACTGGTAGCAAGATTACGAACAAATCTGTGACGTATTTTTGATGAAGTATTACCGCTCAAATACTATATGGCCGAATTACGTCTATGGGCGACACAATTAGACAAATTGGACATAGGTAATATAACTAATTCTATATTTTTTGTGATTTTTACATAAACTTCTACGTAACTTATGAGAGTAGGATCTTACAGTAGTTCTACTGTACACCCAATAGGAAGGACGTATTAGCGTCCTGATTGCATTATGTTGACTACTACCGCAATGCTATAACAAGCTGCCCTATCTTTCCCTCCCTGCCGCCACCCTTGAAGTAAAATATGTATATATATAAGATATACTAACACCTGTTTTCGCCCTGATGGTGGTTATAGAATGAAAACGGACTTTGGGTCAAAATAGCGGAAAGTGCGGAGGTCTTAACCAAATAGCTATATTTATACAGAGGTGTGTCCGGTCACGCTTCAATCGGATTATTATTATTGCTATTACCTATATTAATAATACTATTGTGTACTTAAATGAAATCTTGGTTAGGCTAGTGCAGTAGTAAAAATGAAATGGCGTTATCAATAAGTCGAACAATATATGAACAATGTCTTTACTCTAGCGTTAAGCAAATCCTATAGATGATGGAAGAGAGTTAGTCTGAATGCTGAAAATGGTAGCTGGCCATAGCTTGCTATAAATTTAGGGCAACGTGCATCATTCGATTACTGTTACGGCCCTCTGTTATAGAGATGATCGTTCACAGCATTCGCTCGAGCCGCACGGTCGGATGCTTTGGAAGATTTCAAATAGAAGCGAGCAGCGTCATTTTTATAGAGCATACGCGATGAATGACGAAGTTTTTCCGTCGTTGATAACGCGCTGCTTCAAGACTAGAAATTCGTGTGAAAAAACATTGGCGTTTGTTCAAAGACGCTAAATAGGACCTTTACGGTCCAACGAAACCTGCTATCGACAAAATCTACCATGTTAAGTGATTAGGAATCACAGAGCCTATTTGTTCTTGGTCCTTTGCCAACCCGCAGCCTGAACTGCTTCATGGTTTCTGGCTCTGAAATCTCTTAAACTTAACTAGTTTAAAAGCTGTGAGGTGGCTTAAAAGTCAAAGAGATTAAAGATGTTCTGATGCTGACCCGTTCTTAACAATAAATCCTCTTATTTCTCCTATTCGACGCAACAAATTCAAGAGTATTCTTTAATAAACTAACGCAAACCAGCTAGTCAGCAACTATGTGCAAAGTGAGCCTTCTTTAAGTTGAATCTACCTGTATTTAGCTTTTTCGGACAAAAAATCAACTTTCTAAGCGATATCTTCTCTAAAAATACTTTGCAAGTTAGTTGTCTTAATAATAAATACTTATATCAAAATATTAATTCACAAAATACAGACCTCATACAGATAGAAATCTACATCAGATAATTAACCTTAATTATAACCTTATCACTAGTGAGCTAAGGTTCCCTTTGCTGGACAGATCCGTCGCGTGTTTGTCTTCAATGTACTGTCTAAATAGGCGACATATGCATTAACAGAAGTTGTAAGATATTAAATCCATTTCATCCAACGTTCTTTAATAGAAAGATTGTCGTGTAAGAAAAGTAAGTTGTAAATACCATATGTGCGGTATCCATGAACTTTAGCAACTGAAACTGGATTTCGGTGTTTCAACAGCTAACAATCATTATGGTATCTAGTATCTAAGATCAGTTTTCTACATGTAGCCGAAAAGCCGCCTAATTCCCTTTAACATTACACTTTATCTTACTCGTTTTTATAGCGAGACAGGTAAATGCTAATTATCACAACTACCGTTATCATATGGTTCAGGGAATAATAGCTAAGCGATAAGTATGGATCTAATAAGCACATTTAGATACCAAAGTTTGGTCTCGTAGTTACCTTTTGTATTTTCTCTTATTACTATACTGTAGATTCTTAACTTATGAACGGAACGCGGAATCGAATGAAAAAGGTTAACGATTGAGCCTTGGCAAACGCCTACAAAGGTATCTAAGGAACGATTCAAGAGTAGGCAAAGATCTGTCGTTATTTGATCTTCGTAGACAAATAATAGGCTCCACAGCAGACAGTAACGCGGTTCCCTATATTTCTGATGAGCAATGTTTTGAGAATAAACCGAAAACCGTAAATTGTTAAGCGTGAGCTAAGTCATTACTTATCTGGCGTATTGCTAGGTCTTACGAGTCTCTAGAGATGCTAGCACGGAAGATGACCCACGCTTACATTATCACGATGAACCGTAACCATGATGAAACCAAGGACGGTCAAAATTTAAAGTAATGCAGTGGAATGCGAGCATTGATCAAGAAACAGGTTACAATATAGTAGTATGTCGTAGTTCTATTAACTTAATTAAGAGGCGTTTGAAGTGAACGCTGTAAGTTACAATGGTCGGGTCAGAATGGCAAAGTGCAAGCAGGTTTGGATACGCTGGAGATCGTTCCACAATGCGAGTACTGAAGACGACAGGATATGGTCCATCCAAGGACAATACAGCGTGGATAATTACAATAACTACTATGTATATGTGGAGAAATTCGTCCTCATTTGCTTATGAAGGCTCACCTGCTTGTGAATCTATAAAAGTTATATAATAACGATTATATTATATTAGAGAGACCATATTTAAAACAATACAGTTGATATAACAACAATAATAATAATAATAATAATAATGAAACATTTTATTACGAATTAAAAAAAATAGCTTGAGAAAAGTGGATAATAGAATAGCTTAACTTGATCTGAGGTTCCAATTAAGCTTGGGCCGTTCATAATGTATACGTCCTTCTAGTGTGGGATCCAAAACAGCAAAACCAACCAAGACAAAGATTAGATAAAGGATACTATAGAAATCAACTTGGCTAATAGAATCCACAGTGTGCGCATAAATAGGATTAATGCTTTATTTTATAAGTAGATTACGCTGGATTTATTTAAGGCCTTTTTTATTCGTCTATAAAAAGTCTCATCTCACGATGGGACAATATTTGATTTGAGTTTCAAATTAGCCCGTTTGTAAGCTGCTCTATCTGGTGCTAGATATAGGCTAACTGCAGTTTAGAGCGTCAGACTGAATTAAGACTGTGCTAACTTTGGGAATTGTACAATGACTTGTTTCAAGTTTCGGAACAAGAAGATAGGAGATCAGTTCGGCCTCAACTAGTATTAATATCGAGCCTTCTACCAGCACTTCAAAGGTTTGTTCAAAACTTCGCAAAGCACTCAGAATTTTTGTATTCGATACAGCCTACCTCATGAACCCTACGGGCAGGCGCTCAATTTTATAAACATGTCCTTAACCATTAGTCGTATTAAAATGAATAGGTCTAAAACGAATAGAACCATGTCTGGTCGTCTGGACCAGACATGATTGGATTATCGAGGAAGTCCAAACTTTCTTTACGCAGAATAAGAGAAATTGAAATCAAAGGAGGAAAAATCCAATGCAAGTAGAACTGCATTGACGGGAGTTAAGTAAACAATATTAGAGCATTACCAACCCTTTGTTGCCTTTCGTAGATTTTGAAATTTTGTTTGAAAGTCTGGCGGGAAAATGCACTCTTGAAGCCAGCTGACCTAGGCGTAGCGCTACTTGTGCTTTATAGGTGAAGATCTCTGATCAGAGATTATCACCTTATTTTCGATAATTAAGTCGTTGAACTAGAATTACCCAGTTATACTAAGGTAGCTATATAGTATTAATTATAGCTTTAGAAATGCCGTTACGTGCACCCCTTTGATTATGGAAGGGCTCGTAAAACCAACCGACAAACTCTATTTTAACACTGTAACACAGTAACAATGATATTAATTGTTGCAAGAACTTAACAAAGATCTGTAATATAAGCAAAGCAAAGATAGCAAAACTAACTCATGAATGATATGTCGGAATCATAAGTAAAGGGGCAAAAAAAATGCTTGAACTCATCAATTACTTTATTGGAATAAAGTAAACAAAAATAATAACAAGCCTGTTACATAATGCGAGTATATTATAATTCATTTTTCATGTATATGATGCGCGCGTATGCGTAAGTACGGCATGGCGCTAAATACGAAATCTGAAAAAATAGCGTTGAAAGTAGTTTTTCTTGATTTATGACTTGATACTTTTACGCTCCAGTGAGAGGAGAGAGTTTTAATCCCATTCATGAAAGACATTGGGCGTGAGACATCACTGCTATCTGAATTTCGTTCACATATTTTTACTATTTGTTGTTTTTACATATTGGTCAACGTCATTTGCTTAAATAGGTATGTACTCTTCTCCCTCGTTCTCTCTCTTTCTGTATATAGATATGTGTGTGTGTATGTATATATATATATAATTAGATCTATCCAAAAGCTGCGCCGTGTCGAGCTGCTGTGTGATGTTTTACAGTATTGTTATGACACAAACAAATACTGATTGGCCGTGCGTGTGCGGATTCCAATTATTATCTGAGCGATGAGTGAATGACGCGTTCGCGGTGCATGCTTTACTCATAAATTAAGCAACTACGTATGGCCACCAACAATAGGGCTATTCGTCTTATTACTCTATTTACAACCTGTTCTTTATGCAGTTTCCACATCGGTGTGCATTACCCATAACGTAGCGATATAAGCACATGCTACGAGTACAGGCCGATTAATATAAACTGAATAATCTGACTTATCGGGCACGCGGCCTGCAGCATAAGCAAGATTTTACTATACATTAGATTTTTATGTAATACTCTGTTTTAACAGAATGCAGTAGAGTAGTCTTGTTCTATTCTTATACTTTCGTTCTTTTTGCTGTGTCCACAAAGTGTAAATTGTCTGAATTATCCAGCCTCTACGTTTGGATAGTAATCAAATAACTCCACATATCGACATCGGCACAAACAAATACAAATGACGGCAAACCGTACAATCACCCAGCCCTTACAAGTGGAAGATCCTAAATCTTCATATTTGAGATTATGCAAGCAAGATGACGGCAGAGCAAATATTCGTAGAGGTGGCGCTAGTGTAGATGGTCTATTTTAGCTGGGGCTATCCTTGTCTTTTCCACCCTTCACAAGACCACTGGACTTGTCCGGTGGCTGGTGGCTCCCTGTTGACTGATAAATCCTTTCGGTTGATTCAGTAAAGCCGGCATGCGTATGATGTGTCATCATTTGCCTGAAATTATAAAACTAAACTATTCTGAATCACAAAAGAAAGCCGAGTAAATTTGAACTTTAATATATTTCTGTTTGTATGGAAAATATCTGGAGCGAACGTCAGGCGGCCGACAATAAAAAAAAATGTGATAGTGACCTTTAATACCTAGACGTTAGGTTTTCGGTTGTGATCCATACAGTTGAATTTCGATTGAATTTTTACCTAACGGACACGAATGAATATGGTTTTCTCGAGCTTTCTCTAGTTATGTCATCAACGACAAGTATCAGAGATTTGTACAAATTGCCTGGACACACTTATCGCAGCAAACCTGTGAAACTGTTCAGCAAACCATGACTTGGACAACAGCAGGCTATTGTTGGGGGTGAGTGAGGTAGATATAGGCGTATTCGGGGGAGTGGCCAGCCCTCCGGACTCAAATCCATCAGAAGCGACACTTCGATCCGTCTCTTGATAGTCATCTCGGGTGCCGGGAATTTCAATTCCTGCCGTTGTGCCTACACCCGCTTCGCTCATTATGTCCGCCGGCTATATCAATACTAAAAATACGACAATAAACAATGCAAACCTGAGATAAAATCTTATACCAAAAAAAGGGCCTTTTCTGCTCCACCCACGAGCTAATCAAAGCAATAGAAACAACAACCGATTATAGAAACAAAAAGTAGCTAAATATTGGAATATTAAGTTCATCACAAAACTTAAACAAAAAAAAAACTTCGAGTACAACCTGCTATATTATTATTATTTGTCATATATATGCACACATAGGAATTGATGAGTCTTTTGCGCTTCGATTATCGACTACATACTTTGATGGCATTATCTCGGCATACTTTGATCCGTTGCCAAGTTATAATTAAAGTGGCTTAAATGTGTTGTGTTACTACGCTGTCAACACTAGTTATTGTGTACAGCGCAGTGACACCTAGAACTATCTCGAATGATCATCAGTGATTAATAGATTACACGACCTGTGCCAATGCTCTGCGCCATTATTAAAAAATGAAAAATTTTAGTAAAGCTAAAAAAAAAATGATTTTAGGGCGTTGGTTTATGCATTATCGAATCAGCTACTTTTTCCAACAGCATTTGTTAGGATGCCTCCTAAAACCATTTGCGCCGTTTACGAAATTAAGGCCGACGACTATAATATTTGCCAACTAAAGAAGATAGGATTAGCTATTTTATACTGAAACGGGTTCGCGCGTGGACCTGCCATATGGATTGAGCTTCCCATTCGTATTCCGACAGATTCTCAGAGCTCGTGTTGTAGCCGACTGATTGGGAGGTTAGCCATTGACAACGAATAAAGTTGATTTCGTTTTCGCCTCTTATGTGTTCACTGAGATCAACATATGCCGTCGAGACTTACTAATATTGAACAGTAAGCACTATAGACCAATCGTTAACCCGCCACGGTAACAAGCACTTTGCGCGAGAGAATTGCGGAGAGATTGGAGGTTGGGTAAGAACGAGCGACATTGTAAGTGATTTGACCTGTTTCCCCGACGATTCCTCCGTGCTATGATCGTTTCGCCCTGTCTCAGGATATACAGTCAGCACATTGACACAGCTAATAAATGCAAACCGAGGCACATTTTCACATTGGTACGTAGTATTTATCATTCTATCTTACTTCCTATATATATATATATATATATATATATATATATATATTACACGAGCGGACTATTTGGGTAAAACCCGCCTATTTAAGGACAGTCGATCGCGCTCTAAAATATGTACGCTTTTATATGAACATAAGGATATTTTAAGGGCATATGATTGCAATCGACAAAATCACACCTGGTCTCCATAACTCATCAAGTACACAAAACTGTTTTTTAAAAAAATCTTTAGTTAATCATTATTGAGGCTTAGTATCGATACAGTTATCATTCGTTTGTCTGTAAGCAAAAAGCACAATAAGCTATAAAGACAAGTATATCTTGATGATAGACTGAGGCAAATTAGTCAAACTCAGTCCCCGTTTTTGGATTAAATCTAGCCAAAAACAGTAAGAAATAATGACTCACCAAAAGAATTTTCAATCCACCCATCATATCAAATAAAAGGCCCAATGTAGCTAGATTTACTATAAGTTAGATGGTACCATAACAAAGTGCTTGCTCCAACAAGTTGCAGCATCGATTCGAACAGAACCCGAGATAATTGAGTAGGACACGCCAGGCGGAAGCGGCAGAGATCAGCCCTGGATGGAGATGCAATATTCGGGTAGTTTCATACCAGCCGTCCCCGGGCTAGGATCCAAACAAACGAGCACGCAGTGTAATTATGTTTTTGACACGTTTTCAAGGTCTTTATATAACGTTCTGACCTTTAAATTAACCTATCTAGTATAAACTTTATGTATATATATATATATAGATATGTGTCATTATTTACTAATGCACTATAAATGTTTGACTCTACATTTCATAAAGTTCATTATTATTTAAAATGCACTTGTATTTACCATTAATGTTGTATTTGAGCAAAAGTATCTATAACATCGGAATCTCGCTATCTATTGCACAATATATTACAAGACGTTAGCCAAAACAGCAAAAATCGTTTGGAGGTGCTTCGGGTATCTGAAAGTCACGATTTCGCCTTAAAGTCAAAACTGTGAAATTGAGTGTGATTAGGTTGAATGGACATGTCTACTTCAAAACGACTACAACCGCCTACATTTAGACTTTTAGGCTATAAAACAGCCTATAATCCTCTCGAAAACTCGCTGTCCGTTTCAGATGCATCTCTTAAAAGATTTAGATGCTTTGTAACACTTCTTTCACGAAACCAACGTTGGAGCGGTTCCACGCTTCACAGCTAAGACAATACATTTCCTTAAAACGGGCAATAGTGTTATAGTTTTAAGCAAAAACCGCTAGCAAAAGCCTATTATATTAGTTTGGCCAGATCTTTGGTCATTTTCGAATGGCGCAATTTACTTTACCTCGTTTTTTACATTAATCATTTTTTAGGCTAAATTTTATTAGAATTCCATAAGTTTTCACATACATTTATATGATATCAAATCCTTAAGTTATAAACCAGTCTTTAGGTTCTATCTGAAGCCGCTTCTCGAGCTTTATTTTTACGAAAACGTTAATAAGCGAATGGATTTGGTAAGTGTACGATAACTAAGAAAACAACGTCAACGCGCGTGGAACTTATTAAGCAATGCCTGTCACCGAAATGGCAGATTCGACTACATACCGCACTCTGTCATGAATGCAATCTCGCCATGCTCCGTTATTACATATGTCTCTACCACTTGGGACTTCCGAACATGGATTCTTAATACTAATAATTGCGGTACTTGCCATTATTTTTTTTACGCTTCTTATTGACCCTTGTTCTATAGTCCTACAACAGGCATCACTCCTACAGGTAGTTCCTAGCGCTAGGCTTTTCACTGGAAAAAAAACACATAAGGCAAACTGATTTTTTTAATGAGGTGCGACAGTTAAACGTTGAAATATGACATTAATTTTAGGGAAAACTATCGAATTGCTCTTACATAATAAATTTGTCTAAAAAATAGTAACTGGGGACTTGTTCTTAGGTCGCATCTATTGTATGAAATTTTTCTTTCTTTGGACTTTGTTCTACGAGTTTAAACCGTATCAAACGTAGTAGATGTGAAACAAGGGGCGCACACTTGCCTTCGTAAACCCTGCTGACTATCCGTTATCTACGTTAGACACATGTATGTCTGTTTCTGTCTAACTCTGTCTCAGCTGGCTCACCGAATGTGTGGGACTCACAATAACTATTGCCGTAATAGCAAGGCAAGGCAAGGCAAGCGGTAATGGTGAACGGCGCCTATATGAAGTCCTTCTAATCTGTTGTCATATTTGTTCAATATCGCAGATTTTGGTGCTATTGTTGTGACTCTCGACTAAACTGTTGTTTTGCATCACCAAACGACACACACTGTGTTACTGTGTCGCGTCGCGATAGCCTGTTCTGTGACTGCCTTTGTTTCCTTTCGCTTTTTCTTCAACGGCAGAAAGCCTGCATGTGTTTCATCAGTATCAAGCATTTATACATAACGACGCTGTCCTACAACAAATAGCTAATAATCGCGCACGTATAAGCGTCTCTATTTCAGTTAGCTGCTATTGTCGTTATTCATAAACGATTTGCGTTATCGTTTCGTTGTGGACACCAGCAGCGCCTGACACATTGTACTCGGCGAAGATGCACAAGCTCCAAGCAGATATCTGATGAAGATATCGGGACTACGTCCATGCTATTGTGCTCGTTTCTAAACGATTCAGCACTACTGGTAAATAGTACAATAGTACGAAGCTTTTTTTTGAAGTTCTGTCAAAGAGGTTTCGATGAAGCACAGTTCCCGAAAAAAATTGGTTAGTTAGACAGCAACCAAATGAACCGACAGTCATCCTCGCGGTCACACGGGCGGATGATTACGGACCATGATACCTATATTCACACATTCAATCAGGGTCCGATAATTAAACGATAGAACGCCTTTTCCATGATACCTGCGTGACTAATATTAGCAGAACTACCTGGCTGCCGGTTCTGCAGCGACGCAACAACTGTGCGATCTGTATTTGTGTCGTCTGTTCGATATCGCTCGTAGAAACTGCTGTTTGGGCGACTCGCGCCGTTACTGCTACGGCTGCCCGTCCCGTGCCCTACGCGTACGTTTTTATTCCACGCGGAGCACCAGCGTTCTCTGCTAACGACGGCTCGCTAACAGCAGCAACATCGCGGCCACAACGGCGGCACTGAGCACTTACCATCGCCGTTGCCACCACCATCGGCGGCAACTCGATTCGTCCGTCCGTCTGTCCGTCAGCGTTCGGCAGATAGTCCTCTAGAGGTACAATTGTGACGACCAATGCTATCAGCGCTGGAACTATGTTGAGGCCACCCCATTGTCGCTTGCCGACTGCGTGAGAGCGTGCTCTGAACGCACATTGAGCAGCCATTATGCCACTGCGGCTGTCCTCAGGTTGACCTGTGGTTGTCGTTGGGCAGCTGTTCCGATGTCGGATGACTGCAGCAGCGGCAGGGAATCAGCTAAGTATTTCGAGTTTTACGTCCGGCATTATCGTTAGGCACCATCCGTCACGAGACGAACCATGTGTCTATGCGCGAATTCTAACCTGGACTACTACGTATCCCTGAGATTAGCAGCCCAATACGTCACCCACTAGGCTATAACGGGGACGTCAGCAAGAAAGCTAGCGGACGTAAACCGGACACAAGATGAAGCGACCTGAGATGCGATCGGGAGCAGGCAATTAGGAGAAAAAAAAAAGGACATCGTCTGAGAAAAGACTAATTGGACGTCGACGCCACAAGAAACTGTTTCGTAGTGATCTGTTAAATCGAGCCTTGACCACTATCATCGGTGGCGCTACCGCCGTATCGGATCTCATACTAACATCGCTTTTGCAATTACCGTAGTAATGCTTTGGCTGTCGCTGCTGTATCTGGCGATCTGGTGTAATTCCACAAAGACGTGCTACTACTGCCATTACTGTTGCAAGTTACATTATAGAAGCGTTATTATATACCAGCGCGAGTATGAATGATAACAAAAAATGTTTATAGAATGCCGACTTCACGAAAGAGTCTGTACACTGAAAGCAAAGCAACCGTTAATACTACAACAGTCTTTCGTTGCTATGGTGTTCTTTGAGAGGTTGTTAGCTTTGCTGGCGCTGTTGGCATCGGTTCTGACATAGCGATTCTCGTTTTGCTGCCTCAGTTCGTTTGGCAGCTGATGATATTTTTGCTTGTTGTTCTTTCTTATTTCGATTTTATTTCTATTGGTCCGTTCCCGTAACAGTCACTGTCATTGCTCCAGTATCGTACCGCAAGGCAGTTGCTGCTGATGCCCCGTTGCAATGGGTCCTCTATACTTTGCTTAGTCGATCCTGTCTTTTGCTGGTTGATTGTTTGCCTACCTGATACTTTTGGCTTTAAAGGCCCGCTGTTTCTGGCAAAGTATTTAGAAGGACTATTGATTACTATATTAATAGCATTGCCAGCTATTGGTATAAATGCGTAACGTGTGTATGACCACGTTTGTGACAATGTAATGTTTATCTGTTTGTTCGTTTGTATATATGTGTGCTTGCGTTCGTGCCAGTGCTTGTGAACCGACTGTAGGATTCGATGCGTTATACGCAACTGGCCGAGTTACTTCTCTCATGAATTTGACGCGAGAGTAACAACACCCGTAGCGCTAAGAGCGACAGCAGTAGCAGTAGTTTAAGCCGTAAAGATCTCGCGTAGATGCTGCGAATGACTCGACGGCTAGCTTCCTGCTTTCTCGATCGGCCGCTGAAATCAGCCAGCAACAAACAACGAACGACGGCTGCTGTTTCTCTCGGTAACAGTAATGCGCGATAATCATACCGGTGATTATGATTAGCGGATCATGTCTGCTGCCTCGATGCTAGCGACGACAACCTTCTCGTTCATTTCGAGTTGATTCGTTCGCCAACTCATTCGCTGTTTTTAGCTTAGCACTTGTAGCCAGACAAGAAAGCATCAGTTGTAGAGATTTTCATATAATCGGTGTACGACTACGTATGGCCTACAACGCTGACGGCGTCTCTGCGCGATGAGCGAGAACAGAGAAAAGAAGGTAGACGAAATGACCGACCGACCGATGGATTGACAGCCAAACAAGCAACATCTCCAACGGAGAAGAATATCAATGCGATAAGCTACAGATGATGATACTTACTGCTGGCGCTGTTGTACTGTCACCGCTGCCATCAACAACCCTTTACCCCGCTGTGTTTACGGCACCAGCCACAAAACTTGATGGCCCACTTAGTAAGCAGCGGCCGCTCGCGCTTCTCTCTCGTAGTCGGCCGACGATTGGGGCGGACTTCAACTCTGTCACTGTCGTTTCATACGCGCACTGAATTAGCTATTCACACGCGTACACATACACAATAAATAATATGACAGGCAGACAGACAAGCGGATCTCTTATACTTAAAGAGGCGTTGCAGCGGTCGTAGACTCGATAAAGGCAAAGGTATCTCGGCCGCCGTCACCATACCACCGGCAGACGGAGCGAGCGACCCAGCGGCCAACAAATACGACGACGCCCAGCGTGCCAGTCTATCTTTTGTCGAAATGGCTAACCGTTGCGTTGGTCTGTTTGCTGCCAGCGAAGGCACTCCTCTATTCTTGCTGCAAAGCTAACCGGTTTTTTGCATTACTGCGGTCGTTTAAGGAATGCCACGCCGTGACACAAAAACAATGCATACGTATCTATTATCAGAAAATAGATGCAATGCCAACGGACACTCACACATATAAATGCACAAAGGCGAACACACAACAATGATGATCGGCTATCGCAGCAAGTTCACAAGATTGCCATGAGCGCTCTTATCGTTAGCGTTTATACGACTACATTGATTTGCTCCTGTTTCCATGGCACACTTCATTGTTGCCATCATAGATTACTGGTTGACATACCTCAGCATCCTGTGCAGTCAACCAATGCATACTGTACATTCCACACGCACCAGGCCTTTATGCCGAATCTTTCACGTCTAGTAAAGGGCTCAATAACTGCTATTGACCGAGAAACACACAAATGCAATGTACGAACCGGTGGCGCACAATTGGCAAATGTACACGTGTACGGGAAAAGAAAGGAAGCGACGGAAAACCGCGACCATTCTATGGCCGGAAGATGGCAACGATAGACAGGAAGGCTCTAGAAGAAGTCGAGGTATTTAATTGAAACTCACGCTAGTCGAGTTAGTTAGCCCAATGACACCAGCCGTCCCTGTTTGTAGCTGCTGACGATGACGTTACCCTTTGATTAGTTGAAACGAGAGCGCACAATAGGATCAAGCGGCGCCATGGGACGATATTCACGGAGTCATGCAAGCAAAAGCATGTATGTGCTACACATTTGCACTGGCGGACAGTCTAGAGGCTTTCAGGAAGATTAAAACTGCGCATCACCACAGGATGGCATTAGCAAGAGTCTCCTTGAGTGTGCTGGGTGTATATCATAGATATATGTTGCTGGAAAGCCTTATTCACAGCTACTACCTAAATGCGCTTCTACAGAACCGTCGCGACTGCTCCCAGATCCTTTTGCAGCTTAGGGAAAGCAACGACACTATTTTTAGACTAACAAAACCATTTCTAGGGAACAAGTAAGCTAATGCAGTAAAGCTGCAGATTTTTTTTTGGGTCCAGATACAATACTAGATAAAGCTTTTTAACTGTTTAGACTTAAAGCTAGAAGAAACTCCTGATTAAGGTATTCGAGTCCACACTGTCATTTTTGTTCTAAATGCAAATTTGTTTAAATAAGGCTTTTTTTTTTTGTTGCATGCAAGTTACCCACAGCACGCATTCGGAATCTAATTCTAAAACAAGTGATTTTAGTTGGAGCTCTCAAAGCTCCATTTATTTATTTAGCCTGAATAGTTTAGGAAGACAATCGTCAACTAGATGGACAAAAAAAAATAGATCAATATTTGAATATGTTTCTTAGTAGATCATTTAGACGAAATCACCTAGTACCGTTCTAGAAAATCGTAGTCTGCTTATAATGTTTTTTTTAAAGTTTTTATAAAAAAGATGTATCATACGAAGGAAAGCCAGCTAAATTAACTAAGGCACCTTATCGTGTTTTAACAGGATAAAACCGGCCTTTTATTTACCGGAATTTTATCTTCGGCTAAATATGTCTATTACAAGCGCCGTACATGCAAATATCTAGATGAAAAGCAACTGACTATAATAAGATGTTACTGCAAGTCTACTGAAAACATAACTTATCTCAAATGAGAATAAGTTTCATGTTGTCCCAATTAATTCTATAGTGAATCCAAGGTTGTGTTGAACTTGTTCTCCGTTCATAGAAGTATCATAATGCACTACTAATTGAAGATTCAAGTGTAAGAACTTGCCACGGTGCCATACAAGTACATTTATTTACTTCCGAAAAAGTATACTTATCGCTAGTAACGAGCACAGACACAACCCAGAGTATTTAAACAACAGCCCTTGGTTAGCAGAATATTTCAAATATTGATGAAATATATTAACTATAATCAATTTTATTTACAGGGTTAATTTTTAAGCGATCACCAAACAAATAGACTTACCTAAGCCGGCTTAGTTGTTATGCTTAGTACGCTTCGTGATGTAATAAGCATAAAAATCTTCGAAAATGTTTAAAAACAATTTCGAAGTTTAATAAATTACAACTATTGAATCTATTTCCATTTTCTTACGTGATTCTTATAGAGAGCTATATGCTACCAGCCGCAAAATCTGACCTTATCCTTCTATTAAGGTTACCACTTTATATACCAGTGTAGACTAGACTAATGATCCTGCAAGTCTGGTTCGATTTGCTTGAAAATGACCACCAACAGGAACCTTATGCCGCAGTAATTATGGCAGCATGATGCCATATAATTTCAGATCCGCAAGAGCTACATTGGTCGCCACTGATATATCAGAACGTGACAGAAAAATCATTCTAGCAACATATTTGCCTATCTATACATCAATGTCAGCCATTCCTAATTGATACGTGCAAATTTTTACATCGGGTAACGTTCCTGTGATGATCCCTGTTGCTACGATCCGTCCGAGTTCGCGGATTGTGAAACTCTGTCCAATCTGAAGGATCATCTTTTTCGAAAGCGTCAAGTTCACCTCACCTGTGTCACCTGTCGATGCATAACGCATGTTAAAAAAATATACCAGATAAAAGCCAGTTCTGTCTAGAACAAAACCTTTAACTCGCCATAGGTAACAATACTGCGTCGTTTAGTTTCAGAATTTAAGCCAAAATTAGCTATTATAGATCTTTCCACGCTAGACAAGTCACAATTAAAACTTCTTCTTTTTTTTGCTTGAAATTGAAGGTTAATATTATTGCCAGTTTTCGTGCGGTTTCTCAAGAATTAGAGAAAAACTTGTACGAGAGAAACCTAAAAATCCTCAATGAAGTTTTCAAATAATGGACTCCGAAACTTATCAAAATGGCTCGAAAAAACATTTTTGGTAAGTTTCTGAAAAATGGTTTCTAGAATAGAGGAATACAGAATATTAAACGGCTTGTAACGGCTTGTTTTTTAAACACTTGACATTTTTCTCCACCCTTAGAATCACAGAACTTTCTTGTTGTTTTAAGCCTTGACGCTTTTTGGATCTTTCGTACTGCTATCAGCTCAATATTTTATTTCGTTAATTATATGCAGCGGACTTGACTACCACGTGAATGAGTTCGCGTTTACCCATATCACTTGACACACTGTTATTATTAGAAGATTATTTGCAAGGTAAAAATAGAGTAATTTAAAATAGACTAGCTAGTGATTTACATCCCGATTTGATGCTGTAATCGTAGTCGATGACGCTTTTATCGAGGGAACATGACCATCAAAAGTAATATCTTTATTACATGTAAAAAAAAAAGTTCGTCGCAATATCTGTTTTCTTTTTAACAGTTTAAACAGGGTTCAAAATAAGGCACAAAAAAGTTCTTTTGCCTTGTTAACATCAGCCGAAGCCTATAACGCTATGAGTCGCAACATAAATGTGACATGCTCCGACTGGATCCGCTAGCTATCAAAGGCAATTTCAGTCGTAACAGAGGACAACTACAATATAAAGCTCCATCGAACTTGCCTGGCATTAGCATGCCCCCATCTTTGACGTCAACCCTACAGGGAAGGTTCCAGGTTTTCGCGAAGAGAGGCATAATATATTTTGTGGATATCGGCCTTTTGCGTCCGCCTTCTCCACGGTTGAGCAGGTACATGTTGGCCGTGAAACGATTATGAATTTCATATGCGTTTGGAGCAACCACAGACATTCCTCGGCAGACGGCACTCGTTTTAACGCCTCGACACAAAAGACTGCATAAGCGTGGATATGTGAGAAGGTTTAATTTGATAAGCGGCACCTTTTTAAAGCCTGGAAGCAGCACTTATACCTTATTACTTTCAAAACTGTCTCTTTCATCACTGCCTACCACAGTAAAATGACCGGACGGTAAATTAATTAACTGTATAGATGAAGACAGCTAGTAGAATGCTGTCAGCAAAAGCTAGAGATTAAAAAGTACATTCTCCACTGAGTTTATAATAGAAGAAGCCCAGAGCATATTCCTTGTTTGCTTTAGAATAATTTTTATCCCAGCTAAATTATTTCCTAACTAATACAGCTACAGTTTTGTCTTATATGACTGCCCTTACAATTAGTAGTGTATCGTGTGCATCACACAAATTTCGGCCGTTATGCGAACAAAAGCCACCCTTTAATATCATGAATTAAAAGAAATGATAGCATGTAAACAACATACCCCACATGGTCTCCCGCCTGGGCCTGGCTCAGCTGTCTGCCAAAAGCCTGGATATCTGACACAGTGGTTGGGACCTTCTCGTTGAATCCTGTGATTTCGATTTTGTCGTATCTCCTAACTGTCCCCTTATCCAAAGTCGTAATTAGAACGGTGCCTCGGCCTTTAACAGTTACAACACCTTCGATAGGCCCATGCAATGGAGATCTGATATCTCGCTGCGGCGGTTCTATATATTCGTCCATGTGGTCCAGTAGTTTCTTAATAGCCGGTTGACCTGTACATAATTACAAAGAACGATGCCAAAAAATCTCAGGTAAAAAATATGAACCACGACTTGGCTTGCTTGAATTGAATTATTTTGTAAGCAAGAAATGTAGGTATCGCATTTTATTATATTTTCATAAAAGGAACTTGCTTTTGTAGATCAATAAAGCCCAATATTTTTTGCTTCCGCCTGTCCCTTGGCACACGTACGAGTCAACCTCATACTCAAATTTAAGGAAATATATATGTAGTGATAATAATGTATTCTTTTAGGCACTGCTAAACTAACCATAAGGCTCATTGCTGCCTTCAAGTGCCTTCTTCGCTGAACCGTAAATGATGGGGCACCAGTGTGCATCTGGAAAGTTGAATGATTCCATAAGATCACGAATCTCCATCTCGATCAGTTCCAGAACGTCTTTCTCAGCTAAATCAGCTTTATTTATGAATGCAATTATCTTCTTTACTCCGACCTACAACAAAAAATTGGTATAGTTGTGCATACATCTCTTAGTATTAGTTAAAAATATATATTATTTAAATCGCCACCACAGTCATTATTGGCACTTGCGTTTTGGGGCAATACTGCTGTTTACTGTAAATATTCGAATACATCCTATAAAGCATACTTGCTATAAATGTTCCATAGGTACATTGGATTTGAACAATATTTTTTTCGGAAAAATGAAAATTGTAATTGTAAGTAAAAAATTTTCGCAACATTACCCGCGCGCTGCTTTTTTTACTAACGAATCTTGGATAATTTTTTCAAGAACAGAAAGTTTCTTCACATTTGAAAGTAAAATGTTTTTTTGAGTTGTATGATATTAAACATCCAGTCTAGTTGTCAGTAACAACCTGTTGGCATACAAGTAGATGCTCGCTGGTCTGTGGCATACATCCATCGTCCGCTGCGACAACCAAAATTGCGGCGTCCATCTGTGCTGTTCCGCAAATCATGTTTTTAATAAAATCCGCATGTCCAGGACAATCCGTGTGTGCATAATGCCGTTTATCTGTCTCATATTCAACGTGTGATGCATTTATTGTGATTCCTGACACAACCAACGAGCAGCAACCACAAAGACAGAGCAGAAAATAGGACAAGTATCAACTGATTGTCTCAATGATAATTACTGATATTTACACATACCTTAGAATGGCAGGCTAATAGGGTACAAGCGAATCGATGCGATCTTGTACTTGGAAATTTTCAATTACAGTTGTTCAATTATTGGTAATGATTATATTATGCCTTAGATAATTGCGCATGATATCAAATATTTTTTTAACATCCTTGAGGAGTCCCAGTCACAAAGGCCACTCAACTTTCTCTTTCTGGTTGGGCCTTAGCAATCGTATTCAGGTTAATGCCCTTACAATAATTCTCATATATAGGTTCACCAGCTAGCTCTTTTACCTCGACGTTTTTCTTCTTCGGCTTTATCGATATTTTCATAACTAACATATTTCGTTCCGGTTCCCTTCTCTGCCAGGTATTTTGTAATCGCTGCGGTCAGCGACGTCTTGCCATGGTCCACGTGCCCAATGGTCCCAATGTTTATGTTTATTTTGCCGCTAGTAGATTCGAGACTTTCGACCTTTTCCAGAATCCGTTTTGTTCGAATCGACGTCCTTAGCAATGGCGCTCTGATATAGAAACCAGCAGCGCGTCGCCACAGCATCTCTTTCACTTGGTCTTGCTACGCTTTTGGCCAACTTGAAGATTTAACCTGGTAGATATAACGCAAGTACACATGATTCTGTTATTTCTCTTATGTATTATTAGCAATTACGTAATGATCGTAGTCATTATGTAATTGCTACGGACGGGCAGGAAGCACGTTCGAACCAATCAAATGGTTGTAATGAATAGCCATAGTATCAGCTCGACGTTACCGCGTTCAAAAAAACTGTTTAAAAATAATAATCTTGTTTTGAAGACGTCTCCTATCACTAAAAATGTAAATCTAATATAATATACCATTTGGATCTGCAAATAAAATTCTTAGTTATACATTTCATAATTAAATATATATAGGTATGGAATGCTTTCCACTTACTATTGAAAAATCCGTATGCCGAAATCAACCGTCAGACCTTAAGTGAATATATATACATCTCAGGTTTATGTGCTATAAAACGTGTGTCAATAAAAAATTATTTATATTTCTATCGCGTTATTATATTTTACTTGAAACACAAATATCGCCTAAATAAATATACCTCCTTTGAGAATGAGTATTGCATGTCAATAACAACCTTTTTATTGATTCCGCTATCCATTAGGGATTGGCCGGATTCAGAATACGAGCTCCTTCAACTCAGAATAAATAACAGATTTGCGACAAAGCCGCTTTGTTTATTTTGACTTGATGCAAGGGCAACCGGAAATACATACAACAGCTTGATTTTACAGAACTTTCAGTATCCATGATTCTGCACTTAGATCTATCTAACTTCCTTTGTCCAGCATCAAAGAGCTCATATGAGAATATTTTGAAATTACTGCTACAAGAAAGCTTAATAGCTTAAGTTTGCGATATGCATGGGTTATTTCGCTCTTGCTATCATGCTTTAAACAGCATCAATGCAGGTCGGTTTGCTTCACCCTTCTACGATCTTTTATCGATCATTAGCTTTTCTTTCATTTTATTAGCAGAATCTGTCAAATTGTAGGTCTGTCCAATTGACGAAATAAAGCTACGGCTCCATTGGACGTGCCCACAGCCAATGTTGGGGCTGTACAGGCCTTCGACTTTCCAAGGATCTCCACAGCTGTGAAGGTTATATCAGTCGCTTCGGCACGGTACAGAAGTTTAACCGTACCAAAATCTTCAATAGCATGAATCAACAAGGTATTGCCGTTATTGGCTAAGGTTACCAGTTTGTTTCCACTTAGTCGAGACGTAAGCGAACGATTGCAGTCAATATCATCCGGGGTGATATCCTTTGAGATCACTGTTTCGTCGAGCTCAGCCATAAGAAGTCTGTGGCGTCGATTTGTACTCATCGGATCAGGTCGGATGTGAGCGGCGAACCAAACTTTGTGCTGAAATGACATGGTCCAGAAGATATGAATCGGACTGGACGCATTGGAGGCTACCTCAACGAGATCCTGATTTGTCAGCGGATTAAGTAAATGGAGACTATTTGGAAGTAAAACAAGAAGTTTTGCATCGGCACTGGCTAGTGCCTTTACTGAAGCTGCGAACGTCCGTAGAAGCTGATGATTGTCGTTAAGATCGTGGCGATGAATTCGTGCGCCGGAGGCAGTGTAGAATTCCCCCTCGCTAGAACTCAAACAATCAAGTTTTTCCTTAAAGCTGCAAGTAACGTTGTGAAGAGCTCTGTTCTTGTAAATAACTGTCAGCATTCTCGAATCAGACTTAGTCAGAACGAGCTGATGGCGTGCAAGGCTCACAGGCATCTGTATACTACTAACGAATTTAGCCAAAACGTTGTCGTTTTTAAGTACGCAGATCATATCCCTTTGTATAACAAACAGAAGCGAATCATTTTCGTGGATAGCAAAAAAGATGGCCAGCACAGGCGAGCTGGAGGGCAACACCACAGTTGACTGAACTCCATAGGGAATCATTTCGCGCTGAAGTAAATTCGAAAAAAGAACACCGTCTTCTAGTTTTTGTCGTAATTCAAAACTCTACTGGACCTATCAGATTTTGTTGGAAATAAATTCACATACGAGAGTTGCAAATTCAATTTCACAATTTGCGTACGACCCTTTTTCAAAAACTGCTTTTCAGCTTAGTCTTATATAATTTTTTTCCTTGTATTTACTGGCTCCCGAATAATTTCGTATTTCAAAAATTTGGGAGTCGAACTAAAACATTTCGCGTGGCCGAAATCGGACGTTCAGACTTCTACCGGACTCTTGTTTCCTGCCTGCCTAAATACCCGAACATGCTCGCGAAGAAGCAAATTCGCGCAGGCACTAAAATACACACGAGAGTTGCATAATTCTCTGTTAGAATGTTGAATTCGAACACAAGACTTTATCAACCACTGGTTTTTATAGTGCCATACATAAACAAAAAGGGCAAAGAACTATTTTTACCATTCAAGTTCGGTCTTACGGATGTTTATCTTCAATCAAGCGGTATTTTCCAACCCTTGCTGACGGTAGCGGTTAGTGGATACGAAGCTGCCAGTCTGTGTAAAACTAACAGCCTCTTTCCGCCGGCCAGAATTTATGAGCTAAGTGAGCGAACTTCCTCAAAACGAACGTAGTCGACGCCGTTTTAGGTGCACACAGGAGAAATATACCTGTAATATTCCAACGGGATCGTGCGCTATGAGATCTGTGTGACTCGCCATTCCCTCTCCCATTAACTTGATTATTTTTGTTTTGGATAAACATTCACTTTGAAGCCAGCCCGGTATGTTTACGATTCGTGCGAAACTTACAGCTGCGGCGAGTAACTTGTACTGGCTGGTAAAAAAATTAGAGGAAGATTTTTAACTCACAAGAAATAAGCTGTTTCTCGAAGTCATCGACTGATGATGTGCTGTTGACCACCAGAAAACATCATGCGGTCATCTATTATAAGGTAAATTTAAAACTTCAAGAGTGATTTTTAATTAATTGAAGCTTAGAAGATTGATATTTAACTTCAGTCAATGTTAGTGCGTGTGCACAAAGCTGTAACTCTTCAAAAAGTTCACTTTATTAATAATTATTCAGGGTAAGTTTTCAATCATCTCCATTTAACGAAAAAAAGTGGCGCGAAATATTAAAAAAATTACAACTTTTACAATGCTTAAAAATATACATTGGAATTATCTCGACCTGGTCTTTCAAAAATTCGCGCAAATCAAAAATCCCAAAGTCAAGCTGTGTTCCTAAGATGAAAAGTACTTTTCATTGCCCCCCTCCCCCCCCCACTATGTTTTGTGATATTCGATTTATGTTACAGTCTTTATAAGACATGTTTTTTGCTTATCCGAATGTTATTGTTTTAATCGACACGTTTGTTTCTTGTTGTAGTTTACCTTTCGTCGCTCTCTACCTGATACACGCATGGCTATTCACTTTCGACGTGCTTCTGTTGTCGCGGCGAAGGGCGCGCACCCCCGTTGCCGTGGGCACATTGTGTGTGCTTTTTGGGACACTTATCTATGTTATAGTTACCTGCGGAAACTTACCTCAGCTTGAGATGAGACTACCCGATTTCGACTTCCACAACCTTTATTTCCCTGGGCGACGTTCTGCCGGGAAACAACCTTATGTACCATGGGAACCCGCCTCGGGAAACTTTGGAACAGCTTCTTGTGTTTCTGAGGGCAATAATATATATCCCGATGGTCAACAAGCCAACCAACAACGACAGAAAGATATGTGCTTTCTTCCGAAGAAAACGATCGCTCCTGGCATTTCACACCACATTCTTGAAAGTCAACAAGAATTGGGTACGAGTCAAGAACGACAATTGGACACCTCGGGAAATCCTCAGCAGCAGCTAAATGCTGCTGAAAATTGTCAAGATAGCGGTCAAATTAATTTCAGGTATCCAAGCGAGCATGACAACAATATAGACAACGTGACTATTAAAGAAAGACAACGGAAATGCCAGCTCTGGCGATGCTGCGAAGGTGCTAACTTGCAATATATCTGCTTTAGATACAACGCCATAGATCACGCCAGTGAAGAAGGCAATATTTCCCTGATTCTCTAAATGTACGTTACTCGGTATTATGTGCATATTACTCACGTCGAATGTCCTATGTTAGGAGGTTGCAAGAATGTGTATGTATAGCCTGGGGTAACATTTATTCGATTATAGTAGTTTTATATGAAGTTACTGTTACTTAAGTTTATTAACTGTTATATGTCGCGTTTGTTTTAATTCAAATTCTCGCCGTTAAATATAACTTCTTATATATAATAACCAGCGAATAATATATGTCATATTGAATTGAAAAAATCCGAAGCTATTTGTTTACATTGTGATTAATCGTTTGGAGCGGATGAATCACTACAATATACTGTCGATCGTCAGTATTCAATTCTAAGTTTAGTGTTGTTAGTAATATATTTTTGCTTGAAAGTGTTATCTTATCGTGATTATCGTGCTTTATTTTTTTTATTATCATCATCACGTGGACATTTTTGAATAACACATATATACATGTGGCGATTTTAAATGCAAATTTTGAGTATATAAGAGGCGTGCTTGATTGAAACGACAACATAACTATGGTCACAGATTTGGTTTAGTTATTGTATTGTCCTTACCTTTGAGGGTAATATTCTTCACGGTAAGCCATTTCTGTAAAGACGGGGATTCCGTGAAATTTATGCGGTTAGTGTAATGTGTTCAGTTATAAAGCAAAGATGTCTTAAGCATGCTTTCAAGTGCAAGGTAACTGTCGAACTAAGACTGATTTCTTGCGAGTGATCTCGTCCAGTCGTTTGAATTGAAAAAAAATGGCGAAAGCGAGGACAATCTAGATAAATCTTTGCGTTTAAGCCTTTCAAAAGACTGTTACGGGGCCGCAAGCGCATTACATTGCCATATCGAAGTTACGTGAATGCTAGTAATTGATCGCGGACTATATCGTAAGAGAGCAAAGTCATCTGTATTTCTTAATAAACTACCAGTACGTCTTTGCGTATCTGTTGTGGTAATTAACATAGGCTATAGGATCCGGCCAACGAGCATAATCTCTAGTTATTCCGTACTGCACGAAACATCACGTCGAATATTTGCACTTTATGAAAAGCTTCACGACCACAGAGATGTACATTTTCGTGTTTTATTAAAGTGCGGTGTGTTTTAGAGCTGGCAGATTCAGTAGCGGCAATACATTTGCGAATCCCGTAGTTGACCTGAAAGAATATCTTTTCGTAGTTATATACTCCCTAAAGCAAAATGCATGAAGCCGTTACACGTATTATAGTGCAAAATCAACCTTTCAGAATAAGTTATATATCAACACTGTTGTGATCGGCTCTCTGCAAAAGCAATTAATCTAAAGTATAATAAAACAAACATACACAAGCACGATATTCGATACTTGCATTTCCTGTCAGCATAGGCTACGTCATATGAACAGTCTACACAATCGAAACAACATAATGTTAGCAGCAGGAATACGATTTCATGACTTAATATCAATCGCCGGTGATATTAGTGGTTCATTTTACCCTTTATATATAAGAGTTTTCTGTTATGAATTGTTGCTTATCTTTAAAGTGGTTTCTCGGTACCGCCTGTCCTACCATGCGCCCAATGCCCAGATAATCGGGATTGGTTTTTGGAGCAGTTAGCACGTCTGTCTCGACGAGTCGATCATCTGCAGGCGCAGGTGGACAAATGCGACTGTGGCTCTCTGAAGGTCGGCCAGGTTGGACCGGAACTTGACGCTGCAATACGTCGAGCTCTGATGCTGTACGATGCTGATAAAACCGGCATGGCCGATTATGCATTAGAGAGTGCGGGTAAGTGACGCCCTTTTGTAACATCGAGATGCCTGTACTTACGCTTTCATTTTCATTCTGAAAGTATAAGTGATTGATCCATATGTAAAAAGTTGCATTGCTTATTGCTAGTAATAACTTAGGAAGTATAAAGTTGTTTTTTAGTCGAAGGCGATATTTTGCTGCCTTAAATATCCAACGCTATACAACGTCTAAGAAAATAAGAAACTTATAATTTAATTTTTTTAGGGAAACACCTAACTTTTAGTATTTTGTCACGTTTTGCTTGGTAGCACTAAATGAAAAACTACTTAGCTATATGCGGTACAGCATAACATCGTTCAAAGTATATGGAGTTAACTTTGGAGCGCTATCAATAAAGTCGTTTACTATAAACACTTTTATGCATAGCTTTGAATTGAAGTTACTCAACTACTACACGTAAAAATTCTAGAGGAGCAATTTTCATTACTGAATTCGATCCGAGTTTTTAGTGAATTATTTTTCTCACGCTTACTTCTTAGGGGGCTCAGTGTTGTCCACTCGATGCACGGAAACCTATGACATGTCGATGGGTCGTTACTATCTGTTTGGGTTTATTCCGCTATTCTGGCATAGACCGTCGCCGCGCTTGGCAATCCAACCTACCCTCTCTGTAGGACAATGCTGGCCATTTAAAGGGAGCATCGGTTATTTGGGTAAGCAGTATAAATGGATAGTCTAAACGAAGTTCACAATATGAAACAGTACATAGAAAGGGAGAAAAATAATTGTCCCACGTTCAAATTATTAATATAATTCAATCTCAGACAATATTGTTATAAAGAAAGATTCAGCATCATCGTTTTCTGGAGGAAATAAACAGTTTAGTTCAGTCTGGATTATGGCACATTGAGTATTTGGAGGTACGAATCGAAAAGGTAATGCTAAACATTATAAACATGTAGAGATCGGATCAATTTTAGAATTTTAAAATAGCTCAACGTCTTTCGTGTGTTATACTAGCTTGAGCTTAGCCTTGAGTTACTGGTATAGCCTCATAAGATATATAGATGTAATGATTTAAATTCGTTTATGTATTGTTGATTGAAGCTAATCTGGCGAAGTCAAAATTTACTTTTTTGTAGAAAACGCAGGTCTTACAAGATACCAAAACCCAATTCTTGAAAAAGATAGAATTTTTATTATCAAATTGGAAAAATAGCTGCTTAAAAGTGAACTCGATACTAAATTAAACAATAGCTGCTCTGGAGCCGCTAAGACACTGTACACTGAGTCAAAAGGGCGTCGGGGTTAGCATCATGAGACCATTGGCATCACACCCTGATCCTAGAGGTTGCCATCCTAGAGGAACTACCATTTGGGTGGCTCTTGATTTTAACTTAGTTTGCAATGGCGGAGCCTTCTGGTAGCGCGTGCTCTTCCGGTCGCCGATGTCCACAATTCGCACACCTTTGGCTGTATTGCTCGTTTGGCTGTGATACTTCACCTTGACCTATGTGATTGAATTTTACCTATGTGAAACCTATCCTAGTGTTGAATCAACACTACTATTCGTGTTATGTCGCGGGGTCTTGATAAAAATATTTCGAAGAGAAAAAGACAGAGGCCAGCGTTAAGAAAACCTGACATGATATGGATCGTAATTATACTGCAAAGTATGTACAGCGAGCTAGCGTGCGCCACCTAGTGTGCGATTTGAGATTATGTGGATCAAAATTCTAAGGCTCGCTTGATCTTTTTGGCGCGGCTGCAGTTGTTCGGTTGTCTCGACGTGTTGTGGTGGATGCCTTTGCATTGGAACACATCCCGGCATCACTTGCACCTGCTGGAAATATTGACTCTAGTCCGAATCATTTCGAGGTAGGTGTACGTTCAGACGGAGTAAATCATTTCTCAACAGACAAAGAAACAAATTCAGACTCAACAAAAAAAGAAACTGAAATTTGAGCGGGAATATATCTTATAGTTTTAACTTATGGTTCTAAATAGATCATTGTATCAGTGATAAACTCCTTCGACGGTGAATTATTGTTGGAGTACTGGACAAAAGAACGATCCACCATTGTAAAGGAACGTATCTATGTATTTTCTCATATGTAGATCTAGAACTGCTTCTGTAATGCTTAACTGTCCCACAGGTATTTGGGCTGGAGAACGAGGACGACACCGTAGGTGTTTTTTTGGGCAGCTACAGTTATACGACAACGGGAGAACCACTCCAACATTTCAAGGTTCAGGCGGATGTTGGTGACCGATCGTTTGACACAGTTGAACTGAAAATCCTCACGAATCACGGCAATTTACATTACACTTGCCTTTACCGGTTTCGGGTACATGGTAGACCTGTGCACGATGATGGCCTGTGGTAACCTAACAACTCTGTTCCCTGTAACTCAACGAGCTCTCATATGTGTGGGCAATAGTTACATCACAGGTGATAGTCAGCGACGTCATCCCGGTCACGTTAGGATTGATTCTGTCCTGATTATTGGACTAGCAAGACATCAACTTAGTATTGCAGTTAAATGCTAAGATTTTCCCTAATATATTGAGACATAATGAGTCTACACAATATTTTGCTCACGATTACGGTGTAAACTTGAATCGAATTCGCTAGACCTCGCTGCGCTAATGCTCGTAATAATTGTTTACTCAATGGCATATATATTGCGTACGGAAATGGTCTCACAGAAATTTGCGCGTCAACATATTACCTTAGGTATTAACAGCAAGTTATGAGTACGTACGTTATTGATGCTGTCTCGGTGCTATTGGAAGTTATTTGGTATACATGACATTTGAACAGTGTAAAATTCTGTCTCAATTCATTGCTTTTTTTTGAGTGTGTTCAATCATCATGTCGTTTCATAAAAAAGTTTTTTTTTCAAGTTCTATTTCGGCTATGATATTACAAACCAAGGAGCCGATTAAGCTTACGTAAGCACTAGCTAGTGTGTTAAGTTTACAAGTGAATAACATTGCAACATTTAAATCTAATTCAGTTTGTTTCCCTAAACATTTACATAAACATTTGCATGGAAAAATATAAGATAACACGGTATGTAGCAAGGCTCTAGTTTGTGTGTTTAAAATAAGATAATAAGCCGTTTAGGTCATAAATGTGCTCAAATAGATACTAATTTCAAAATTTACTCTGCAAGGATCTAGAAAATGCTTTGGTAATTTTTTGGGCTTACTGTCGTAGGAACTTCGGTTAGCGCAAGAAGGAACTAACTGTAGAAATATCTATGGTTTTCTATACCCCTTGCAGATTTGATCTTAAAATCGTTAGACTAAAAATCAGTCCAGAATTGTAACGTATCGCATAAAAAAAACTATGATTTCGCTCTAAAGTATCTTTACAGTTGAGGTTTTCTCTTTTTAAGGCAACGCTTGTTGCGATTATTGTTAGTGCAAGCGTACCAAATCAAATAATCTCTATACTAGTTATACTAAACAGACATTTAGCGACGAGCATAGACGAAGTGACTTTAGGTCATTTTCTTTGCTGCCGTAGAGCCATTCCGCTGTCGTTTATGTCGGCTATCTATATATAGATATATAAATATAGATCTATATATATCTAATAGAGTCTAACCAACTGCAATGTGAGAATGTCTAACTCAACGGTTAGTGTACGATTTCTGAAAGGTCAAGCGTACAACTCAGTTAATCTAATTTAAGGTCTATTCTATACAAAGATGGTTCTACAGTTTGAGATAGTTGAATAGGCATAAACTATCATATTGCAGAAAGATAATGCAGGCTTCATGTTATCATACATATGCAGTCTGGATTGTTCCAACAGGCAGACTTGAATGAACTAGTACAAATACCACATTATTCAGTTGTAGATCGGTAGAATGAGTACTCGGCAGGTAAAATTTGTAAAGGACCGTGATATTGCCGCAGTATTTAATTGGTGATTGATCAGCCAAAAAACGATTATATAGATATATCTGATAGAAATTATTTGTTACTGAACGTGTGTATATAGCCGCAACATCCATCGTACATTTTTAATTGTCAACACTATATTTATAACACTTATTTTAGGTTACCAATAAATACGAATCTGATAATCTACAACCCATGTCAGCTTCATTGAGTCGGAAATGTATATATGGTAACTAATGTATTACCGCGATATATTCTTTTTATTGATACTATCGCCGTATACAAGAATAAGAATGCATTAGGCTGTTACGAACGAATCCGGCGGACCTCGACATTGAGTAAGTTTTGAAGTACGCGCCGCTAGCAGAGATAATTTGGCTGGTAAATACTCTAGTTTTCTAGAAATTGGCAAGTGAAAACCGGTCAAGTTTCCTCGAAAAAAACAGGCCTGTAAATCGACGTCGAGTGATTTTTGTCCCCTGAACGCCACAGTGCTGCCAAAAGTTCATAAAAGAATGGTAAAGGCACCAGGTAAAGACGCTTTAAGCGAAAGTATAGCGTATAAATTGTGCAGATGTTTCAAAAACGGAAATTAGAGTGTCGACGACCAGCAAGGAAATGACCTGACCTCGGGACTCAAGGGGCAAGAACGCATTGACCCAATCGAAGAGGTTTTTCAAAAAGGCAGAGTTTGTAGTCTCTGTAGTGTAGAGTATAGAACTCTTTGGGCTAAAACTGGCGTTTAATAGATAACATGTTACAGAATTATAACCTAAATGCTGAAAATTGAGTCAAAAATAGGTTTCATCCAAATTCACTCGAGTTGGAAATATGTGTGGTATACCTCATGTGTAATTTACGGAACCCCAATCAGCCAAAAACTCGCTAGCAACAAATTGTCGGCATAGACGAAACATGGTTCAATCTCTGTCATGAGAGAGACCAGGCAAAAGAATGGCGTCGCCTTGGAGAGAAATCGAGTATTTGGCAGTATTATGTTAATACTTGCAATGGTTATCCGAAGTGTGTGCTATTTATTATAAAATCCTCGTAGACAATGAAACAATAAATGCTGTCGGTTATCTCGCGTTTCGCAAGAAAGTCATGAACCATCAACACGGTAATCTGGTTCAATCAAACGGGCAGTCTGGTTCCTTGATGATAACGCCAGACCTCATTGCCGTACCTCACTTACTTCCCAGACTAAATAAAGCAACTTCGGCTTCAACACGCTTTTTCTCCCGATTTAGGGCCGGGTGATTACGAGACTCACCATGTCCCAAAGAGGATAACTAATGCCCAAGCATATATTCACTATAGAATAACTCTAACAGGTGTATAAATAGAGAAATCTAAGAATGCAAGTAGTAGAAATAAAGCTACCCAGAAGCTCTGGGATAAGCATATAAAATGAAAGCGAATATCTCTAACACAAAGGAAATCACCGTTCTAGCCAACACATTCGAACATTAGCAGGATTGGTTTGCAATAGCCCAATGCATTATTTGTAGCATGGTAAATGTTTTTTTTTTATGATGAAAGTGTCGATTTCGATTAACCGGGAATAATTAAACATTAATTAAGTTCTGTCTAAAAAACATCTAAACGAATGTTGGCCTATCAGTTAGAGAAAACATGGGCTAAATATTGAAATTCAGCTGACGCATGGGGAATTCTCACCATGAAAGAACAGTTTTCTAAATTATTCTTCGCGTCCTCTCATACGTTGGTTTTTCTCTGTCACAGCAAACAAGTCTTGTGAGAAAGTTATATGAGAGTTATAAGAAAGAAATAATGAGATGTGGAAAGATTTTGTAAATAAAGAGTTGCTTTGTCATTATCACTTTCAAATGTGACGTCAGTGAATTAGAAAAGCTCAATATGAGCGATATAGTGTCTGGCGTTGATCTGTCATAACATGGAAAGGAATCACAGTATGCTCTACTGTGCCCATTCCAGACAGTTTTCAGGTCGTCTGTATTCGAATGGCCAATATGTGGACGCTTTCATTGTCATTAATGATAGTATAGATATTTATCCAGTAGGTAAAAAGGTAGGTTTTTCATGATGAAAAATTTGACGGTCGAGGTGCTTCGATTTTTTATTGTGTGTATGCATCTTCACAGTGGCAAGCCTATGGCAAGCGTCTCTTTGGAAGCGATTCAGTTTTGCCGATATAATCGTCCGTGGGTGTCTCTCTGCCTTAATTTAATTTGCTGCCTTAATTGCGTCTCAGCAGACTGGACAGGCACCTTTGAAAAAGTGCATAAGTATGGTGATACCGATACAAACCAATTGATGAACGAGCAATGACAGCGAAAACGTTTCCAATGCACTGCTTAAATTATCATCTTGACTTGATAACTATCGCGCAGTCTACTATAAAAAAAAGTGTCGTATAAGTGTGATGTAAAAATATTAATAATAATCGTATACATTGATGAGTTCAGTACATCGAAAAAATGTCTGGAGTTGTCAATCACTAATAAGACGAAAGGCATTTTACTACGCACGCAAATAGTATAATTGATCATCTGTAAAAAAGTTTATTTGAACTGACGTCATTGGAGCTACCTTAGCGGCAGATGATTGTTCGTGCAGGGTACATGTTAATGTTATTTGGTGAGAGAGCCTTGCTGGTAGCCCTACTTTAGGACTAGTGGAAAAAGAACCTTATTCGATCGCGTTTTGATAATCGGTAAGTATCAGTACGTGCTCAATTATGTAGATTAAAGCTTGGTATTACACAAGTAATGAACAAAAGCGGGGTTAATTGTTTTCAGAGTCTATGAATAAACTCCAAGTGGAACAATTACAGAAATAAACAGTTTATTGCCAGGTTCGTTGTGCACAAGTGATTACGGTGAATAAACGCAAGTAGTTACTGTTAGTTCTGGAAATGAAATGACATGTAAACAAACTGTAACAATTACATTGCCTTAAAAAAATTTTTATAAAGCATTGAGATGAATTAAGAGCAATACCTGTTTAGTTGTCAGAAAAATAGACCAATCCCGATGCTCCCTCTCGTTTAAGTCTATGAAATGAAGCTAGCGTAACCGGTATCGAGAAGAACAAATCTGGACTCATTTTATTGGGGCAGGTATAAGTATTTCCAAAATAATTTCGATTGATTTTGCTTGTATTCAATATAGCTTTATTTATCGATGGCAATTCTGATTAGCGTGCGTTCGAGATTGAGTACATAAAGCTAAGACTTCTTATATCAATTTTCGGGTTACCTATTTTCGGTCACAAGGAGAAATCACCATGTTACCTTTGCGGCTTTTTATAGTCGAAACCTCAAATCAAACGGCTATTCGAAAGTGGAACTTTTATCTGACGTTAGGTTCAATCTGATAGTTGAGAAGTTACTGCCGGCCACTATACAACTTGTGAAAGCGTTATTTCCCCACTTACATTGATACCATTTGACATCCACTTTATTTGAATAAAGTCATTATTATAAATGGATGCAATGATACTTTCGCCCAGTTATAGTGTCATTATAGTGTACATAACTTCGTGTATTTAAGCGATGTGCTTGGAAAACATTGATGCTGCATGACGAGTGAGAAGCTTTCAATTAAGGTAGCCAGTTATGACAGTAGGGAGCTTCCAAAATGGCGGTATGATCGCGAAAATCAGAAAGCAAATTTTCCGTGTCTTCCGTTTTATGAGCATGAATTCGTCTGTTCTTTTTCTAAATGGACGAAGCGTTGGACGAGAAGTTCAGCGACTCTGATCGCGCATTAATGAGGTATGATGAGATCGGATGTCATTTTTGGATAGCTGCTGTTGATAGTAGTCGCTGCGGGGAAAACCACCTTTCTTGTGACAGACTACCGGGAAGATATAAGTAGCCGAGTTACGTTGTCCGGTTGACTGTCCGGTTTACGGATTTAGTGCAGGTTTACTGGCACACTTGATTTCAATGAACGTCCCCATGGAGCTATCAGTGGCCGTCAGTAATATCACTTACCGGTAGATGGGAGATGCGTCGAGCTGAGCGGAATTTCTATACAGGCTTTGGCCTATGAAGTGAGGTGACTTGACAATATGCAGATAGACGGCCGGACAAACAGACAACGTAGGATACAGTACAATTCGCCAAATAAGCGTTTATAGATACGGACATACACTCACAGACAAGTATCCTCTGGGAGAGAAGGATCACCTGGAACAGAATCCTTGACGTATAAAGAAGCCATGGGTAGACTACGCAGGGATACAGCGCGGCAATTTGCTTTTCCTTTTGTTCACGTGTTCTCAGTGCGCTAGTGACAGCTGCCGTTCAAATGAAATGGTTTTTCGGTCAGAAGTTTGGCTAACACGAAAACTATTATGATGAAAGCATTCGTGACTAGCGTGAGTAAACATTGTACGGTACTTCTCAGTACTCTTTTCTAATGGAAGTTTTGCAGCGTTTGGCATGTGTTATACGTTATTCCAAAATCTAAATTCTGCTGAACGGACTTTGATTAGCGCCTGTACTTGTCTCTTGATATTGAAAATGTATGGCTTTATCTATTTTAGTGCTACGAGAAATTAACTCGACAAAATTCATAGCAGTACGCTGGCTCGAGTCTTGAATAGCGAAAATAGTATTTTATCATGGCATTGTATTTTCGACAATATTTTTTTTATAAAAGCTAACTGGCAGGCTTACGCCGTTCAAAAACACCACTTTCAGCTTTATTCATCGCTTATTATATGTACAACTTCATAGAGCATAGCACAACCTCGCTTAAAACGAAATTTAGGAAACGTTTGCTTGCTGATTAAAAAAGTATTTTTTTCACTATGAATGCATTACATTTAGTATTTTGTGTCTACTCTATACAATATCCTTAATCGAAGTTCATCAGTGAAAAGGCGGTGCTATTCGTTGAACGTTCAGTTGAATACGAGACTATGCACGAACATCTAATCATTGCTTACTAGGCCATTTTATTTGTGGCTGTGTGCATGTTTAGGGTAATTCAAAGAGCGTATGTTCCCGGGGACACTGTCATCACTTCCGACAGCAAAAGTGTCTCTTCGACTTCTGCTACTGCCGGTGATGCTACTAGGGAGAAGGCCGACGACAACGAGAAGAAGGGTGTGGATGAAAGAGGTTTCGGACATCGTCTGGGCTTCGGCTGTCCCGGCTATGGCGGCAGCTTTGGGTCTCAACAAGGATTCAAGCAAGCCTTTGAAGCGTCAGGTAAGTGCCGTCTTGTTTCTTGTGGGAGACATTGTAGCTAAGTAGAAAATTATTACTTTGAGTTTGGTACATTTAAGCACCAATTACATTTAATGTTTAGTGCAATTTACGCTTTTGAAATAAGCGACCATCACTCTTTGTTTTCAACACTCGATCTTCGTTTTACGAATAAGCAAGATTTAACACTAACTTTGTTTCAATGACTGGCCAATTTTTTTGCAGGTTAGTTTCAAAACCAGGGAGCGTTCGGTTACAACCAGGGTTCGTCGCAAAGTAACGTTTACGGTCACCGCGAACGCTACGGCGAACCGACGCAATTCGGTTTAGCTCAAAGCTCGGATCAGTCCTCATCAACCGGTCAGAATGCTTATGCCAGTCACTTTGACAAGGGACAATTCGCGCAGGAAAGTAACCAGGGTAGCGGATACGGCTTTGTTGGCTAAGTTAAAATCTGTGATTGAATATGACAATACATATATATTGAATAAATAAGTTTCTCCGCGTATGTAATATTGTAAGTGCGTTTTTTCACTTACCGTCTAGTGTTAGTAACCCAAGGTCTCAAGTGACTATCGTTACCACATACTTGAGATATGGCCAGCTGCAGCAGTGTTAAACGCGCCGATAAAGAACCGTCGCAACTTTAGACGCATAAGAAACGTTTGAAAGTTGCCATGTTATAAATCGCGACTAGTTCAGGTGACGGGTCAATTCCTAGGGTACTGTACATTAAAGACGATGATCGTGGTGACGTGTGTCCTCATTAAGAGTGCCGCTACCTCGAAATAGGAAAAGGCAGAAAGTCTCGCCCGAGTATAGTGAATAGAATGGTGGCGAAAATGGTCGAAGGGTCAGCGGTGTCCAGGGAGTTCCTCGCGTGTGGAAACGGGAAGCGAACGACTGCCGCAGTCAGTGGTCAGATCAGCAACGTATTGAGTGATCGGCAGAAACAAGATGCGAAAACATACAAGACTGCGGCGAATAACATTAGCTGACAACATGGGAGGGAGAAATTAGGTTGAGAGGGTGAGCAGGATTATAAAAGCACAAGCCAAAATGTTCTAAGCGTCTTGTACAACTACGAGGCACACCCTTAAAATTTGAAGTTTATGGTAAGTATGCCCCTAACTATAACTCTGTCTTGATCTCATATTACTTGCTTTCCCTATATATACATGACATCTTAATATATTAATATAATATATTAGTAGAGTTATATCCGTAAAAAACTTAAGGTTTGTTCTCGACGAATTTCGCGCTCATTATCTTAGAGAAACGTTTCCTATTAGTTTACTGTATTTTATATTTAGATTACTAATTATTAACGCGACAGTTACTAACAGCGACAGTTACTCGTTGGTGTTACCTTTGGTGATGTCGAAAGTTTTTTTTTTTGATGAAAAACGGAAAAAATACGTTAGTGGCGCAGGCTTTACATAGCCAGATCACGGACTATAGTATAAATTTGGTCAATGTTTCTATATAGACTTTTCAAGATCACTTTTGCTACCATATAACCTCCAATATATTATGGCATAAGTTAATTTCGAGCATGTTTGTGCTTATTGGTGCATGTAAGTTTTGATTTCAGGTTATATAAAAGTTTCATTGCAATTCGGTTTTTAGGGTACACTCGGTGAACGCAAGTGGAAAACATATGTACATTTAGTGGTGATTTATTCACTACATTCTGATTAAGCAACAATTAAGGTAAATAGATTTACTCAATGTACCAATTTGTCCTCTATGTAACGGTTTAGATCAGCTTGGTCTGGTGCTTCGTCGTTGTGTTAGCAGCTCCGGCTGCTAATGAAAAAGCATCCGATACAGCAGCAGGCAAGAAGGAGGTTGAAAAGCGAGGATTTACTTTCAATCATGGTTACCGAGGCAACCCGGGTAACTATGGCGGAACTGTAGGCTACGGCGGGGGCCTTGTCGGAGTATACTATAATCAGGGCTACAGCCAGGGGGCCGGAGCTTCGGGTAAGATCATTTTTCTAAAGGCTCTCTGAACCTGAAAGAGTATAGCTCCTAACTGTAATGAACAGCATCGAGTTATTGGCTACCAAGAATGCCAATCTGTTTGGCAAAGAGTCCTCTATCTTGTAGTCTAAAGAAGGCTTATAAGAATTAATTAATTCAAATTAACTATTAAACTAAAGACACGTGTTTATTTGCCTAGTTGCTCAAAATCCTATATATGTTATGTTAAAACGGAAGTTAATTGTTTTTTATTGTTTACTCATATTCAAATGCTATATAGTGTTAGAAAGCTTTTTGTCGCATTACAAGTATTGTAAGTGAATTGAAAAGCTTTATTTCCACTTCGGCTTGTAAAGTGAAAACGCTTTGTCCAAAATAGACAATTTCGACATTTTGTAAAGTAAAAAGCATCTTTAATATTTAGAACAAAATGTGACAGATAAGAACAAATAAAATGTAACAAATAATCAAAATCGATTTCTTTAAAAAAAAAGCTAAAAACGAGTGAAAGTCGATTTAAAAAAAACTATATAAATAAAAAACTTTAAGGATAACCAAACAATATTGAATACAGTTGAGATTTTTTTTTATCTTTGTTGGTGGTTTGCAATGTTTTAAACTTTATTTTGTGTGCTTTCTGTTATTTGTGGGGCTTCTGTTTTTTTCAATTAATTTTTTTCAGAGATTAATTTTTTCAAGCTTTCCAAAAATTAATCTTATTACATTTCAGTTGGCTTCAACTTGTCATTGTATATTGGCTAGATATTTTAATATTTAGAATAAATCTATTGCTAGCGATCAGTATGACTGTGTGCAAAAGGTTTCTAAAGCCTTACATATTTTAGACATTATCATATTGCGTTGAAGTTTACGCTATTAAAACCGCGTCGAGGATCGACACTTAATTATCAATGCCATAACTTTTCTCAAGGATTAGTAGTTTTAATAAGACAGGCTTGAATAATTATACATGCAAAAAAATGTCCCCAAGTTCAGCATTAAGCATGCTTTGTTGGCATTGTTTGGAAAGATGATTTTTGGGACCAGAAAAAGCAATAGGAAAAGGCTAATTAAACAGAAAAAAACTTTTGAACCGTATATAACACATAACTATTAGTAAAAAATAAATTAGTAAAAAGAACTTAAATCGGCAAGAACACAAATATCTACATAATATAATACATAATAAATAATTTACATTTGAACTTTTTGGTTCATTTTGGCGCTCGCTAGAATAATGTTTAATGAATACGTACGCTCATATGTTGCCTCGAATATTTAAGGAGTCGTACTTAGTGCCGTAACTTCAAGCTGTTTCAAACCTGTTGCGAGAGCGGTAGCTTTCTGATAAATGAAAAAAATTTGAGGTAAAATAATGAATTGGTTCTTTTGCCCTCCTAATTCGACAAGCGCTTAATAATCTTGAAATTTTAATACATTTTGAAATATGGTCGGATCTAATTTAGTGGCACTAAATTTTCAACCCGTTTACTATTATAAGTCTGCCAGTATCCCTTTATAAAACATTATTGTCTTATTAGAAAAAAAAACAGTGTTCCACTTAATTACACCACTCCCTATAAGATCTAATGATATGCCTAAATCTATTAAGTTGCCTTTTGATTTGGTATCTCGACAGGAGCCTTCAAAAATCAAGGAGAATATGGCTACAACCGTATCTCGTCCTCAACTGGTGCCTATGGCAACAGGGAGAAGTACGACCATTCGCAGAGCTCCGGACAATCTTCGGCTGCCGGACAAATTGCCTACAGAAGCCAGTTTTCCAAAGATCGGTACGCACAGGGTGGAAGCCAGTACGGCGAGCAAGGAGGCTTAGGGTTCGTTATCTAGGACGCCATAATGACGATGATGAATACTCCCGGAATGAATAATTTTTTTCTCTGCATGTACCATTTAGTACAGTTCGTGTGACCTTAAATAACTCCATAAGTTGACGAAATGTTACTTAAACAAGTACAATTGAAATCGATAAACGTAAGCTTATGTTAGTTGGATCTGAATTTCAACACTACCTAGTAACTTGTGAAGAACTGTCCTTTTTTTTAAAGGCTCTCAGTGGAACTTTTCTAATTTGGGGTGCACTGTTGTCTCTAACATTGCTCATTCGTATTCAAAAGTATTTATTTATGATAATTGTTTTATTTAGCATGACACTGATTAAAACATGAAGTTAGCTGCCCTTTTGAACTGTTAGGCGTTTGGAGCTATCGAAAGTTAAAACATTACTCTTAATAGAGGCTTAATACAGAAGTTTATAAAATGAAGGTGATCGTTGTTCAACAACCTTACTAATCCACTAACAACATATGATAATGAAATTGATGACTATATAAATGTTTATCTATGCAGGCTACCTTGGTATTAATATCCTGTGTAAAGTACGCTCAAACTAGACAATACTGGTGTCGATTAAAGTGAAGAAATACTTTCTTTCGTCGGATCGTTTGGACGTTGGTCAATACTTTTCTATTCTCCAGATGGCAGATAAGATTGACTGCAAGCACTTTTTAAAATTGGATATATTCCTAGTGTCTCATACGGTTCGCCATAGTCGGCAAATCAGCTCTAGACTCGAGTCCAATACCCGAAGCCTTTTACGTGCATCTCCTCTATTGTATTACGGGTATTTGATTTTGATGTACCAATGGCCCATTGAGACCGATAAACCATCCATAACCAATCTGATGATACAGAGAGCAAGACAAGCTTTTCATCTTCCTATATGGTACCCTAATGGCAAGGCTGTGTTTGCTGTGTTTAACAACTCGAATAAAGCAGGTTCATGGCTCTTTATATAGTTTTAATTGCTTACAAAACTAATAGCGGTGATAGGTTACGCTTATTTTTGCTTGGAACCGGCAGACCCTCCTGAACTTGTATTAGTCAAATGAATTTTGTCTTACTTTAGGGCGGCTAGTTTTATGGTTGCGCGATATAATTTTCTCATTTTCAAAAATAACCTGGAATGATTTACGATGTACGGAAGTGGTTCATGTCCATTTCTGTTGCAATTATTATTATTACTATTATAATGTTTATCAATACTTCAGTGTAAGTTCCAGTTGAAAGTCAAAGTAGTCATGGCCGAGCTTCAAGTAGTGAACGTTATAATATTATGGTTTAGGAAAATAGGTTTTGATCGGGCCTTAGCAACTGTCTAAATTGGTCCCCTTTGAATCTTGACCTTTAAACTGAAATGACTGGTAGCACTCCTGACATCGGATCCACCGTTTGCCACTAATGTCTGATGCTCTGTTATCTCATTCCTAATCATGTCTCTAAAGGGTTAGTTGAAGCAGAGCTTTCTAATGCGTTATAGACCGCAGTGTCACTATTAATTAGGCCGCACAGTACGCGCCATGTTACTTAGCATATTATTGTTGTAGGAAGCATTTACTTAATTGTCGTATTATTAATGTCGCCATAAAGAAGCGGACAAATCTAATTTGATTTGAGTTTGTTTCAATTCAATTCTATCATCGTCGCGTGCGTATTTATGTTCATTGAACTTGGGGCAGGGTCGTGGACTCTATACGCGCAGACTATTCGCAGAGTTAACCCAGAACGAAAACGAAGAGAGAGAGAGAGAGAGAGAGAGAGAGAGAAAACAAATAGACACGAGTACCTAATAGGAAAGAGTATCACTATTTCGCGACACTTTACGTTTCATGTCTTGTGCACACGCTGGCAGCTTCTATTCGGAACGATAATTTCACAGCAAATGGGTATACCCCTTTCCCAAGCGCCAGACGCAGTTCAAAGTGTTCTCGAACTTGACTAGCAAGCCTCGTTTTTATTTACTTGTTATACTTCGCATTGTTTGCATTATGCCACAAATTCGGAATCGAACCCAAAACACAGCTGCATCAGTGTCCCTCGTATATCGCTATCTGGATCGACAATTTTGACCTCTCCGAGCACTGCTTACTTTATGAAACAGTTCTATTTATATCGAAAATCCCGATGTTTATTCAAAACTCTTTGAATAATCTCTACAATTTAGATGTGCGTGACGCAGCTACAGAACCTCCGGGACAAAAACCGCTTAGGAAAAACAGTGTACAGCAAATTCTCACAGAGAGAACACAGTTGTACTTCCAGCGAAGCCCTCGTCGACGTCACGTGGTCGTCTTTCAGTCGTCACCGGGGCCAAGTTTTGGCAGACACTTAACGGAAGTGATTTCTGAGAGCGAAGACACTGATGCCGACAGTTCAATTTCCAGTAATCAAAACGATGGATGCGGTTCTGAATATTACGTTTCTTCTGCTTCGTCGCAAGAGGAGGATGGAAACAATAGTGAAGCCTCTTCGGACTCGCTAGTCTCTTGGGTGGATCGTCGTCGGACGAAGTTTAGCCAAACAAAGTCAGCGACAAACGTAGAACCATTCAGCGACGCCGACAAGTCGCAGAAATGTGAAAAATCGTTGGCTCAAGAAGCTCAAGAAGTAGGCTTAAAAAGACCTACTCAGTCGAGTGCTTCGGACGGCCTCGACGATAAGAGCTGCCCCAACCTCAAACGTCACGATTGTCCCGACTGTGGTAGAAAATTTCGATATCCAGTTCATGTCGCCCGCCACCAACGGACAGTCCATGCCGGTGAACGGCCTTACGCCTGTCCACTTTGTTCAAAGGCGTTTACGCGAAAAGAGCATGTTGAGCGTCATTTGCTTCACCACTCTGGCCAGCGACCCCACCAATGTAAGCAATGTTCGATGCGGTTTAGTTCGAAAAGCAATTTAAACACGCATATGCGTTTGCACGATACCGCGAAGCGAGCACTATTCGAGTGCAGCTTCTGCAAGAGACGTTTTTCCAGCAAATACAACAGGGACGACCATCAAAGAATACATACCGGCGAACGGCCATTCTCATGTCAGTATTGCGGAAAACGTTATGCGTCAAAAAGTTCGCTAAATTCTCATTGGAAGAGAGGTTGCAGTGAGGAAGATTGAAGATCGCTTACTACGCAGACGGTGCACGGTTTATCGTGGGCCTAGGTTTGCCCCAAAGACGATCTACGCTGGATACTCTTTCAGTGTGCATTCGAAAATAAAGAATTTCGGGTGCGGTTCCCGCAAAAAACAAACTTGGTACTTCAGACACTATATCTCAGCTGCTCAATTAGGCATTTCCTAAAACTAGGATAAGTTAACCACACCGAAGTAACTGTAACTACTCTGCCCATTTCTAGTCATATTTTAGTTGTCTCGTACATCGCTTAATGAAGATGAGGAAACTAATTGTTTAGAGTATGCTGATACACTCATATAGCAGCCCATGCTGTGCTGTGCTGTGCTGTGCGATATTGAAGTTCTTGGATAAAGGTTTTTAACAGCAAATTCAGGCAAAGCAGAGTCAATCTAGGTTAAGTTTTTAATTATTAACTCTAGTTATACGAGGCAGTCCGCGAATCCTACACGTCATATGAAGCATAGTGCATGACAATCTTTAAACAACCGGCCCGGCCCGGCCCGGCCCGCCAATCGGCTATCCAAGGACCATCCCTAAATTAATCACATCTGATAACTGCGTAGGTATTTGAATGGCTGTTTAGGTCTCGTTACCTACAACTCTTGTTTGCCATATTTGCGCGGAAACGCAATTTTTATTATCCGTTAAGTTAACGATCATTATGAAAAAACGGGTCGCCGAAACATCTAAATTTAAGAAGAAAATTGAATCTGAGGCGAACCGAACAGCTACAGTAAACTATTTTTTTAAGGGTATTTTAACTAAAAAAAAAAAATTGGTTTTTCTATATCAAACAACTCCAGGATGTTTCGTTGATTTTGAGAGCGCGGAATACCCCGTGAATCAGTTTGTATCATTGGCATAGACTGCGTCGATACTAAACCTATATCACTTTAATCGATCTCTGTTCAAATTCATACGACGCGCAAATAACTCCAAATGCTAGAAAATTCGCAGAGGGTAGATCCGTTATTTGTATAGAACCGGAAGGGAAATATCACGATGCCGCATTTCACTCAATACACAATGATGAAACGACATTAGATTTACACGGCATCATTTACATTTGTTCATTCTAAATATTCTCAGGAGGATATCGGTCTGTTACGTTTCTGATTTGTTCAGTGAAATTGACGACCAGCGACCACCGTATACGTGTATTTCAGTGTTACTGATTCAGGTTGACTTGGAATATAATTGTGTGCTGAAAGATCATATACCCATGTTATACGTACGCGCTGCTAACTTGGCGTACCTCCATTACTACTAAATTATAAATGTTATTTAGGACAATTTACATTTGTTCATTAGTAATGGCAATATGCTCTTTCATACCTTATAAGGTCCTACCTTATAAGCGTCAATCTGGTTTGCCAATAAGCTTCGTATCCGCTATATTCCCTTTTCTTTTGTTTTTTTTTTTTTTTCTTTATTCCTTTGGTATACAAAACACAGAATCGAACTAATGATCGTACTTTGAATCTTCCACTCATTGAAATTTGTTCGTTCCTGTTGTCCGAACCGCTATGAGCTATAACGGGACAATGCTCTGGAGGCTTGTTTGCAAGGCAAGCATTAGTATGTTTAGCAATTATACTACGTGACGTAACACAGCTCTAATAAAATCTATGTTTCAGCAAACAAAAACACTGAGTAAACACCACAAATAGTACCAGATCTGACAACACACTCTCTGATGTCCTGTTTTATCGATGACTCTAAAAACGAGCCCGTTCCTTTAACTGACTTGTTCGATTGTGCCCTCGGTTACGTATCAGACCTTTTAGCATTATGTTCGATGATTTCGGCCACCGTATATTACCACCAGGCAATCCGCCATTTCGCCACAACGCATGCAAATGGCGCTATACATTACGATACGCTGAACTACATGAGTTAAATTTTGTTCCTTCCGACGTGAAGGCATTGTGCTTTCCGATAGTTGGCCACCCTTCCTCTAGCATCGCTTCTCGGGCCGTAACCGTGGCCGGCAGCGTAACTCGAGGCTCCAGATTTGCCACCAGTTTGGGTTCAGATAGACGCGGATGCCGGCGTTCGCAGAGTTCTCAAAGTCATATGTATGGAACATTTGGAGTTTTGGACGCAAAACAAAATGCAAATATTGAACTACAGGGATTGGCCATTGGATGTTCTCTAGGCGATGGCAAAACCTGTGCAAAATAGCGACACGAGTGTTCTCCGACATGAGACGAACAAGTAACGAGTAGGTGACTAAATGGCTTTCCTTTTCGGTAAAAGTAACAGAGACCCATAGTTGAAAGACCCTCTCTCTTCGGCAGCATCCCGTGTAACTCACGTAGACGCACCGAAAGCCCTTTACACATTCATGGCGCTAGTGGATTAATTTTGCGGGGTAAAATCGACACGGTTGCGCTCTGCAACATCCAGCTAGCTGCAAAAATAGCTTTAATATCTACTATTATTGTTATTACTATTTTGACTATACTATACTAAGATTATACTAATTCTTATTATATTATACTTCGCATTCTATGTTATGATATTTCGTTCAAAAGGGGCGCGAACCCAGCCAAGTATTTATTACTCCTTTTATGTTATTATAACGTATGACTATAGTTGACAAAACATCGTAAGAAAGCATATTTTTGGGGTCTGTTCTGGGAGAATGTTCCCTCGTTAGCACCGCTCGAAACTTCAAAAATTTCTCCATATCTCACATAGGTCATAAGCACAGAGGAGCTGTCACATCGTCCTGAAGTTAAAAGTAACATTCGGATTGGTGTTATTCTAATTAATATTGGGCGCTGCGAGCTTTTGCAAGCAACATGTATCAAACCTGCTTTTTATGTACAACTAGTAGAAATGTAGCAGTGTGCCAAAATTATAAGACGTTCAAAAGCAGTGATAAAAGAAGCTTTTTACGTACAGGTACCTAATTGTTCTCCTGTCATAACATGATTTTCACAAATGACAATATTAGAAATATCATCTGTTCGCATGTTTGGTTATTCTTCCATGAGTACGGGCTAAAGCGACGAATGTTGTCGTCTCTCGTAGATCTGTTTTTACATCTAACGCTGTTGGTTTTTCTCTTACTGATTGATAATCTTAACTCTCTATTTACTGTTTGTGTGAGGCGTCTCTCTGGCGTCGACATGTCACTGCGTCCTAGTAGATGTAAATCGGACGTGATTAGCTACAGACTTGGACTCCTCTGTGCGCAATGGTCAGCGAACGCTGCGATCTTGTTACACCGAGATTAGAGCTCATGAAGGGGCCACAAGAACATCCGATTGCTGTGTCGTTGATTTCACAAATTGCTACCCACTGCCAAGTATAATATAAGAAAAAAATAAATGAGACAAATTTTTCAGAAAACACCATTCAAATGTATTGTCAGGAGCGCCAACAGTCAACGCTGACACGCACTGGCTATGCATCTCGTATGAAAGTTGTGTATTATTTGTTACTTTTATTGAAAGGGGCGTATTGTGTGTACTTTGAGATAGGCTCATGCGGGTGCATAATACTGTTTCAGGTAGACCGACCGTTGTTTGATGCAAGTCGTCACCCGAATTGTAGTTCTCGTCGAAGGGTTAAGAGCTGTAATAGATTCAATCGAAGAATCATAGAGCACTCTCGTGACCTTCACAAACGATGCTTTGCCTGATTAGGACATTGCTCGCTTTACGTGCTTCCTGGATATGTTGACTTTTATTTTTTTTTGACAATCAATTATGTACATTGTACAATGTACGGGGTAAGAGGCTTTTTACTACAAGTTTTTGTTTCCGTACAAGTAAATTGTTGGTGAGATTACAGAGCAGTGGACGAGGAATAATTTCAAATGAATTATTATGGTCAAAACGATCGAAATTTGCAAGCATTTGTCACACGTCCTGCTTATCGATATTTTGTCGCCGGTTGATATGTTTTGAAATATAATCGTATACCTAATAGACGGTACAAAAAGGAGAGGAGACAATACTCTATTATATATCCATTTCGATGCTCAGTTATTAACTTATATATTCACTGATGTCTAAAACGCGAGTATATGGGACAAATAAAACTAGAAAAAAATACGTCTCTCTCAATTAAAACACACAATATATACATATATAATATATATATATATATATATATATATATATATATATATATATATATTGTGCGTGTGTTTATTTAATCCACATATTATTGAAACCCTGTCTTAGAAGTAATGGCCATGATACTCGGCAGCCTTACCACTTTCCTATTCGTCAATAGCCCTCCTAAAAACACAGGAACTTTTTTTACAATACTATTAATGGACGTACTGAGCTATCCTTTTTTCGTAGTTGCTTCAGCCAAGATGCGTTCTTTACTTTGTATCATCCGATCCTGACGGATAGTGTATTGTTTCGAGGCTGAGCTGTTACCGATCGCTGTAGTATTCGCAGGTCGTGAAGCCCAGCCTTATAACAATAATTGCAATCCGGACGCAAATTCATCTTATTGAGGCTTGATCTCATCTTTGCTCCAACAAGCTCTCCTGATACCCAGTAACCTTTCACATTGTATCGAATGTCTTGTCCAGTCTCATCTTGGCCAGGCGTGCATTTTTCCGCCACGTCTTGTACAGCGTCCTGAAGCGATCCAAGTTTCTTCGAGGTGCAGTCCGTTCCACTCTTTCCCGTTCGCCATCTAAACGTCGGGCTTTTCCCAGCTACAGGTTTTTCCAGTGCTCTATTCATAATTCATTGTCTGTCTGCTTTGAACCGCAGGCTGCAATGACCTGGCATGCCTTGGTCCTGTGCGCTAGCTTACTGTGGTCTCCCGCCCCATTTCGACGGGGACCCCCATGGTAACTCCATAACTCCTCTAGTCGACTTAATTGATTCGGTAGTTATGCAGCCCTAGATGATCCCATACTCTTTCCCAATGGTTCCTGTAAGCGCCGGCACCGTTGTTCTGTATCCAAAAAGTCAAAAAAAAAAACAGCCATACACTATACGTTGCCAATCATGATCACGCACACGAGACGCATCGTTTATCTACGTAGTACTCAAAGCAACAGACGACGCACATTCCTACAGATAAATGGTTACATATGCCGAAAACCACAAACTCTATAGATATACGGACATGCATACATAAACACCCTCACAGATTAACAGACGACAGTCGAACGTCGAGAATAACAGAATACAGCCAAAGCGAACTACGTAATCATCCAGCTAGCATGGC